AACATCTTCTGCGCAACCAGTCTCACCTGTCTCCCCACATGGCAGCTTCCATATCATCACCCACATCAACTAGAGGTCGTTTAAGGGGTTTAAGTTATTTACGAAGTTACACACAAAATCACTTATTATCAAGGGAGAATCACAATAATAACCACAATTCTTCGTCAAATAATCAAAACTCACAGTCTACAATCTCACGCACTACCTCTCATCCTTCATCCCCCACGTCAGCGACTGCAACTTCTAACGCCTCTGCTGCAGCCTCGCCTGCGACTTCTGCAACTCCTGCAACCGAAAGTCATCCTCGACAAACCTCACCCACTGCACAGAGATCCACCACGACGGACGATTTGACATCGGGAGGAACGAATAATCAAGAAAATCTAGGTTCGACGAGTGGCTGGTTACCGACAGTAGGAGGTCACAGCGGAGTGTCAAGCATCGCAACTCAACCTCAACCTACTGCGACTGAGTCCTCTTCAGCCGTCTTATCGGCCAACGATTCATCTGCGATAACCTCGGGTCTTACGGCGTCGATGGCAAGGACTCGATCTGCAGGAACCGGAGGAGCAGCAGATATGCCTTTACTTAATGGTCTGGGAGAAAATGGTCCTGCATCTGCAGGGGCCACCATGTCACATCAACTACCATCAATTCGGTTCTCTCCGCATCAAGATCCTCGAGCTCATCGCCCATCCCTCGTATTTGGTACCATGAGTCGAACACTGCCGACCGGGAAAGAAGTCATAAAAGTAGGTCGATATTCTGAACGAGATAACCAACCTCATGCTACGAATGTGCCATCATTTGCACCAGTTGGATTCAAGTCAAAGGTGGTTAGCAGACGTCATTGTGAATTTTGGTGTAGCGGAGGCCGCTGGTTTATCAAGGATGTGAAAAGTTCATCAGGCACATTTCTCAATCACATACGATTGAGTTCCCCTGGGACGGAATCGAGACCATATCCAGTTAATGATGGTGACATAGTTCAGTTGGGAATAGATTTCAAAGGTGGCGAGGAAATGATATTCAGGTGTGTTAAAATACGAGTGGAGCTCAATAAGGGATGGCAAACTGGTCCAAGCAGTTTCAAGTATGTATTCTATTCTGATGATGAAACCGATATATCTGCTGACGCCCTACCCAGTGTTCAGTCTCATAAGCGTTTACGCGAGCTCAACAACAGCTTGAAGAAACAAGCAGCCGGTGGCTCGAGTAATTCCTCGCAAGATTGCTCGATTTGTCTTGGACCTATCGCTGTAAGTCAAGAAATCGCACCCATTGCTTGATAACCTTTAACTAACGCATAAAAGCCTTGTCAATCTTTGTTCGTCGCACCATGTTCTCATACATGGCATTACAAATGTATTCGAGTTGTCATTAATGGTCCTACTTGGCCTCATTTTATATGTCCAAATTGCCGTACGGTCGCAGATCTCGAGGCAGAGCTTGATGAGCCAGATGTGGATTGGGAGGAATTAGCGGCATCAGAAGGAGAGCCGGAGGAAACATCGACACCTGCAGCGGATACACCAACGCCTCATGATACCGAGGCCGTAGCTGAGGAGGCTATTTCACAAACGAGTGATCCCACAGCAGCTCCTGCTCTACCAGAACAGGAGACATTTGAACCTCTGAATATGCATCAGGCCGATGATGACCTTGATATTAGTGACGATTCCAGTACAAGTGCTCACGCCCATGAAACTGGACTCGAAGATATGGCATATCTCCACGTAAGCGACTCAGCAACAAGTTCAAATTCAGCAACATCGACTCCTCAGATCAACCATAGCTCTACAGTGTCCCCGGTCGATATAATTGCAAGAAAACCAGTTCCTAATGCGTTAGCTAGCTCGTCTTCGCGTGTCGAGCACATCCGTGGCTCGCCAAGTCCTAATGGGATGCACCCCGCACTAACAGATCCTCTTACTGGCGAAGGACCGATGACACCCAGGAATGATGTTGGGCCATTTATTTTTGATGGCGGTGCGGGACGAACAAATGGCATTCGGCTAGCAGCCGAAGCGGGGGAGTTGGATTACAACGAAACTCCAACCACAGCTCAGGCAGCACCACAATCTGCCCTATAGACAGCTCTTTATACGAGGAATCAGCGCGAGGCGATTTGTCATTGGAATATTCTGCATTTTAGCGAGGACGGAGTCAAAGTGGGCGGTCGGAGGTCTAATGGTATAATCGACAATTTTGTACTCTTATGATGATGGATAACGAACGATCCGGTTGCATAGTTTCGAAGAGATAGCTAGCTGATCGGTTAGTTGTCACGTCTAAGAAGGTGATGGTCGTACATTTGGGGCGGATCTAAAGTCATATGAACTCAGCGGTGGAGTTAATTGCTTGTTATACTTGCTGGGAAAATACCAGAATGGGGAAAGGACGAGGAACTAGGAGCGAGGAGCTAGGAATCTTATTACATACCTACGCATTTGCATATACATACGCGGTGGTGAATGGAAATAGGAATAGGAATTAGGAGGAGCAGGAGATATCTCGCTTGATTTGAAATGGAGAACCATCACAATGATTGCTCGAGTCATCATATGCATATAATCTGGCGCTGGGGTTGGTGGGATAATGAGAATGGAGGGAGCGATACCTAGGGGATGTTTGATAGCGGGAGTGATAGTGGTAGTGATAGCGATAGTGATAAGTTGATACTTGATACTTAGTCTGAGAGGAGATGCTTATATGGAAATGAGAAATCAAGAATACATATTTTGCTTGCTTTGCTTGCTATTTTAATTAATGTTGAATATATGTTTGTTTATTCATTTTCCATTTGTTCATTCGTTGAATTGCATGCATGTGAGAAGGATCAAGGATGTATAGAATATTGTAGGTAGGTTCATAAATAACCTTTCTGCGAATAATCTTATGCGGACAATTTATTTGTGTTGTATTTAATTATCTGATGTGTATAAAAAATGTGTAAAAATCAATGAAATTAAAACCTACCATCCCATCATAAACCACACACATACATCTCACTAGTAACTATCTAACGAACTAGCAACCCATTACCACGAGCCCACGCAACATTCTCTCCGAACTTTTCTACTAACTACCAACTCATCCAACTCATCCAGCACCTTCATCAACCCACATCAACCTACACGTACCTACTTCCTCAAACCCCCCTGCACCCCAATCCTCTCCACATCCCTAAACTCCGCCGAACCAGACGCACACGATTCCAAAATGCGTTCCCACTCCCCAGGCTCCTTAATCCTCACACATTCCTCTGCAGCTTTCGTCTTCATTGCACATCGTTCCCACAGCTCTATGATCTCCTTCCCTTTGACCTCGCCTTGGGTTTTAATCTTCTCGACAAAAGTAGCAGCTAATTTCTGGTTTCCGGCGTTGAGGATGAGCGTGTAGAAGGGGAGCCAGCCGATGGGGGATTTACGGGTCTTGGAGAGATCTTCTAGGGCGGACCAGTCGCGTCGGGAGACGAGGGCGCGCAGTCGGATCCAGGTGGTTGTTTTTTCGGGGATTTTGAATTCCGTGCTGAGTTTTTTGGCGCGGGAGGTGTAGCCGAGTTTGATTAGTTTGAAGAGGGTTTCGTTGAGGGAGAGGCCGGTGAAGGATTCTGTTAGCTCGTGGTCGAAGGATTCTTGCATGCGGAGGAGTAAGGAGGCTTCGTGTAGAGCTTTCAGTTCGAAGGATGTTTCTTTGGAGTCGGAGAGGAGTTTTGCGGCTAGAGCGAGTTTGTCGGATGCGGTGCGGGAGTCGGGTTGTTGGAGGGCTTCGCGGATGAAGACGGCTGCGCCGTCGGTGCGCCGGTCGTCTTGGTAGTAGAGGTCTTTGAGGAAGGAGGAGTCTTCTGTACGGGCGGAAGATTCGACGAGGGAGGTGGCGATGGGTCGGCTATTAATTACGCGGAAGAAAGAGGCGAGGGGGAGGTTCTTTTTGAGGTGAAGCAGCACGTAGATTATTAGATCTGAGTCTCCGGATTCAATGGCTTTGTCGAGCGCGATTTCGTCTTCTTCCATCGAGAGGAGGAGGGGGACTTGTTTGCCGGCGCGGGGTTCATGATTTAGGAGGGAGGTGGCTAGGCGGCCGCGTCCTTCATCATAGGCTGCTCGAGCGATTTCTTCAAATGAGATGCCGCGTTTACCAGAAAGTTTCTCGACAATTACACGGCAAATTGTGTCTTCGTCTTCGGAACCTATGCGTACTTTTTGTGATGCCCAGTGGACGTATATTCTATCGGTTGGAAGGCGCAGATAATCGGATATCTTGAGTGCTAAAAGATATTCTCGACGGTTGATGAGACGCCTAACGAGCTTTTCGGGAGTAAGGCGTAGAAATTGTTCATATGACAAAGGTATGCCGATTTCGTAATATCGGACAGCATTCAACACACGTAGTGTTTCGCACATATCAACAAAATCATCGCTATTGTAAATGTCAAGTACTGATTTTCCGAAAGAAGCGGCCTTGAGTAATTGCTTTTGCCAATGTATGTTAAATTCATGCCCAGCCGCTTTAACCTAGAAATGGTCAGTTGTAGTATCAGAATATTATTTCAATTACTTACACAGGTATCGACTGCCTCTACTAGATGAGGCCTAATCAATTGTATGTTATCATCTGCTTTTGGAGATTGTTGCTCCAGCTGCTCAACAGCGTCCAGTAGTATTGATGCTGGTGATTCTGTACCGAATCGAAAAGTTTCATCAGTTACTTCGGGTACTTTTTGTAAGAAATCGCAAACATCATTGGTTATCAATCGAACACCATCATGATCTACACAGTGATTAGCAAATATATCAGCGGATTCAAAAAAGGCTACAAACCAGCAATTACGTGAACTCGTCCATCATAATAGAACTTTGCAGCAGCATTCTTGGGGCCAATGAGGTGAACTTCGTCCTCCCAAGCAATCACCACAGCATCATTACCACACCATTGAACGTCTTTCGGTGGAGTTTTCGATCTTGAATTATATTCACTTAATCTGTTCTGGAAGTCGCTCGTGATGACATATGCGTTTCCTGTTTCCGTGTAAAGGGCCACAAATTTGCCATTTGGGGATACGCTGATATGTGTAAATGGTCCAATGTCTAGAAAACGATCTTCGGACTCAGCTGCATCGGCTACGTGTATAGTCTGGCCGATGCTTAATAGGACTTCAACTGATCTTGACAGCGTGTATGCTGGCGGTATTAATGTCCACGAATGAACTTCACCTTCAGGAGGTGTTGCTAGTAGTTTTGGACGTGGCTCTTCATATCTAGATACTGAAATCAAATGATTATTGGAGAGCAATGCCACAAATCCAGCGCCATAGAATCTGTTCGATATGTGAGCTTGTACCAAATCAAAACAAATTCGAGTACAAACCTGCAAGCAGTTACACCATATTCCTCAGCACCATTTCCAAGAGAGAATTGATTAAAGTCTCCTTGCAAGTCATAGTAACATCGTACAGTGCCGTCAGCAGTGACTACGATGAGCTTTTCGTCTTCGGTCCAGCCGAGACCCTTGATAGATCCTTGGTCCCAATTAATTCTCCTAATTAGTTTGCCAGCACAACTGTACAAATCAATACTAGACTTAGATGCCTGCGATCCTCTGAATGTTTGAAGTTTCGTTTCGTCTCGATATAAAGCTGAATTATAAGTACAATGTAAGTAAGTAAAATGATGCACAATATAGTCTGCAGAGATTTGTAGACAAGCACTCGTCGACTATTCGATGGATCCCATCCGTGGTGTTACATACGTTCGGAGCACTACTCCTGGAGGGTTGCGGTGTCATGGAACGACGCAGCTTTTGTCTCGCAACCCCTAACTTGCCCTTTGATGGTTTACATAGATTTCGATTGCGGTACCCTTTGCTCTCCTCATATGGGAATCTTTCGAAGTTTACCAGCAGAATCCTGACAATACAATGCACCCAGACGACAAAAGGAAACAACACAACGCACCAATTGCTCCTCCGTATGAGCATCCCGTGACCACATAGTTCTCAAGCTCGAGATCTTGGTCAAATACCGCTGTATATAATTGTATTTTTCGATAGAATTTTTCCCCCACCTTCTCCCATTCTGCTGTCGGACTTGTCATTTTAATAACGTATAAATCTTCATTATACTCTTTGGTGGTTTTGTTGTTGCTTGAAGTTGCCTTATTATCTCTTAAAAGAAGCTCCCAACTTAAGATATGGTCAAAGCTCGACGCTAGTCATCATCAACAACATTCAACATTGTGCAATCGACATCGGTCTCTACTCCGTACACAACTCAGAGTTATGATAATACAACTATAAACCGTGAACTATTGATTTGTGTCTTGAATCAGTTTCACTTACAGAGATGGGCTTTGGTTGAAGCTATTCTCTTCATGGATTGATGGCAGACGAGGAGTTGATCAACAAGATTCACGAGCTCAGCGACTTGGAGCTCGCCGCATTGATATGTTTAGTCGCAGAGGAGCACTGTATCATTGATACTGATCCTGACGCTCTAGATGATCTCGTACAGGAGTTACAACTGGTGAATACATCTTTTTATCCCCATACAGGGTGTGTACTAATCTTTTGCAGGTCGCATCTAAAGTCTTCGGCTTAACCTATGCTGTCATTGATTGCAACAGCCATACCACTCTCGACGATTTCGCCCATGCCATCCTTTCCGTCGATGCCACGCCTCCTCGAACCGATTCCCCCTTGCTAAATCGCCGCGACTCCTACTTCCTGCAAACTCCCGCATTTCAGTCAATTAATCGATCATCTGTGTCGGAAACGACCGATAACAAGACGATAGCAAATGTAATCATTGCCAGGAATCTTGATGAAGCATCGCGGCAGATACAGATTCAGGCTTTAGAGCTAATGCGAACGAAACGACTTTTCACAAGGACTTCCATACAAAATGCGCCGAAACGTTTCTTGTTTATTGCGGCCATAGCAGGCGGCCAGGGCCCCAGGTTGACGAAACATTTAAATGACTATATGTTCATTTCCCATGTACACGATCCACAAGATGGCTTCCCGAACTTAGAAGATTTGTTTACAGACGATACGACCTCAACTCTATCTGTAGTGAAGAGGAGTTCAACGCTACAAGCTGAAGAAAGTTTATGGGCGAGAATATCTCCAATGGTCAGTGATCTTGCGCATGTGACAGGTCATTGTTACTGATTTGAGTACAGGATATAGAAAATCTAGCTCAGCAGAGTAAAAACACTACTGTTACTGTTGAGGTAAAGCAATATCAGCAAAATATTGCTTCGTTCCTGAGAATTCACCGTGCTGTAGCGACTGGTATATCTGCAATTGCCACAAAGCATTTTGATAAGCTAGTCCGGTAAGAATGATCCTCCCTACCTAAAATATTCATTCTAATTCCTGTTAGATGTCTCGCACCATTTCATGGGCTCCCATACGTTACGCCATCTCTTGTTGCTCTTGCCGCTAGAAAAATCTATCTTCATCGTATCGAGATCGCAAATCCAGAGAGAGAACGCAGTATGCAGTGGGGTAGTGATTTAGATGCAGTAAGAGAACTCTTGGATGGCATAGGACCAGAAGACGTAATTGAGGATGTTTTGGGTAGTGCTGGAGCCGAGGCTCCTTTGTAAGATAGACAAACTAGTTGAATATAAAAATTTTGACATCACCTAGGTGTTAGTAACACCTCTGAGTTATATCACAAATGTTCGGTGGTATGATGAACTTCGCCGCGGCGTCGGAAACCAGAGCCGCTAATACACTTTTGCTACACATGTCACCACATAGCTTATAATAAGTATGAGTATATTCCTACCTTCAATCATACATGGAGCGTTTTGACTCCATCTTACAACCAAAATCATTGTCCTCGCTTAGGCATTTATCTCAAAGCCTCATATACAAATTTTGTATTCACCCTGTTAGTGTATTCATCAAACGAGGTCAGTCGCATTGGAATGGTGAATACACTTTCGAAGAGAATTCAGCAATGACAAGCCAATGACAAATGGAGGATTGACGACGTGTTTAATTCTGAGGACGCTAAATCGGAGTTAGACAATCATTTACAAACCGCGTCATCGAAAATACTTTGGGTGAAGGCTTTTCGCATAAATAGACAGTCTCTTCACCTCTACCTTCTACTTAATATGTTCACTTCTACATTTCTACCAACATTCAACTTGGTCCTAAATACCTCAGTCGCATATTCTTTTAGGCTACTAGTTGTGTTCGAGCAGCATAAGTGAAATCATATACCAACATATTTAGCCTAGCTTTATGATAAATCGTACCCTTCTTTCTACTCCGCTGCCTTCAAATCTTTTATCAACATCATATTGGTTCTAAATATCTCTTCCGATCCCATACTCACACCAACAAACAACACTTATTCTTGTTTCTTGGTCAAAAACCTTACTTACATTTATAATGACTTCATTTCTATCAATTTTTAGTTACCGCGACATCATGGCAAGTGGCGACGTACCTTTTCCTAAACTGGCTACTGGTGCTATATCTCCCTAAATCAGCTCGGTCTTGGAAATCCATCCTCATCAAGGTTCGACCCCATTAAAGTATGTATTCATAGACCCTCTTCCAAACCGTCAATAGAGAAAGATCCTAACAGTAATACAGTGAAACGTTGACAGAATTCCATTGCTTCCCTAGATTGCCTCTTGACTTACGTCGCAAAATCTGGAATGCCTATCTCGATCAACAGCCTGCTCGAATCATTGAACTAGAGTGGGGTACAGACAACCCCGGTCACAAGCATAATGGATACAAAGTGACGAAATTATGTTCTCGAACGCCTTCAGTTCTGCGAGATCTTATTTGTCGAGATGCTGGAGCTGAAGCTTTGCAGAAATATCAGCTTTGGTGTTTCGACAATCGTCCCGAAGGACATAACCCGCCCTCCCGACTTACACACTTTGATCCTTCTATCGACATTATTTACTTCGGCCCAGACACTTGCTTGGGTACAATGTGCCGCTTTAAAGAAAGTTTGGTCAGGACACGGAAACAACTTTCGCGTGTTGCAGTTTACTGCTTGTCGGACAAACGACGCAGTTGTATGAGCGAGTTTAACCTTGCTTGCTCATATTTGACAGAAAGGGACCTTGAATCCAATGCTACACTGCTACACCTGTTCTCTTACCTAACGCTGAGGGGTTACTTTTGTCTTTTGGATTAAACTCTCTTTACGGTGTGCAAGTGGATGAGCACCCGGACCTCCATAATGGATGGCCAAATTTGGAGGAGATTATCCTTTGCGTTTCAGAATTTTCATATGTGGATGAAAGCATTACATCCCACCCAGCTAAGCACATCGGAAGGCTCCAAGAATCTAAGTCTTTGCATTACTTTCAAAGTATTTAATATTTACAAAGTGGCCGACCGAAGTGGGCAACGGATAACAAGCCAAAAGTTCGTTTTGCTTTCTTATCCAAACGCGCTGAACCTGGCAGAGTTTTCGATTTGTTGACAATATCATATGAAGAGTGTTGTGAACAGTTGAATGAGAAGGAATATGTATACAGTATAATTAGTCTACCAAACCCGCACTGTCAAGTCAGGCTAGTAGGCCCTAAGATAGAAGCTCATTATTATATTGAGTTTTATGGTACTGAAGAGGGCGTCTTCGCTGCGAAGAAAGCTTGTTTGTGAGTATCCCAGTGACGATAATGATGGGCTTCACTGATACAAAATTAGAACTCTCCCGGGCTCCTACGAGGAGTGTTGTTTCGGTAATACCTAGCGTCAAAAGACCAACAATCAATGAAAAGAATGGAACTTCCAGTTCGGAAAAGAGTTTTTCTATTGATTCATCACTACCCGAGCATCCAACTTTGTTATATCAACTTCTAAGCGTCTTTTATCCTTCTGGGTTGGCACCGTATGTTTATTAGTTACAGTATCATCAACCTAGCCAGATCTAGATTCGAGAACAAATTATTACAAAAGTCCCTTTTAGTTTCATGATTACGTGATTTGGATTGTAGATTTTTATCCCTGCGCTGTTCCCCTTGCCTTTCTCAACGGGATCAATATCTCAAATGTAACGAAGGCTATTATCGTTGCAAGTAAGATTGTTTCAATTTACATATGTGCTCTTTTTAAGATCTTACCACTTATGTTTGTAAGCTTTACCCTACTTTCTTCATATACCACCTTGGCTAGTCTCTTTTAATTCCTTTTCCCACGTATCGCTTCTTCCGTACACATCGTTCCTTCCCTGACAGACGCATATAATTCTCAGATTATTCTCATTGCAGTGTATAGTTCTGGTAAAGTGATTGTCATCTTACCTAAGTGAGCAGCATCACGGTATTTGTTCCGCCTGGGACTGATATCTATCATGGCTGCTTGAAGAAATCAATCAATCATTATGGAAGCTAGAGTAGAAATATCTCGTTGGTTGATCTTCAGAACTACTACTCGGCAAAATTTTTGAAGATGCATAGGCCAATTTACCTCTCAAAACACATTAATTTTGATCTTTTTTTGACTTTAATCTTCAATAACCTTTTGAAAAATAAAAATATAAATAAAATAAAATGATTAATTAAAAGTCAATCTTTTCATTAACATATTATACAAGTTTCAACAAATGAGAATTAAATTTTGTAAAGTTATTAAAGTTTAAAAATAAATCTGAAAATTATAATATTTCAACTCAACTTATTAATTTTGATATAATATCACTTTTTTGTTATTTCTTATAAATTATTTTATAAATCATCTCTTTTGTGACCAAAAGGGTGTTTATAGACCAGCAATTGTATTTAACTTAGAATCTACAGGTGAAGAGCACCTGTAGATGGGGATAGCTACTCTATATATACACAAATGAATGGCCTAGCCGCAATGGCTAGGCAAAAAGAAGTCATATTTATTCCTCCAATGATCTTACTTTACCGATAACCATTGATACCTAGTACTTGTCCGGATCTGATCCTCAGGTCACCTAAATCGCATACTAATCTCGAGTAATCGTATCATGTGTGGACATGGTTAATGTACCTGAGGTTTCTTATATAATAAAGGTGGGAGGAAAGCAGGGATTTCCGTCACATCTTTATAAATGATAACATAGAATTTTTATAAAATTTTATCAAAAGTTGAAAAAAGTTATAGGTGTTTCTAGTTTTGCCTACACATCTTTAAAGATTTTGCAGAGTAAGTAGGTGATGACGGCGGAGACTTTATATTCATCACAGACTTCACATGATTGGACTGATTCACGGTAGATTTCGCTAGTTTGATTGGATGCCCGTACAACCGAAGTTTTGATATCTACGACTATCTCGTGTCTACTTAATAAATTTTGTCAACCATATACAGTTCACACTCACATTGTCAAAATATCACACTATTGGAGTTTCCCCAACAAAAATTGTCAAGCATGGCATCCTCCATCGCCGACATCGAGCCACTACTGGCCAGCTCAATGAGAATTTTGCGCAACTAAACTACCCTTCAGGATCTCATTGTAGCTTATCCATCTTTGAGGGAAAAAGCTCTTTCACCGCCTTCTACCATGACAGAATCGAAACAACGCGTGTTTCTCGATCTTCCTGATCCGGACATGGAAACTGCTAATTTGAAAGCGGCAACAAATCTTTCACGCTCCGAATTGATTGAGAAGGCTGTCACGGATCGTGGCAGTCTCACAGAAGCAGAAGTTCTAGTTTTGAAAGATCGATTTTGGACACCTCCAACGATAGAATAGAATTCAAGAATTACTGATGCGTTCATGGACTTGATTGAGCAGGCGGAGACGAATTTTTCGATGCCAAAGCTCCAGCGTATCTTCCAAAAGAGGAAGAAGCGTTCAATATTGGTATTCACGAGTTCTGGGGTCGTGATCAAGCATTAAGAGATGATCAAACAAATAATGCAGTCAATGCAGCCTTGCCATTTGCACCGGAATGGATAAGGCAGCTTTACAGTGAGGGAAAACAGCAATGGGGGTACATCTGTCTTTATGATGCTGAAGCTCAAAAACTCGATGCAGAACGCCTTGAAATTTTTCAATCTGCACTATATAGCTTCTTCGAACATGCACTTCGGTTTAATGGCTCAAAAGATATCATCAATGGCAAATGGCGATATATGACGTTTAATGCACCAGATACTGCGTTTGCACCTCCTGCAACCTCTTTACAGGACAAAGAAAGCAACGGCGGGAGCGCCGGTCAGGATACCGGTGCTTTATTTCCAAAAGCATTTCAGGAAATTTTAGAAAATCCGGAGACGTATCAGCGAAGGGAAGATGTCGTTCCGACTGATGAATATATAGGCAACCTCGAAAATGGGATTGCCGATTCGGGATTCCTCACAAATACCTTCTCGTATTTGATCCAGTGTGTATCGACTTAGTCGTGGATTCAGGGTATTTCTATGATAACATGCGTGCATTAGCATTTGAGGCTGAGTTTCCCGTGCCCGGAGGGACATATAAAGAAGGATATCAGGGTTACACGTGGGTGAGATTAGATCAATTGGTGTATTACTTTTACGATTTGAGGTTGAACAAAGCCGACGAACTTGGGATGGATAAGATATGGGAGGCTGCACAGAAGAGTAGGAATAGTGCATTCGTCAGCATGGATCCCGAGGAAGCCATGAATTGGTCACATTCTCGTCCGCAAACTAAATTTACCCCTGATAGTATATTAGGGAAAAGATGGTACACTTTGAGAGAGGCTCTAAGGCAGTGAGCAAGCATTTGTTCGAATCAAAAGTGTTGGAGGCTGATGAGAAATAAGAGAAGAATTGAAATAAAAGGCGGGTGGCACATAATTGTTCGGAAACAATCGTCTCTTAGGAGAGTTTAATCGTGGTTCTACAACGGTTGAATATTTTTTTGAGGTGTTCCGCGCGATCTCCTGCAATTTTCTCGGTACAAGACAGATTAATATTGTGATATTGGGTCTACAAATGGGTTGAATCCAAACGTTAATCCATCTCTACGGAGGTGATACTGAATACGGACGTGGCAATAAGCATCCCCAGGGCTCAAGCCAGGGTGCCGGCCCTGCAGGTACACTAAATTTTTCTTTCTACTTATCTACTGCCACAGCTAGTCGGGCATTATCTTGGTGTTATCAAGCTTAAAGGGAGAGGTGAATCATACATCTGTATCGGCGATTCTTTTTTTCAATGGATTTTCCAAAACTGGCAGCTGTTCACGGAGGGCAGGGGCAATCGTCAGGGGGAAAAAATTTGGTTGGTACTTGGCACCAACTGTTGGTGATTCGGACGATCCAAGATACTTTTTGCTTCCAGCATCCCTCGTTTGAACGTGCAGCTAAATCTACAGCTAATAGCCAAGAAGTACTTACACGGAATTTAATTCGAGCGAACCAGCATAATTATGGTCCAGAGATTGCTATCTGGATAATTAAGGTGATCACAACAGACGATAGTGTCATTGGCGAACTTTTTCCACGATATCTCGAAACCGGGCAAAGTTATATGCAAGCTCTACGACTATCATTAATCACATTCAACTATTGATGGTCGTTTCGTGTACATTCTGACGCGAAGAAAAACAGCCATCGAGACACTAGATCTGGTATGTACTCGAAGTATCGAGACATAACTTCTCCCTGGACTCAGGGTCTAGATGATACTTGCCCCTTGCACAAGCGCCTATTTTCTGCAGAGTTTTCCAAATATCATGCCAACCGTGGACTTTGCTGTTAATTAGAGCAGATTAAGTATAAGAAGATGCAATCATATGGAAAGTAGGGTTACATAGCGTTGGCAATATGCTCTCTCGCGGCGTAGTCAGACGAAGAGGTTTTTGCTCGCGTGAAGAACTTCTTCGTATCGTGTATTTGCACTTATGAGTGTCTCTGGTTTCTCCATAATCTTGTGCTAGTTAGCAGTGCATGTAGGGATCTCATATTCCACCGGCATCTTCTAGCATACGAATTATTCGGATTTTTTTCAACTCTTTCACAACCATCCCTTAACCTCGTTGTTCAACCCTTAATGATTTAAGTGAATCAGATTTCAAAGCACACAGTTCATGGCCATCCCGTATTCTCATCACCTCGGAGAATTCTATGAATCTACTTATCCACTCTTGGACTTGTTATGGCTTGATTTAAAGTCCGGTATTTTATGGTATGTGATGGAAGGGCTGATTGGATTGGACTTCTAGAATATGGGTGTGGGTAGTTAGGTAGAAGCACCTTTGTGGCATGAGACTGCACTGTTCTAGGAATTAAATGGGAGTCATGCCAACATGATTCCAACATCTCTGCTTTAGTGTAAAGTCAATTTTGATAACCTGTTTTCCAGTGTATTCTGTATCATCCCGAGGCGCGCCAAATGGAATGGTGTTGCGTATGGATATTCCTCAATTATACCCAGGATGCTTCAACAATTATATAAGTAGACATCATGCCTTCGTTTCATATTTCTACAAGCATATCCCATCGCTAGCTGTCCGGCGTGAAATCACCTCTCACTGAACAGAAAACTCTCCGCAAGTCTTTAGCTGTTGACCTCCTGGGATCTTGGCAGCATATGCATATATAGTACATATGCATATAAGGAGCAAACAAAACTCAACTTTTAATTCATTCTTTCCTTTTTGGTATACTGTTTGTTTGCTTTCAATATTTTGATTTCAAAGCACTTTAATTCCGAAGGCTGAATACCTAACCTTATTCCTTCATTTTTTGAATATATACTCGCAGCTTAACTGCTTAGCTAGAGAATCAATCAATTCAATCTGATACTCTTTCTAGTCTCAAGAAACCCAACATTAGCCGATGTGCTTTATACATAATGAAATGGCTACATATCTTCACGGTGCTGCTTGTCCTTTACCAAGTACAAGCAGCTGCAGTTCTTGCACACTTCATGGTAACACGGTTATCCGATGTAACTTCAAGTGGTGCTAACAATATCTTGCAGGTTGGAAAAACTCAATATTTTACGCAGAGCGATTGGGAAACGAATATGCAGACAGCAATTGACTATTACATTGATGCGTTTGCACTTAATATGGCTTATGGTTGGATTGACAACGTAGGACAGGTATCGTTGGCTTTCGCTGCTGCTGATAGCGTAGACTTTAAGTTGTTCTACTCATTTGACTACGCAGGCAATGGACCATGGCCAAAGGCTGATGTCATTCAATTCATCTAAAGCCATGCATCAGATGCATCTTACTATCATTACAACGGACAGCCATTTGTCTCTACCTTTGAGGGTCCGGACTCTTCTAGTGATTGGGTTGATATTAGGGCTCAGACCAGATGTTTCTTTGTTCCAGACTGGTCCTCTATTGGCGCTGGCCCAGAATTAGCTAAAGGTGTTGCAGATGGGCTATTCAGTGAGTTGGGATTTTTGCAATCTTCCACTCATGTAGCTGATCACAGAGCTCTTTGCTAATGTTAGAATAGGCTGAGCGGCATGGAGATGGGGCGATTGGAGGATGAATACTTACTCGGATGCTGCTTATAATACATCTCCTGCTGGCTTGCCATATATGATGCCTGTGTCACCTTGGTTCTACACGAACCTTCCAGGTTACGACAAGAACTGGCTTTGGTCATCGGATGATTTGTGGTTTGACTGCTGGCAGGAGGTGTGGTCTTTTCAGCCAGAGTGGGTTGAGATAATTACTTGGAACGATTTCGGAGAATCACATTATATAGGACCTCTGGTAAGTAACAACCTTGCCTTCCTTTGACGCCCAAATCCTCTGTATAGCAGCCATTTCGTATGGGAAAAATGTCCGGCTACTTCGTCTTGTATTTATGCCTTAATTTGAAGGGAACTAACATGGTCGAATGATGAAAAAAAATACGACCTGTTCAACGAAACAAATGGGAAAGCGCCTTTTAATGTTGGTCACACCAGGAACCGCCTCTCATGAAACAGAAACATTATACTTACAAATAAAATAGTATGTCAGTGGAATGCCTCATGATGCCTGGGGTTTATCGCTTCCATATTTAATTGACACCTTTAAGAACGGCGTGGGGACTATAACCCAGGAGAACCTTTACGTTTGGCATCGTCTTTCACCAGCGACAGCTTGTGAAAATGATTTTACAAAGGGAAATACAGCAAGTCAGCTACAAATTGAATTCCTACCATGGGACATTGTCACCGATAGAATATTTTTCTCCGCATTGCTCGTTTCAGGCGCATCTTACACTGTTACAATTGGAGGTAATATAGCCACTTCCGAATCTCTGGATTGGAAATAAATTCCCCATACTGGTACTGGAGGTCTATATCACGGCAGCGCTTCCTTCAATGGTCTTGCCGGTACAGTCTTTGTGTCGATGGCGGAACTAGTGAGCAACCCTAGAATTCCTTGGATATTGTCACCTTTCCCTGCTAAAAGCATATAGTCACGTCATATTGCTCTAGAACCGCTGGTTATACAAATGTAAGCCTGACTAACCCAAGATTTTCCTCTCGAGCGACCCTCTACAACTTTTAACACAAACCGCACGAGGGACGCAAGATTGAGTCCATTCATCTCTTTTTTTTTTCAATTTCTCGAGAGCGAGGAAAATGTTGACTGTTCTTCTAGTGGAATGCTTTCACCGCATACGAAGCAGGAGATAAGACAGGCGGTGAATCTATGCTAAATTTGTCCGATCAAAAGTGTATTGAGGGCTTTGGTACCAACGACTTCAATACTATATGTGCTTTTGTATGTGGGCTAGGGCAAGTTCTGAGAAAACTTGATTCATACTTCATCAGTGCATCAACTCTAACAAATTGAAAGTTATTGTCCTCCAGCGGCGTGCACTTGCGCCCAGATTGGAACGCCTCCAAAAGCTCCCGGATGTCACTGGTTTTACTGGCTACCCGGCAAATGGCATAATTGAATATCAGGGTCTTTGTGCCTTTTCTTGCCGTTATTTGGGTCTTCATTTCATGATGAATTTCTGGAGGAATTGCTAAATAGATAAACTGTAGGGCTTCTGCGGCTTTGCAAACAACACTGTCTGCGTGGACTCTCCAACTGCGCTGTATATCCCGACAGTCTCGCCATTCAACCCCCGAGCATGCACCGGAGGTAGCGGAGAAGCCGACTTCTTTGATTTGTGCAATTGGTCTTGTCAATATGGATATTGTCCCATTTTTTCATGCACTTGTAACACACAAGGTGATTTGGTTGTCCCACCCCCGCACAAGTCAGTGACATGAAAGCCACTTTCATTCCAGTCACAGGCGTCATGGAATATGATGACCTCTGTGCATTTACTTGCAGTCGTGGACATTGCCCCGATGTTTTTGCCTCTGATCTGGCATTTACATCAGGTTCAGGCATGGGTAACTACATCGGTCTGTGTGTCTATACCTGTAAATACAACTTCTGTCCAGAACCATGTGACTGCCTCGTGTATGGTTCTGAGATACCAGCTCCACCTATAGTACCTAACGTCACTGGTTATGCCGCGCTGGGCTTGGACTCCGCCACTTACGATCCTCTTTGTAACTTTACTTGCAGCCATGGTGAGCAACTCAGTTCTTTTACCACACTACCCAATCATAAAGCACAAAACTTATGCCAATACATTACGACTTTGGCCCCGAACTTTCCTTATTCCCTGAGTTTATTTTGGAATGCAATTTCTGACTGTTTTATTATCCAGGATATTACCCTAGTGACGCCTGCTCATACGAAGAAGTTGCTGACCTAAGTACATCGCTTGTTTTCCCCTCAGACGACGATCTACTTCCATTTGATTTAAGTACAAGTTACAGCTCTGGTGATGGCTTCTTGTACGATACGCCTGAGCCTTCGAATCTAAAACTTAACATCAACTTGTACGGTATACCAGTAGTTTGGGGAGACATAGATTGTAGTTCGCTGTCAGGAGAATATGCTCCAGGGGTGGATGGAGACACTCTCGGATGCATTGCGACATCTGTTTCAGTGAGCATCTTCCATTCTTTCATTATAACTACTTACAGTTCTAAAAGTTATTTCCTTCCTGCATCCTTTTTTAATGCGGCTTGGATACTTAGTTTATCCTTTACTGAATTCTCTAATGTGATAGTTTCTAATATACTCAATATATCAAGACGATGGCAAAGTATCTACGTCCCGGATACGAAGTCTATCAACAAATTATTATTTTCAGAGCCACTCGGAATGCAAAGCGATCGGTGAGTGCACAAGGAAATGCATGCTCTTAAATGGTACCCCAGCAAACACCTGGACTTCTGTGGGAAATGGAACATACAAAGGCATATATCACGAACTTCATTTCATACATAATGATAAATTCTTCGGTTATGGAGCATATCAAGGTCCTGCTGCTAGCTCGTCTCAACTTGCTAATTGAGATGAGGACTACGGTTTAGGTTCAAGGACTGGACTTGGAGTGGGATCCGAGCTGCATTTTGTTGGAAATTCAGACATTGATCTCACGACCTCATTTGATGAAGTTGGTCTAACACCCAAAGGAGCAGCAGAATTCGTAGGATGGGCTACCGCAGCAACAATATCGGAGTCCTATTACGAGTTTCTCTGCTGCCAGTTCGATGTCCTTGGTCAAATGGCATCCACCGCGGCAATGCGTATTGGGGTTACTACGCCTCCCTTTGGATGGGACTCTCCTTATGAACCCGATCAAGTAATTGAGATTTGCGAAAATGCAACCATCGGTAGTGTTCTTTTAACCTGCGCATACAATTTAACAAGCATTGACCCAGAATTACTCGATGATCCTGATAGAAACGAGTCGAAATATGTCTGGCCGGTGTTGAGTACCCGAGGCGATCACTCAGGTCTACCCGTCAATTACATAATCACGAATTACGCCAACTCAGCACAAACAACTACTTTCACATCAGCTACCTATCCTAATGGAAATTATGGGCAGGACCTGCCAGCATAGGGGGGAGATCCGCACGCTTATGCGCATGCAACTACAAATTGTAGCGATGCATCTCTGATCAACAACGCAATGATTGGCACGAATGGAGTCAGGGTACAAAGCGAGCATATTATTGAACGGGTTACAATAAGAAACTTCATGGAGTTTATTCAAGATCCCTGGATGGACCTTGAAGATGGACTAGGCCTACAGACTGTGAGTAGTGACCCCGGTATTGTTCCTTTTGAGGTCATCAATAATTATATGAACTTACCGTACAATCAATGGCCACTTCTACAAGGGCAACAGTTAAACGGTAACACACTCTTCGAAAACTTAGGCAATGCTCTGGGCTCCACTACAAACCCCGGAGTCATGCACAACTTACAGTCGTCCTTGAATAATCTGAAAGCTCGAGTTCGGGGCGGTACAGTGAACGTTACCTCCAATAAGGTATTCAACAAACTGGCTAATGATCCAACCACCCGCAGTACCGAGAGGGCTCTCAATCTCTTACGTTCGGTGAGTGTCCGAAATTACTTTTGCTTTCGATATTTGGCATAGGGATTATATGCTAACATAACTATTTGAATCATGAAATTGTCGTTTTCAACTAAATTAATGACCCAAACAAACAGACTCTTATGGGACGGATTCATCAAGGCATTCACGCAGCTCTGACCGAATTTGACACTCTATACAACTCACAACGTCCTCTAGCCCAAATACACACGGCTGATCTCTGGACGGAATATATCAAATTTTTGGCTAAGCGAATAACGAATCACTATTACAATTATTTGACCGATCTAAATACTGGAAGGATTAACTTACTGAGGGCAGGCTGGCAAAGAGTGTTGACCAACAATCCAACGCGTCAAATGAGAACTATTGCTAATGGGAACCTGGTCAAGATCAATGCGCTCAGTGCCCAGATTGCAGCAACAGTGGTCTTCAACGAAGCTCCATTCAATCTTCCAAACTAGACACCGGAAAGTTGCCTGAGTATTTCCCGAAAATCAGGTGAAGGTTTGAATTTTGAGGGCAGGTGGAAAATGAGAGCTTAATCTTACATCGAGGAAGTCACGTCTAAGACAAGAGGGTTATTTGGGATAGGAGAGTATTGATATTATATACATGTCTGGACTTAGAGCTTCGGATGTTGGTGATTGAGCGAACCTTGGCTTTTATGTTTAAAGACCATTTATAATCATTTAGCAACATCGCGGTATATAGGTATCCGCAAAAGAAGAGAAGGAAATCAGTTAAAATTCAAATTGAGATAACTTTCTTATGGATCACAATACACAATGCAGGATGCTTTGTCATGCATGCTTGAGGTCCACTTTAAATGAGGGAGCCGCAGATACTAAACATGATTCATCAAACACTAAGACAAGATGATGGAAATCAGCGAATGGTGGCCCCGATAATATGTTAAGCGGGTGCTTACCATAGCATTGGTCCCTCCACATTCCTATATCATTACTAAGGTGGAGAGTCCCTATGCAAATGTAAGCAACCCCTAAGCCCCACGCCTTAGTTACACAGGGACAGACATGATGATTAATGGGGGAACATATGGATGCAAATGTGGGATAAATCACACCCATACAAAGCCTAAGTTTCTCCCTAACAATTTTATGTTTTCCCCAGAGCTCGAATTTGACCTTCAAAGATTCATATCCTAGAATTTACACTTTCAAATTAGCATCAACATAATGTCCAAACGAATCCTCCTCACCGGAGCCAACGGCTTTATCGGCTCATGGGTGCTCGATTACCTCCTCAAACAAGGCCACTCCGTCCGCGCCATACTACGATCCCAATCGAAAGCCGGGCAAGTCTCCTCCGACTTCCCCACGTACAAATCCCAACTCGATTTTGGTATCGTCCCCGATATCACTGCGCCAGGAGCGTTTGACGAAGTCGTCAAATCAGATCCTTCTTTCGATATCGTAATTCATACTGCTTCTCCATTTCTCTATAAAGTCATCACGGATAATCGTGAGTTTCTTGATCCAGCGATCAAGGGAACAATGGGCGTTTTGGAGAGTGTGAAGAAAAATGCGCCCGGAGTTAAGAGAGTGGTGGTTACGAGTAGTTGTGCAGCTGTTGTGGATTTTGACGCGGAATTTGTTAGTCAGCCGCAAAAGCTTTATACAGAGGCAGATTGGAATCCTACTACGTGGGAGAGTGCATTGCATGGTACACAGAATAATGCATATCAAGCGAGTAAGAAGTTTGCGGAGTTGGCTGGTGAGTTTCTTTCTCTAGAGATTGGGAATTAAAGGTTAGTACTGATTATTTGTAGCGTGGGACTTTGTGGAGAAGGAGAAACCGAATTTTGATCTGGTTACTTTGGCGCCTCCGATGGTATATGGGCCGCTGAGACATACCATTTCAAGTACAAATGACTTGAATCAATCAAATTCAAGGATCTACAGTGGATTCTTCAATTCATCTAAGAATGCTGAGCTACCTCCAAGTAAGTTTTTTCAGTACTCTCATCGCCGTGGAAAATTGTGCTAATTGACTAGATGGCCTTCATACATTCACTGACGTTCGCGTAAGTACTTTTTTCACTTCTTCTATCTTGTTAACCATCTAACAAGCCTCAAGGACTTAGCAGAGGCTCACGTGCTGGCTGCAACTCTCTCAGAAGCATCAGGACAGCGCTTCATCATTTGTGAAGGGCAAATCTCATCTCAGAACATCAGCGATATTCTCCGTAAGAATATTCCAGGATTGGAAGATAGAACACCACAAGGGGTTCCAGGTGATAAGGGGCTGGAAGATGGCTCTTTTACCTGTAGTAGTGAGAAGGCTGAGAAGGTCTTGGGATTGAAGTTTAGGAGTAAGGAGGATACTTTTGTGGATCTAGCAAAGCAGTTGTTGGAGATTGAGAAGAGGGATAAGGGCGAAGAGTGAGCGATGTACAAAGTAATATTGACTTTTGTGAAGGCCTGAAGGTTGTACCGTTTTATTTATCTATTAATGCAAAGAAACCTAGATTCTAGCGATACTAAATGTTCTATGGAAACGATGCCATTTATGTTTATTAGAAGGTATCTATCTAATGACAATAGCCACTCTGGCAAGTGAGAATGCCGCTGCAAGGACTACTTGCGCTACAATCCCATCCTTCACAACCCCAAGTACAGCTTGCTGGTGAATGACAGTAACCACTCTGGCAAGTGAGGCCCGTGTTACAAGGGCTGCTTGCGCTACAGTCCCATCCAGCGCAGCCCCATGTACAGCTTGGTGCCGGATGACAATAACCACTCTGGCAGGTGCGACCTCCACTGCAAGGACTGCTTGAGCTACAGTCCCATCCTTCGCAGCCCCACGTACAGGTTGGCTGATGGCAAATACCACTCTGGCAGGTGCGACCCCCACTGCAAGGACTGCTTGAGCTACAGTCCCATCCTTCGCAGCCCCAAGTGCAGGTTCCTGTTGGGCTGGCAGGCTTAGTGGTAGTTGGTGCTGTACTCTTGGGAGTAGTGGAAGGGAGCGATCCACCTATATTCCAAATTAGTATTTTATTCTCGAGGAGGCGGGATGCCAAAGATATCTTACCAGAGCCGCAACCTGTCTTCGTGTTATGCAAAAGTAAATTCTGGGTAGAAGACAGAATTGATGAACTTCCCTCCACAATCAAAAAGTCCGCTTCTTTGTTGTACTCGAACCATGATGCAGCGATGTAATTTGGATAATCGCACATGTTTTGATTTACCAATTGACTGAGCCATGCAGTATTTCCAGAAGACCCAGCATACCCTGTCTCACCGATGGCAAATGGGATGTTGTATGCGGCGGAGTAGGTTTTGTAGAAGTTGCTGTAGCAGTTTGAAAAAGCGGAGGAGGAAAGCGCCGAATCTGAGGAGGGATAGCAATCGACGCCTACGATATCAACATAAGATGCTCCGGGCCAATATGGTGCAACCGGGGCATCCGAAGTGTCTACATTAGGAGACCAGTACATTTTGATCTTGGGATTACTAGAAACAGCTGCATGGATATTCTTCCAAGCTGTGACGAACTCGTCGGCTGTTCCATGGTATGTACCACTGGTCTAGTCAAATGTTAATCGAGATAGCGGTGATGCTCGAATGGTCAATACTTACGACATAGTAGTTCATCTCATGACCGAATCTCAACCAAACCTCCACGCCCTTCGCAGTGAACTGTTCCAACACACTTGCAACCTGACTGGCTACACTGCTGCTCACTTGACTAAATTGGATATACGGCATAACCGCTGGCTGAAATACAGCACCAGACGCAACGATATCATCAAGACGTTCAAGGAGCTGAGATCCATCGAAGGTGCTAGATGTTATTTGCGCGTACCAGCCATAAGTACTGGCTTTTCCACCGAGCTTGCTGTTTATTTGAGACATGGTATAGGCTGGAGAAGCCACCTGATAGCCATCCGATGGAAGGAAGCCAAAGGCTACACCGTTTGAAACTATTCCGTCGGAAGGAAGGCCATCAACTCCAGCTAAAGAGTGTTAGTCATAACTTTTGCGAAGGAGAGGTATTTATTACCTCGTTTTTCAACAGACAGCTGTGGAGTAGCCAACGCTGATACGGCTGAAACAATAGCTGCCCCAGAAAGAAAGTAGGTAGACTTCATGTTGAAGATGTATAGACTGAAGCTACGATTTTTTCTTAAGAAAACTGGGAGATTTGTATGAAGGGATAGTAAGATGGAAGGTGAGATGGCAAAGATGAAGGCTTTCGCTGGCCATATATATTTATGTCCTTCACTCGAAAAGATAGCATGCAGAGAAAAATACGAGCCGTCCCATCGCGGCTCAAACCTATATTTCCATAGATATGACGTTCATCTGTTCTTCATACCGATACACACAAACCACATAGTTGGAGTACACATCCAGCCGCACTGGATGACAATTCCGAATATAGTATTTCGTGGAGATCGATTAATCTAATCTTGGCAATCTAATGGTAGATCTTCGTGATGAGAAATGAGCATTTTCCCCGAGATCCTACGATGTGACATTGAAAGTTTAGAAGGATCGTGTCAGAGATAATGTGGTTAGAAGGTTCAGCCGCGTACGGGACGCACCTACCAACTTAATGCTCGAGCCAAATTAAGCGATACATCAGCAGATTTATATTGTTACCTTCCGTAATTGGACGTATTGAGAATAAGCCCATACCCTTTTAGGTTTAGCCTCTCCCGCCAAAACGTAAATATCGGGAAGCACGGAGAGGAGGTCGATGACAATTACCCGCTCTGTTGCATATCTTCCCGTTTGACAGGTCCCTGTTGATCTAGTTAACCTTAATTCAAGCGAGAAAACTTATGCTTAAAATAGTATGGGCTTATTCTCAATCTGTTCAGTGTATGCGGTACTTTCGGATTGACCATGAGGTATTAAACTCTGAGTGTATCAACTTTCAAGACGGCGATTTGATCAGTTTCGGCTGTTCAATTGATTGGTGCGATCAGTTCCTGCGTGAACTCTTTTATGGTTGTGTGTGGCGTTGGGGCCTATTATCACCCTGTGGCTTGAATCCATCGAGTCATGACACCCTAAAATAAGAATTTACTTACTCGTGAGGCCAGCTAAGGGGCACATACCTAAAGATGGTAAACTAGTGACTCTACAAGAGGAATTTCATTACTTTGTTTCTCTAGCGTCCGAGTTTCATACTTTATGGCAGCGCGAGTACCTGGTGGGAGGAATTGTAAATACTTTTCTGGAAAATCCATCATTTAATGATTTGACATCAGGATTTACTCGATCCTCCAGCAACTATATTGAGCGAGTACTCGCCACTCAAGTGCACGGAGCCACTCCTGAATGTGCCAATAGGCACTATGCTCATTAAACATTATGGGAATTTGTCAGCGAAGGATTCTTATGTAAGCACAGGTAAAGCATGAGATGTTACACTGTGCCGTAAAAAATGGGGATGGAATGTTTACCCAGATCGGATGATATGAAGTCATGTCAGGAAGGAATCGATCCGTAAGGAACGTTGAAATTTGCTTCTTTTCACGTTAGACCATTTTTGGCCGTTCGTTAAAGTTTTGAACGCCATAGCTCGAACATGGACTGAGTGCATGCAAATCGAGCAATGCACGTCGATCTCTTGAAGACTTGAAGTATCAGGGATATGTAGTATTGTATTATGTTATATGGACTAAAGATTCTTTAGATTCTCTGCCGGGTATTAGTTTCCTGTCTCCAACATAGCCATGGAAACCTCAGGACGTCATTGATGGATTCACTCTACAATTTCTTCCCGTACATTTGTGGGCTTCGACGGCTTTCAAATAATCCTCATTAACCTGTTTTCAGAATCGATACCAGGATTATATCAGAGCTACAAATTTACGAGTTACCAAAGGAGCGATATTCTCCACGTTGCCAATCTAGAAACGGTTCGCTCTCTGGGTTTGTGGAACTGAAGCTACGGCAACTGCCCGACAAAGAGTAGCACCTCGTGTAACGCATGTTCATCAGAGCCCACTACTACATTGAAAAGAGATTCTTTCCTTCTTGCTACCATTACTAATCTATTCTGCAAGATGGGATGAATGTCAGCAAGAAGGTCCACAAAGGTTCTCTTCGCGCGACCTGGGCTTCACATCTGCTGATTGCGGTTCATGCAAGGTGATTTGATAACATTTCGTGCAACATAACCTTGGAGCTTTTTTGAAGATTTTCATATATAATACGGTCACATAAACAGATATTTCTTCTTCAGCAGCAACTTTTCTTGCATCTTCTGCTCTATTCATCAGATCTATATTTCCATCTTCTCACAGTCACTTATTGTACCTGTATTTCCACCATGCATATGCAACAATTCCTCATCACGGCAGCCTGCCTCGCCACCACTACACTTGCCATTCCTTTAGATGGTCGCGATAGTTCTACCTCCCCTGCCAACGCAAAGGTTACTCTTGCAGAAGCATTCACCTCCGGCGCTGGTAACAAAAACCCCAAATCTACCACCAATACCGGCGTTGGCAAAGGTTCCGACACTTACAAATGCTACTATGGCGGCTGGCAATCATTTCCACCATCTTCCAAGTGGGTTTCCTTTGAGGCTATGTGGAATAAATCTATCACGTACCTCAAGGAATCGTGTGCCAGTACCGGCGCCTTTGGTTCTGGCGATAGCCAAACACAGATTGATGACATGTACAACTCAATCTTGACCGTCGCTAGCGCTAGTTTTGTGGACCCAAGATTCATCTTCGCCACGATCTTGCAAGAGAGTAGTGGATGTGTCAATATTGACACCAGCACAAACCCAGACCCAAGCCAACCTGATAACCCGTATGTACTAATTTTCCTATCCATCCTCACCCTCAAACAATTTATTTGATACAGACCACTAACCATATTCCAGGGGTCTCATGCAATCCGTAGGCGGTGCAAAATTCGTCGGAAACTCCGCATCTGCATCCGCTCAGGCTTCATCCATTCACCAAATGATCGTCGATGGAACTCAAGGCACAACGCAAGGTGATGGTCTCGTCCAATGCATCAATCAATTTGGAAACATTTATGAAGCTGCTAGATGTTACAACTCTGGAGAGGTCGATAAAAGCAATTTGAATGATGCTGAGGGAGCTACTGCAAGCTATGTTAACGATATCGCGAACAGAATGACTGGATGGTTGAACGCGGAACAAACGTTCGATTCTTGTTAGATATAGATGGGCTGTGGTTTTGGAATGATTGGGGGAGTGATTGCGGGAGTGATTGCGGGTATGGGGGTATGCGGAATTTGCAAGAGATGAAGTGGACTGTATGGAGGGTTAGTGTGGTTTGAGTGGTCTAGTTTGCGGTTAAAGTTTGTGCTTTGGAATTGTTGTGTACTTATAGCTGGAGAAATTCACATTTGTAGGCTTTAGGGACATTAATTCATTGAAATCAGGGGATCTTTTGATTTGAATCAAGTGAAAACAATGATTTCCCATTTAAATATTCGTGGCTCTTCCGGTGATCGTGAGTCCTCTTTCATTAATTCCCATTCTAGAAATTAAGGATCAATAAACTGACACACTTGAGGAGCATATCCATGTGTAAGTGGTTAATTTAGAGAATAAAATGTAAAAATATCTAACATCCAAGCGGAATTTCTCAGAAGATTTAGAATGTCGAACAATACTGAATCAGACGGATTTATTACAACAGGGGCGCAATCCAATGGACCATTATGTATTTCTTATCTACACGAATTATGCCATTAGATTAGATCAACCTCATGTACTTACATGGCACTTCGGAGCCACATTGAATCATTAACCACCATAACATGACTCATAAGTACTGCGTAGCCGAAGGGCAAATGGGAGTAATCTTCATCGTAAATACAAACTCCGCAACCATTCATTACCCTGATTATGAGTTATACGTCTTTACATGATAGGCGATAAAGTCACAATGAAATTCTTTTTTAATCAAGTTCAAACCCTTCCATTACTTTGGCTGCTCTACATCGCACATCTTCTCACACACTCTTCAGAAAGGAACTTGAATAATAATTCATAGACTAGAAACTATTGACTTACAAAAAACATTCAAATACTCCAATAAATCATCAATAGTAAAATGAACGAGTCACCTTGCTGAACAGTTTGATTTCATGTTAGCTCATATCGTATATCATGAGATATTAGTGCAATAGCCACAGAAACTTCAGTAGCCTAGGGAGATTTTTGGAAACCATCGACTTTCTAGTACGGTATCCCGATATCGATCGTGTTATTCGTACTTCACAGCTGAATGCCAAACTCAAATTGAATACAATTGCTAGAAAGATCACTGGCTACAGCAGTAATGATAACAGGAGTAGATAATTTCGTGCCGTTAAATTGATAAGGGTATCAGAATATTATCCAAGCCATTCCCAACTATCGTTTATGCTGCTGTTATCTAACCTATTACCCCATATTATGTTTGCAGCAATATCCGCCAGGCTGGTCGGTTGTATAGAAAATTTCATTCCAATTCAGAATTGTAAGTTCTCTAGAATTCTGTAAGATTGGCAGTGCAGGTTCCCGGATTGTATTTTCGGTCTGTTATATGAGTAATTTTGTAATCTTATGCGATAGGATAAATTTGAAGTATACCACCGTACTTCCAATCCAGAGGATTTTTGGGATCTCTAATGTCGCAGCCGAAAGAACAAATTAGCAAACACTCTATTGCTTCCAAAGCCAACACGGAATACTCACCACCCATGATTTGTATCATGTTACCAAGCAATTAATCTCCATATTTTGTGTGATATTTATTCCAGGCGGCCACTTCATCGATATATCAGCTTCAAAGCTTCATTCCTTGTTGTAAGTTCGGTCTGTTGATCCGCTATTCTTATCTTGCGCATGTCGTAATGCAGCTTTGGAATAGAATTTGTAAATTGTGGTATTCATATCATTAAGACTCATGAAGTAATTGATCATAAAATTGCATGCTGGTGTTTGCAGAGGCGAGGAAGGTTAGCGTTGCAGAATTCGAAAAGCTCGTTTGTACAGCTGAGGAGTTTGAGAGCACTGAAGTTGGTAATGAGGTCGCGGAAGTTGGAGTTGGAGGTTAAGTGGATGTAGTTGTTTTGTTTGAACATGATGAGGAGCTGATATAAATCGATAGTGAGAGTGAGGTAGTTACAGTGATAAAGTTGGGATCATCATGGGCTTCTGGCTTTGTCAAAATTGAAGAAATCCCCGTGATTGAGAAGCCAAAGCTGGAGCTTGCGCCAGCAATGATAATAGTAGTAGAAATGTATGCGGATGGAGAAGAAGAAGAGTCGAAGTTGAACTGGGCCTCTAAGACGCCTGATATGAGTACAGAATAAATTACGAGTGCATAGAAAAGATGTGGAAGACACCGTTTGAAGTGATATATCTGATGAGACTTGCGGTGTGCCCAATAGACTTCCCCTATTTCTTTTGGGCGGCCAGTTTGTGATTCTATTGGGCTAGATGGGCTATTGGGAAATTCTAATACAAAAACTCCGGACTAGATAATCTAATTTTGAAAAGTCTAGCTCCTTTGAAGCACAGTCTGGCTTGTTGAAAATATAAACTATACTAGATGGATTGTTAACTTAAAACATCTAGTCCAGCCTACAGTCTGGATTATTGGATACATTGGATGAAAGGTTGAGTACATGATGTCAAAAAATCATTAAGCCTAATAAAATTACTAAGATTTACCGACTTGAAATGCACATAAATCCAAAGTGGAACCAGTGAACTAACTCCTTACATATAGCCCCTCTTATAACTTACACAACCCTCTATTCCGAACTGTGTATAACACCGTTAAATTTGGCAGCAACTTACTCCTACAGTATGTCCAACAATACACTCATACATCAATATTCTAGAACTAATAATATGCAAATAGATCCACCTAAATAATCATAGGAAACGTAAATGGTTGATCCAGAGTCATCCCCTGGCAACCAAGAAAGCAAACCAAACTATCATCTCCCTGACCATTAATTTGCACCACAGACTTTTGAAACAACATCATGGCAAGAATGAATCGAAAACTGAAATAAAACGCTCAAGTGACATCCTATTATTCAGACGATGCATTAACTCTAGGGAAACAAAGTAGAGATGAACACGTGGAAGAAAGCTGACTGCCAGGATCCAGGATAGGGGTATTCCAGTTACTCCCACTGCAGTAATGAAAGGAACACACGAGTACCAATATGCATGATATAGGTAGATATGTTGCTTTTGTGGTGACAAATCAGCAAGGTCAAGGCACAAATTAATTGTAGTTGATCAGTGTATCCAAGAATCCGGACTGTAGGATATACTAGATGTTGTAAATTAAATAATCCAACTTAAATCCAGAAAATCTTATACAATCTGTATAGGATAAATTAAATCTTCAATAAGCTTAGATTACAATCCAAAAGAACCAGATTCTTGGACTGAATATCGATATCATATAATGACAATATTATATAATGATGATATCATATATTTCTATATTAATATTCAATCCAAAAATCCGGATGGCAATCTAGACTTTTTAATATTAGGATATCTAATCGAACTAGTCTAGAATTTTTATATTAAAAATTCCCTAATAGTCTATCTAGTCCATTAATATCATAGATTAGCCATTTAGACTGCCGTCCGGACTTTAAACGGTAAGACTACTGGATACACTGTAGTTGATTGGGGTAGTCATATGAGACCTGATGCTCGTCGGAATCCACAAAGTCTCTCCTTCCACGAAAATATGTAGTCATAATTACTGCTGCTTAGAGGGGGCATATGGGACGTCTCAAGCCCGTCGCGAACTCACTATCAGATCATTAACGCCGAAGAAATATTAGCCGGAGAGCCAAGACGCTTCTGAGACTTTGAACCGTATCTACCCAGTATAAAACGGTCTAGAAGCAATTATTGAAGAAGCAATTTGTTCACTCAATTTGTTATCCACTTTACCGTTTGTTACAGAATAGAAACAGCGTTGATAGTTATTTATCCACAATGCTCCATGTAAACAAGCGAATTTGAAAAGGGGTCAATAACTATGCACTTTTTGCAGGGGTAGGCGACCCCACATGCGAAACTAAGGCGTTCCATCACGGTTCCACACTCGTGCTGTCAGAAAGTATATGACTCCTTCCTAAACAGGCCTGAATTTGCGGGGAAAAACTCTAATTTGGCCAATGAATCTACTACTTTCCTTATATTCCACTTTATTTCTAGGGATTCTTAGAAAATGCTAGGAAAAGGTAAACAGAATGCTCGCTTATACCCACATTTATGCGATCTAATTCACGACCTTGCTATATTGAATATAGGAATAAAAGATCTACATCCTTTTTATCAAAAATGATACTGTTTAGGAAGGAGTCATATACTTACTGGCTGCACGAGTACATCGAACAAAGAAATGGACAGGGATCATGAAAATAGAAAAACATACCTACCTCCTCCTAATTAATAAAGCAAAAGAAACAATTCTGGGAATAAGAGCAGAGAAGTGGAAATGATAAAAATTGTAAAACGACACCTGTGTGATTCGAACACACGCTCCCGAAGGAAATGCCTGACTCTGCTTAAACAATAGCAGGGCATCGCGTTAACCACTCCGCCAAAGTGCCTGAGTGTAGTGATTGATGGATTCTTTCTTTGTTTCCTTATATAAGACTTATAATTTAACGCGATAAAATGCCAACCCCTCGAATGTGGTAATATTAATTATTAATGGCTTTCAAAGGAAATGCGTTCAAAATTACTCATGTATAGTTGGTAATATTTGTCACTTTGATCAATTTTTGTTGAAATTTGAATGCCAAATGTTTGGTATTAGGCCGCAGTGAGCACTGTCTTCAGCCATGTGCCACAAAGTTTGAGATAACTCCCACGATCCCTTCAACAGCGATATCCTACTAAAATTATTCCCACACTGGTTAAAACAGCAGATATTTCTACCACAATATTTATTTCATTACCGGCTTTCAAATATATCCTAACAGATCGAAGAGATTCAAGTCGTGAATCCCTCACTATATGCTCTGCATCCTTTACCAAAGAAAGCAACGCCCACCACAAAAGCACCCGCAGAGGGAATACATTTCAAATATTTCCCCTCCCATAGAGAATCACCGCCACCTTTCTTGTCGTGACTCAAAAGTTTGCAAGAAAGACATCGCGACGTCGTGGTGCCGCGGTAGGCAGGTTGCACTTGGTCGTTCGCAGCACAATCCAACATTATGCGATTGCGTGTAAACATCAATGATTCCGGCATACCTCGATGTATAGAAACGAAAATGCTGTCGGGTTGTACTGTTGCACCATGAATTTACTCATAATACCTGCAGAAGTTTGCTGGTCCATAATTGTCTCCGGTTGTCATGACTCAGTACCATTCTTCCTGCTCAGCAAGCCAGTTTCTGCAGGCTCTCTAAACCACAAATTACCCAAACTAGAGCACCGAAAGAAATTTGATGGCTCATCATTTCGTCCAAAGCTACAGTTGTGCATTTGTAAGGTTTCAAGTTGATGATACTGTCAAAATGTCAGCGCTCTTTTTACCATGGTTGCAAGGTTCGGATGCTATCGTCAGAATGCCGGGGCCAACCCCGCAAGCCTAAGTCTGGCTCTAGAACGGTCATCTGGATTGCCGGGGCTTATGAGTAAGCGAGCATTGCATAGGCCAGATCAGAGTTTTCACATCTATTTACTCTGTAGAATATTACATTTATCGTTCATCTCATTAATAAACTCAATAATTAAGCCGACACGGTGAAGGCATTGTTCTTGTAGGTGTGAAGAGGGCTGTCTTCTTAGTAGGCCCACAATCATCGTACTTGCCATATTAGGCCTAACAACGGTTCCACTGCTCTCACTAGTGCTCTAACCTTGACACGAGTGTGCTCAAACAACTTAGGCAAACCCCAAAACCAGCACAACATTATTCTCCTTAGTATCGCTTTTTTTAATAAAAAAAGAAAAAGGAAAACATTGAAGTTAATAGATCGCATGCTATATGCATCATCGAGTTTATTTTTTTCACATGACTACCAAGTAACTCTGCATTGTTGCAAGTTATGTTCTCCCCTCAAGTCAGGATGAGATTGACATTTCAATAAGGACTGGACGAAGTGAAAACATTGCCATACCTGGCCCAATATATCAATATCACCGTTTAGCTATAGCAAATAAATATTGCTGACAAGGAAATCATCTTCCACAACGTGTCTTATTATTAAGTACTCCTGGAATATACTGAGATTGGTCAAAGTACAGATTCACTACTCATAAGAATAACCCTCCCTATATGATCATCTTTCATGGCAGCTTCACATCGAGAATGAATCCAGCTAGATAATTGCTTGGCTACGCATTATGGATCATACCTAAGATAAAATTAAACCTCATGTTAATTACAACAGTGTTTCCAATTTAGGCTCATTTCTTAGAGTCCTCCACCCATCTTGGCATTTGCGGGGTGCTTAACACCCGAGCCGCCCTTATAATCACAATATATGAAAGAATTCTAATTTGGACATCACGGGTTGTGACAGCTCTTGCATTGATGGTCTAGTACTCCAATATTGATATTAGCCTATGTCACCGGGAAGTATGGGAAAAGGGGTTTTGATTGATGATGCTACTCATCTTGGGGATCGGGGTTCTCTAATGCTTGTACTTTATTGTTCCCTTTTTCCATCTTGGCTCATATCTTGAAACGGAACTGTGGAATCTTGGAGTATATATATAGTCAAGAACCTCATGCTAAAGTCTCGCTCATTCTCTCCAACATTCAAATCATTACATTTCTTGATTCATCATACCTTCTACCAGACAATATGCTTACGGTATCCAACCTTACGGCTTTGGCAGCTCTGCTAAGTCACATCAATGTGTCTATGGCTCAGGGTCAAGCTTACAGTCAATGTAGGCTGAATCACCTTAGGAAAGCAAATCACAGCTAACTCTTCTAGGTGGCGGTGTTGGTTGGAGTGGTGCTACAACTTGTGTAGCAGGATATACTTGCACATATTCAAAGTGAGTACATGTTTCAGTGCAAATTCACGGATGAAGCTAACACTTTTACAGTTCCTGTATGTTGAGACTCGGACAATAGCCGTATAACTCACTCATTTCATTAGATTACTCTCAATGCCTTCCTGGGTCTGCCACCTCTGCCCCCGCTCCTTTGACGACATTGGTTACCTCGAAAATATCCACAACTGCGGGAACAAGCCCAATTAGCACTGGCAGCAGTGTCAATGATAAATTCGTTGCACATGGCAAGAAATACTTTGGAGTCGCCACTGATCAAGGTCGTCTTACATCCGGCGATAATGCAGCTATCATCAAGGCCGATTTTGGACAAGTCACCCCAGAAAATAGCATGAAGTGGGACACAATTGAGGGTATGACTACATGGAAAGGTTTTAAGAAAAGTATTTCTGACAGTCAATAGCATCACAAAACAATTTCAACTTTGCTGGTGGCGATTACCTAGTAAATTGGGCGACAACTAATTCGAAGCTCATTCGTGGTCACACACTTTGTTCGTCATCTCATTTAGTCTGCAAAACTAAGAACTGACAATGATAGGCTGGTATTCTCAACTCCCAAATTGGGTCAGCTCGATTACATCTGCAGCTACACTCACAGCTGTCCTTGAACATCATGTCACACAGGAAGTGACTCGCTGGAAAGGAAAGATATACGCATGGGTATGTCATCACACCCGGTTTCTGCTCACAATATTAATCTTTTAAGGACGTCGTCAATGAGATTTTCAACGAAGATGGCTCCATGAGAACCAGCGTGTTCTATAACGTCCTCGGAGAAAGCTTTGTTTCCATCGCCTTTAAAGCCGCTCGGGCAGCTGACCCCAACGCAAAGCTCTACATCAATGATTACAAGTACTTGGCCCTTCCAATAATTTGTCAGAAGAAGCTAACAAGTTTACAGTTTGGACTCGGCTACCTACGCTAAACTTACCAAGGGTATGGTCGCACATGTCAAGACATGGATCGCTCAGGGAATTCCCATCGATGGCATTGGTTCACAATCTCATCTTCAAGCAGGCCAGGGATCAGCTGCATTGGGTGCTTTAACTGCACTTGCGGCTTCTGGTGTTAGTGAAGTTGCGGTTACAGAATTGGATATTGCAGGAGCAGCTGCTACTGATTATGTCAATGTAAGTTATATCTTTGACTCCCAAATCTCAGTGAAGAGAGGTTATCATTTTTGGAATGAATGCTAACTATTGAACAGGTCGTTAATGCTTGTTTGAGGGTGACTAAATGTGTCGGTATTACGGTCTGGGGTGTCCGTGATCCAGACTCATGGCGCGCAAGCTCATCTCCATTGTTGTTTGATGCCAACTTTGCTCCAAAGGCTGCTTATAATGCCATATTGGCAGCTTTGTAGGTGAAATGCTGCGAGCTTGGATTCAATGGAGGTCGTTGATACAGGAAACTGTAGGATGGATATCGATGTATATAGTTGAGATTTGAAATATGCTACGGAATTATATTTTTCCAACTTTTCTTACCATATATCGGTTTATGCATCAGATGTTTAGCTGCAAACTCTAAATATTACTCAGCCTATCCTTTTTGTCCTTGACCGCCGTCATCTTTGACCGTTCTGACTGACATATAACCGTCCCGCATTGCGTACAAATACAACCCAGTGAACAAAAGCTATAAGGTCGCACTGAATTTGACGAAAGAATTCTGGGACACGACGACCCCTTCCCCTGGTATCTCCCAAATCCAATAAAGGGAAAGGAGTCATGATCAAAGATTCTTCGTGAAATCGTTTTCAGCAATCATTCGAGGTTAGGAAGAGAGTGGGCCTACCGTGCCACTAGTACGAAATGGGCAATCGATCATCATAATTTCCTCACAGACCTCAAACTTAAAAAAACGGCGTCCTCGACCAAATAGTCTGCATTTCATTGCAATACTGGAATGCAATGGTGCATTTTCCGACTTCCTTGCCAATGGCGGACTAGGCTTTTTAGCAAGCGCGACCATGGCTTACAACATCACACCTACCCATCAACCTGCTCCGATCTCTCAGGATTCATACTGCGCAATAGTTTCAATGAGGCATGACTTGGAGCAAAAGAAACAATTCCAGACTCATGCTCGAAGACATAGAATCTCTAGGTTTGACCACCTTACAATTGTCACCGATGAACTGCCCGCTGTTACCTATCCATACACTTTTTATATCTTTTGAGAAATTTTTGTATACTATTACTTGTCTGTCCTGTTCTTAGCTGGCAATGAGTACGTAACAGTGGAATGTCTATGTTTGGAAAAAAAAAATTTACATTTATATGTCCAAAGAAAGCCACGCTATTGACTGGCTGAGTGGTCTATAGGCGGAGGGCTTTTTATATAGATGAGTCGCACTGATCCGCCCGGGAAAGTTCTGGGACGCAGCCTTATTATCTAGTAGTGCGCATCTGTGTTGTTCTAGGGTGTCCAATTGTAGGAATGAAGGTTTGGAGAAAAGAAAGGGATCCAATGTGAGTCCGCGCTTGACTCGATAAATTATGATTGAGCTCGAAACTACCAATAAGTCACAGACAAATCGCCGCTTATCTATAGCTAAGAATGCGTAGTGCAAACACATGATTCAGGTCTTGGTGGGACCACATATCCTCCTCCCGGCACCTTCTTTGCGGGGCTAGTAGTGTCCGGGAGGTCTTCCTGCAAAACAGGAGATGAGATCAATTTTACCGACGGGCGCAGTCTGCTGATCCAGGACAACTTCGAAATTCTAAACATCAAAAATTCTCTGCTACAGTAACATGGAAAAGCAGAGTCTCATGCCGACTGGTAACTCGATCCTCTTGGTTCAATAATTCGTTCTTGCACGGCGTCTAGATTCATCACAACTTACGAACTGAACACGCTTTTTGGTTGTGAATGGTAAATATGCAATACGGCCAATAAGTTTATATTGTCTCAGAAAAGTACCGTAGACAAAATTTCTGGCTGTACGCGAAGGAACTTTTTTGATTATAAGTATTCCCATACCATATCCTCAAATAATCTCAACATCATCTCGTCCGCATTCTACAAGGAAGTTCCCAATCAAAAATCTTCTTACTAGAATACCATTCCATAACACTTTCGTTATCCTAAATTACCAAGTCACATAACCATTACTCATTGCTTCTCGAGTAAGCAGGGAGTACTAATTCTTTCCTGCATCGATAAATTTTACTTCTCAAAGTAGTATTTATCCATTCATTCAAAATGCCTTCCCAACGTGCGAATGGAAAGGTGTGCATTCTGACCCAATTGCTTCTAATTTTCATTTTCCTCGAGCACAAGAAAGAAACAGCTTGAATACTGACTGAATAGGCTCAAAAGCGCAGTGGTAAACTTCAAGAATTGAAGGAACGTCGTGAGCAGGTTGAGAAGAAGAGAGCACAAGATGTAAGAACTTTCTTATTTGATTTGGAACCACAGTACTATTTTTAGATACTAATTATCATCTGCAGTTGACTAGTAAACCTGCCGCAAAGATGGTCACATCCATTGCGGAAAAGCCTAGAAATCAAGTTCTTGTCTCAGTATGTCCTGCCAGACCATCTTTATTATATGTGACTAGTTACTTTGTGCTGATAATAATATCCAGAGCCTTGCTAAGCCCTTTGCTATGAGCTCCCTCCCTTGTATCCGTAAGGTTAAGGGAACCTCAAAGGCCGAGAAGAAAGCCAAAGAAGAAGCTGTTGCCGCCGCTAAAAAGAAGCGCGAGATGGAAGAGAGGGAAGAGGGAGAAATTGACAGCGATGACGATGAGGGAATGTTGACTGGTCACATGAACGATCACAATCAAAGCCAAAGACATACGCCAGCCAGCAATGTGGGTTGAACTCCCATCCCAAGCTCTAATTTGCCCCATTAGTTAGAATGTAGACGTAGGCCATAAAATAATTTGCAACCAGAATTACATGCTGACTACTCTAACTAGAAGACTAATAAGGCCAAGCCAGCTGCCCAGACCATTCAACGTCCGCCAGACAGAACTAGAGACGAAACGGTACGTATTCTAACCTTATACTTGATTGGCTCCTCCAGTAGAAGCGAATTCTCGATAAAATAATATGCTGATATTATTTGCTAGAAATCTGGAAACAGCAAGAACAATGGGGCTAGAGATGTCAAAAATCCACAACCTGAAGCCCTAAAATTCCGTAACAGGCCTCAAAATTTGCAAAAGCCAAAGGTAAGCCGTGCAATACAGCTGAGTATTAGTGTTTTCTTTAACAATAAAATAATATACTAAACATTTGTCCAGGAGCTTGATGTGAAGACATCTTCAGCTAAGCGCACGTTGTTCGACTCCGATGATAGTTCTAGCTCAGATGGGAAAATCTTCAAGCCTACCAAAAAGCAGAAAACAACAAAGGCTGGAATGGACTTTGAAAATCTTCCTACAAAGCGTAAGCATGTCGAGGAAGAGGAAGAACCACCACGTGATCCTGTAAAGAAACAAAAGATCACCGAAGAAGTCAAAAAGCCTGTCAAAAAGCCTGCCACCGTAAGTACACCCACATCCTTTCCTAATCCAGGGTCATAGGCTGTGTCTTACTAACGTATGAAACAGGTTCCTGTAAAGCGCGCTCCTATCGTCAAGGAGACGAAGTACCGTATGATTGATTGATTGATTGATTGATTGATTGATTTTATTAACGTCCATCTTCAGTCCAAGACTATATAGGACGGCTAGGCCCTAAGGGCCTAACGGGTCACTTTTTAATTTACAATATTGGATATGATCTAATTGGGGAAGTGAAAACAAATGCTGGGGAACAGTGCCCGCTCATTATACGCATTGCATATAATAAAAAGATTTTGAAAATCAAGAAATTGTGAGGAGGTCAAACCCCTCTCTTATTTCCTCAACTGCTTCTTCTTCATTCTCTTCTCCTCTCTCCTCTTCCACTACTACTCCTTCCTCTATTACTTCTTGTTCAAGAGTCCTTGCTAGATGCCATGCCCTTGTAGCGATTTTAGTGATATTGATAAATTTGATAGCTAATTCGATACCTATTTTTGTATGCAATAGGAATTGTATAGTGTTTTTGGATAATGGTATCTTCTTAAAGATCTCTTTTCTTTTTGTTTTATATATAGGACAGCTAATAAGGAGGTGTTGTGGTGCCTCAATATTACTGCATATACATTTGTTACTGGTGAGTTTGAAACGATGTAAGTAGGATTTGATATATCCGTGACCTAATTTGAGTTGAAAGAATGCGCTAGCAGTATTTCGAGTAGTTCCGCTTGGTAGCTTGATTTTGGAACCTATTTTCCATGAAAACAGCTTCGAGTAAGTTGATGGGGATTGGTTTGATCTGAGTTCGTATTGTTTGAGAGTATCAAGCCATTGATCTGAGGCATATTCTTTGACAGTCATACCTAGTAGTCCAAAGCTTGTTTCGTTCGAGGTAGGTTGTATTGTGGTTGCTTCCTTGGCTAGCTTATCTGCTAGCTCATTTCCTTCAACTGAGGTATGACCAGGAACCCAATTTAAGGAGATTTCGGCTCCTTTTGCTCTGATAACTTCTGCTGCTTTGATCGCTCTTATCTGATTGGCTTGTCCTGGGTGATCTGAAGGAGTTTTTAAGCGGTATAAACCAGCTTGATTATCCGAGTAGATTTTGAACTTTTGACCAGTATAAGCGATTGAGCTAGCGTATTCAATAGCTCTTGTAACTCCAAAAAGCTCTCCATTATATACCAATTGATTAGTACCAATATTGCTTCGCTCTTGATATAGAATTCGATTATTTGATTGTATAGCTACTATGCCTACTCCAATACCTATTCCCTTTTCGGTGGAGGAGGCATCAGTGTAAATATAGGTGGTATCTTTATCCCTATGTTTGAAAACAATATTATGAAGAATGGCAGCATCTTCTTTTGACGAATTGCTAATGTTAACTCGGAAGGGGGTTTCTCTTTTCCATGGGGGGAAGTTAAAATGAATGATCTTTTCGAGTGAGGAAGGGTTGAAGTCCTGGTTTATCGATTCTTTGATTTTATCCAGTTGAGTAGGTTTATATCGTTTTCTTCGAGGGGTAGAGATCGCATCCAAATTGGCTTGATATTGGATTAGTGATGCTTTTTCGATATTGATTGGATGATTTGGTGAAAGTTTAGCTAAACGGAATGCGTATTGCCTAATATTCGAGTCTAATCGAATTTTTGAGGGTTTTAAGCCTGCTTCTACTTCCATTGGAGGAATTGGAGCAGTTTTGAATACTCCTAATATCTTTCGAAGAGCTAGATTTTGAAGTGATTGCATCATATCCTTGAAATGGGCTTGGCCTCTCCACCAAATCACTGATGCGTAATCGGCTATACTGGTCACACATGCTATATATAACTGTCTAAGAGCTTTCGGACTGAGGCCCTTTTCGATATTAGCTAATCGGGCCATTCGATGGAAGGCTCCTTTTGCTTGTGTGATTCGAATATTAACATGTTGATTGAATTTGAGGCTCGGGTCGAACCATATTCCCAACCATCTAATTAGAGATTGAGGTATAATTATTTCCGAATTGGGTAGTTTGATTGGGTAGTTTTTCGTCAATTTGGATGATGAAAAGTGCATTAGCTCTGTTTTTGCTAGGTCGAATTGAATAGCATTCTTTGAGCTGAGTTCGTAGATTTGTTTTGTAGCTCTCTCTAGAGATTTGATATTCTTTTTCCATGTAGATGAATTGGTGATTAGGGCAATATCATCAATATAGGAAAGAAATTTGATCGAATTGGATAAAAAGAGGTCCCTAATGTATATAAGGAAGAGAATTGGAGAAATTGGACTGCCTTGTGGTATTCCGGTCGAAATTGGCTTGAAAGATTCGATTTGGTTATTAAAGGATAGTTTTAGTTGTCTTTGTTGAAGAAATGAAGCTATCCAGGAGATGAGATTCGTCGGTAGTCTTAACTTCTTGCAGATATCCAGTAGTCGATTTTTTGAAACGTGATCGAATGCTCCCTTTATATCCATAAATAATATTGAGGTCTTCTTGTTAGCTTGCTTGTTTCTTTCGATTTCTGTTGTTAATAGAAGTGCAGCATCGATTGCTGATTTCTTTTGGCGGCCTCCTATTTGACTCTTGTGTAGAAGGTGGGTAGTTTCCGCTAAATATCCTAATCGTTGAGCTAGAATCCTTTCACTAATTTTTCCCAGACAGTTTAAGAGTGCAATCACTCTATATGCTTTTGGAAGTGAGTAATCAGGTTTTGAGGCTTTCTTTAGAATAGCTCCAGTAGCTTGTTTCCAGCATTTAGGGTGATATCCGAGATTGAGGAGTTTGCTGAAAAGAGTAAAAAAGATCTGTGGGATTGCTTTGTAGGCCTTTGTAATGATTTCTTGAGTGATCCCATCTGGACCAGGGGTCTTTCCTTGTATCTTAGCTGAGCAGGCATTACTTAATTCGATTTGAGAGAGATTGGGCCATTCCCATTTCTTGGATTGTTTATACCCTACCCATTGTGGTTTTAGAGTAGTAGGAGGGGGAGGGAATAAAGTCGATCTGAAAGCAGAGCATTTTCCTTCAAAAGAGCTTTCTGATGAAATATCCGGTATCCTTTGATCTTGGAAGTCTTTGGTATAGGTCATTGCTTTGAAAACTGTCTGTGTATCCTCCTTTTCTAGGAAATCATTCCAATGATCCTTTTTTGCTGTTTTAATAGCTTGAAAGTATTTGTTTCTAGCAATTCGATATTCTTCCTTAAGATTAGGGTTCTCTCGATTTGATTCGATTGATTGCTTTGCTTTTCCTAGCTCTTTTCGAAGATTTTTCAACTCGGGTGACCACCATGGTTTAGCTCTTTTGATTGAAACAACTTTGGGTATACACCTTTCTGTTGCTTTTTGGATAATCCTTGTAAGTTCGCTTGCTGCTTGATCTAGAATTGAATGGGAATTGTCTCTTTCTTTCAAGAAGTTTAGTGAGTCCTCTTCCGTAGAAGTTATTGAGTCTAAAATAGAAAAAGTAGGGGAATACAGGGATTCCAATTTTAGTATTGATTCAAAATTTTCCCAGTTGGCTAGCTTTGTATTGAATCTAGTTATTGATTCTGAATTGAGGGCGTTTAAGTCTTCTTTTCCTTTCAGTTCGAATAGTATTCCTGCATGGTCGGATCCTGTATCTGAAAGAGTTTGCCAGTTGTGAATTTGGGGAGAGATTCCTTCTGACGCTAGTGTTAGATCAAGGACACTTGGATTAAGGAGATTAGTTCGATAGAAAGTGCTGATTCCGGGCTCGTTTAGAAGAATGAGATTCTGATCTTCAAACCATTCTGCTAATTGATCAGCGTTTCCGCTTTTCTTTGAAAAAGGATCCCACCATGGGTGGTGGGCATTGAAGTCGCCAAGGAGGATAGTTTCTTGTGTGATAGATATATCATATAAACATCTTTCAATTGTGAAACCTTTCTCTTTAGCTTGATCAGCCTCGTTGTATATATTGATAATTTGAAAGGTTTTATCTCCATTTTGACAATTAAAGATTTGTATATCAGGATCTATTGGGGAATCGGGAGCTAGGTTGATTGTGGCTTGAAGAGTTTTTGAAGTGTATAGTAATGTACGAGGTCGAAAGTTAGAATCGAATCTTGGTAGTGTTTGTATGAAATTAGAGTGTATAATAGATCTTGAATTTGAGTAATCGATTCCATTTTTGATAATCCAAGGTTCTTGAATCATAATAAGATCGATATTGAGTTCTATTGCAAGCTGTAGAACGTTCTCTGTAGCTTGTGAGCTCTTATTAAGATTTATTTGAAGAATTCGAATATTAGTGTAACTCATAAGTTGGTGTTATTTGCTTTTTGTTGGATTGCTTGATAGATTTCGCAGGTTCTTGAATTTGCTGTATGCTTTCCTTGGCAGTTCGAGCATTTAGCAGCGAGATGTTGGCAGAACTTTCCTCTGATATTGCAGACTACACATAGATGTACTGATGTGATATGTTTGCCTCCACATAGTCCACAAGAGGGATCCCTTCTGCAATGTGTATCCTGATGTCCGAATCCTTGGCATTTTTGGCATTGTGTAGTTGGTTTGGATTCGTAGAACTTTTCTACTCTTGTACTAGTGCCAGCGATATATAGTCGTTTCCGAATGGCTAGCTCTGCTTCTGATTTTGTTGCAAAAGCAATCACTATTGCTCCTTCCCGTTGATGAGCTCTTTTTGATGATGGTGTAAGCCAAAAAGGGGTTCCTATGGGCTTGAATTCTGGATTGAAGGTTTTGATTTCCTCAAGAATGAGGTCCATTCCTCTTGTTCCAGAAAATTCTTTTATAGGGATTTTATGAATAATGACCTTATGCCATTCTTGATCCTTTTGAATTCTTTCGAATTTGATGAGATTACTCCAGATTGCCTTTTTTTCTAATAGAAGTTGTGATGTGAAAGGTGCATTTGTAGTAATTATTATATTTCTATTCAGCGATAGAGTTACTCCTGCTATAACCGGGCCTTTAATTCCAGTTTTCTGGAATGCTTCGTTTATTTGGTTTCGAATTGATATAGGTGAAAAGGAGGTAATGTTCGTGATCTCTGGTTTGATCAGGATTAAGCGTCTTTGTGTGATTTCGATCTTCTTATCTATTGGGGAGGATCTAATAGTTTTTCCCTTGCCTACTAGGTTCCATTCTCCTTCTTTTGTTATTGCTGCATATGTCGATTTAGTGGTTGGTGTATTGATTGGCAAGGGAGCTTTGGTTAGGGCTTTAGCTTGAGTTTCGATTTTCCGTGTAGCGGATTCTAGATGAGTGATTTGGGAGGTGATGATATTGGAGGCGGTGGTGAGCTTTCCTTTTTCGGTATATTCTCTAAAGATCTCTAGGAGATCTAATAGCTTCGATTGCTCATCACATGATTGAGAAAGAGTTGACGCTAATACTATAAGATCTCTTGCTTTTAAGATAGCTTCCTTAGGTGTAGTTGGATTGTTTTTTATTCTGGGTTGTTTATTCTGATTGCTAAGGGGCATTGTAGGGCCACGTTTCTTATTCTGATTAAATATATAGGTAGTATTGGTTGTATCTTGAGTAATAAAGGGGTCACTAAGTAGATTGAAGTCTTCAACTCTTCTTCCAGAACTGGTTGGCTGATTGGTTGGTAGACTAGGGCTAGAGATTTCGAATTGAGGGTTTTCAGAGGGCGGGGGAGGGCTTGAGGGTATTGGGGTACCTAGAATAACAGTAGGATACGTGTTTGGTATGATGGAGGCTTCGGGAGAAGCCTCCATCATAGCTGTATCCTTGAGTATTGATGGATTGTTGAAGTTATTCATATTGAGGATCTTATTCTGATAGTTTGAGGTGAAAATTTTACGCGAATTTTCGTGCGAGTTTCGTGTTTGGAGCGCCGACGACAGTATCACAACAACTACTGGTCAGAATCACTTGGGGGCAGTTGCAATCAATTTGGTTTAATAGCTATGATCTAGATCGATCGCGAAAGGGTCGTATTTCGAAGAAAAAGTTTCCTTCGAAATTTGTTGTGTGTAAATCCGACGAAGTACCGTATGGATACTAGTAAAAATATGTTTAACTTCAGTGCTTCTCTATCTTCCAAGGAGCCAGCACCAAAGAAGGGTTCCATACAGTCTGGAGATGTTTCTGAGAAATCGAAGGGTCTTGGTAAGAAAGATACAAAGACTGTAGGAAACCTTTATATAATCACTTGTATCAAAAAAAGACTAATGATTCAACAGGCACCTTCATCTACTCCATCAACAGGTGTATCATCTGAAATCCAATCTCTCCCAGTAGCCTCAACCGCTAAGAGATCTCAGAATTTGGCATCAACTGCGGCACCTCAACCAACTCAAAGCTCTCCTTCAGTCTTCACCAACATTTCTGACGGAGCCAAATCCCGTCGTCGAGGCGCACCTGTCGCTTCTAGTGTTGAAACCACAATACATCAAACCGCATCATCTTTACAGTCTCCTGCGGCAGCAGCTACAAAATCTGGCAAGTCTAGATCATCAATTGTAGCGAAATCGATGCCTGTGGCAAAGAAAGTAGTTAGCACCAGAAAAAAGAGCGACAAGCTTGCAACTGCACCATTATCCTCATCTGTCAAGAAAGTGCAAGGCACTGAAGTCAACATAAAGGAGGAATTAAAGCAAGAGAAAGTGGAGGCTCCTAAGCAGCCAAAGTTCGTGGTCGAAGTAAGTCGATCTCTTGCAGTAGAGCTGGATCTAGAGCAAGACGCATTGTTGGAAAAAGACATGGATGAGCATATGGCTAACGTTGATCCCAAGGTTGCTACTGCAGTCAAGGCGCAACAGCAAAGAAATCACGGATTTTTCAGGGAATCCAACAAACAAGATGTGAAATCGGATAAAACGTCAGTTGAAGATAATGGCTTTGGCGTGTTTAGAGATATCCAAAAGACTATCAAACTTCAACCTTCTCCAAACTCGATGGACGATGCAGGCTTTGACGAGCTTGAGATGGACTTGGAGAAGGCTTTTGAGGCCCGAAAACAATTACAGTTAGCTACCGAAGCTTCGCTTGCTTTCCACGATGGATATGTTCCATCATCAAACCAGCAGTCAGTCGATTCCACCGACGAATCTCCAACCAAAGGCGGCTCTACCGGAAGCGAAGACCCAGCCATGCAACAAGATGACTTTGAAATCAACAGCCCCTCTACTAGCACTAACTCAAGTACCAATACCAATACTACTGTCGCAACCAGCGCCCCCTCTTTATTGGATCAAGACACTACATCTCCACCAGTTCCAAAGACTATTGGTGGATTTGCACAAGATTTTCAGTTTGCTAGGGACAGAGACTATGAATTCGATATGTCTGATGAAGATGAGGATGATGATGTTATCATACCTAAAGATAGAACACCAAATCCATCTCCGGTTCTTCCTCTCCATGCCGAAGAAGGTGATAGTCTTGAGGATGCAGAATTAGAACTGGAATTGGAACTGGAACTGGAACTAGAATTGGAACGGCAACTGGAACAGGAGTTGGAACAGGAATTAGAGCTTCAGGTTCAAGCATCCGAGGCAACTGCCCAAGAAAGTGAGATAACACAATCCGCACCATCACCCGATTCTTCTTCCTCATTGGATGCAATTGCAAAACAACAGGAAAGTTTACTTGCTCAGACTCTTGAACAGGACCACTCAAACGAAAATCTTTCGGAAAACATCTCCAAGCCTTGTGAGAACTCAACTAAGCCTACCAATGATGCTTTGGACAACCACTTTGAAGATGAAATGAAGGGCAATGAGCCGTCCCCGGCGGACACTTCATTGAAGGAATTTAAAGATACCTCAGCATCTGTACAGCAGCTTTCGCCGCCTTCCTCTAATAAAGACAATATTTTCGACTCTGATGGAAAACTCAACAATCAAGTCGGAGCTGATATTCCTTGCCCCGATGAATTTGGAGCGAATATTGGACCTTATGTTGGTCCAGATGGATTCATTGGGTTACCTCCGCTTGATGATACTACTGATGCAGCTTGTTTATCTGACGAATCCGACGACTCTGATGATTCTGATGACGAGGACATCGAAATGTTAGAAAGTAGTCCATCTGAGGTTATTATTATAGATGATGCACCAGAGACCGAGGGTATCACGATGATGGATGCAGCCGACGAGGAGATTTACCGGAAACATAGGGTTCAACCAGAGCTGTCTGACGTAGTCGTAGAGGAAGGTTCAATTGACTTCGAAAAGCTAAAAGCCGAAAAAATAGCTGCCAGGAACGAACTCGACATTCTGCAGGAAGAGGCTCAGTTCGAGATTGTAATATCGTTCGATCGTGCAGCTCTCCTACGAGACTTAGGTATCTCTAAGGGGCGCATCACCAGCTACATGAAAGTCAACCGAGGATACGAGCCTCATATTGGTCCATGGCCTACCAAACGAGCTGAAATTGGGATGGAGATTGATAGTAGCAATGACGAATCTTCAGATGATGAAGAGTTTTATGAGGAAGATGACAAGGTGAAGCATTATCAGGGATTTCAATACAGGAGATTTGAATTTGACCCCCTTGATACCACCGTTGCTGACTCTAATGCTCATCCTTTTGGTCCTATCTAATTAGGGATGATGGAGCCGACTTCATCTTTCTCTTTGCTCTGGTCTTGCTAATTGAGCTTCGCATATTGCAGACTCGGGACTGCAAAAATTTATCGAAGAAATATCCAATTTTCTCGCAGCCATGATTGTGGCGTGAAATATACCACTCAAACATTAAAAAAAAGAAAAAGGAAAAACAGAATCTTAATATTAAATCGCTTCTTCGCTATCGATTTTTCTTTTCTCCATTTTATCAACGCGATTACTTTCTGCACAGCTGATACTCCCTGTATGCGATGTGTTTTTACGACTTGAGAGTCTGTCCGGCTAAAGCGATGATGGAATGCCTTGTATGGGTTACAATTTACCATTTTGATTTACGATTTACTGTACTGTTATTTCACGATACCCTGCATGTGTCATGGCACAATGCCGAGTCTGTTAGATTTCTGACGATAGCGGAGCGTCATTATGGTTACGATTTACTATATGCGAGTTTTGACCTGTGATGCACTTTCTGTTTGAGTTTATAGGTGATGCAAATATGGATGATTTTCTTTTAGATGTTTGCAGTTTAGATTCGGATTTGGAATCTTCCCGCGTTGGTGATTTTATTTGGTGCTTTGGTTCGTTATTTGGTTTACAGAAGGGAAGAAATGAAAGAGGAAGGTGGTGGATGTGATGAGCGAAATGTATAGGAAACGGGCAGGAATATTGGGCTGCTTTAATCTTAAGGGCAGGGTTTAGCCATCTTGAGAACTAAGGTTGTGTTTTGGCGGTATAGCGGGATGGGAAGGAAGGAATAGATGGATAGCATATAACGAGAGTTTTGTGCAGAAAAGAAACACGAACGGAGGATCCAGACAGATCACTGGGGACCGAGAAAGTTAAGAAGCTTTAGGTCTGGCTAGCCTAAAGTAGAATCAGCTTTTAAGGGAACCCGTTGACTGAATCATTAGATTGCGGAAAGAATAGGGGTTTGCTTTGTGGGTTAATGAACTGTATTTCAAACAGGTCTTCTAAGAAGTGTCCTTGAACAAAGGATGGTACGGAGATAGGATTTATCATATACCTCTGAAAAAGGGTGATTTATATGTAAGAAAAATTGATTGAAAAACCTCTTCATTGTTACTCGCATTTATTGGTTAATATAAATATATTTTTAGTCACTTGCAAGTGAAATCATGATTCTCTGCAAAAACTTGTGTAAATTTCTCGCTAAATTTGATCTAGATTGTCATTTCCGTAAAAAACATCCTTTTTCTAAATATTAGTCTTACGCAGTAATAATTGGAATATGTAGTTCTCATTATACTCTGAGTTTTTCTAGAATCATCACTCCCATTTTCTGTCTATCACCTCAAACAACACCATTATCCCCTTATTAAGTCGCCATCCATCCTCAGTAACCTCGTCTACCATCTTCCCCATAGAATTCATCTGACCCCTAGCATGAATTTCGGGCTTCAAGTAAGACCGTTTTTAGTAAGTCTTACTTCAGCTCTGGTACATAAATCTTTCTAACTTTGATTCATTTCATGGACCTTGATTGTTGAGACACTCATACATTACATTATCAATAATAATAATATACTCTACAGAATATTTGTTCCGGCCCATTGTGCAATTTTGATATTCCGAATTAAGTTAGCTCATTCCGAAATATAATAAGTTGTGAAATAAACGAGGTTATTGATACTGAAATGAAAAAGAATAAGGGTACTTGTGAGTAACTTAGTTTACATAAATTGTAAAAAAAACCAAGGGATTATATCTTTTTATTTTCAACCTCTTCACACCCAGTCTTTATTTTTAACCTCTTCGTCACCGCCCAACTTTTATTTTCAATCTTACCATTACCCCCACCCATATTTTCAATTTTATCATCTCCCACTATTTCATCTCAACCTTCCTATTACTTCTTTTCTCCTATTTCAGAATCAACATAGTCCATTTCAGAATAAGAATATTGCGCAATAACCCGGAACAAATCCCCTATACAAACGAGCAGAAGTAAATGGGCTGTAAGTTAACCTACTTATATTTCTCTTTAAAGATAGCCGTCCTCTATTTCGAGACATGGATACAACGACTCGAATCCATGTTAATGTTCTAGAATCGGGGAGAAAGGGAACTCCTTTCGCTTACTTAAGGGGTTCAGAATTTGGGTGTGGTTGTGGGGATTAGATTATGATGAGGGGAGATTCAACGGCAGGAGGGTGAAGTGACTTTCAATGGTATTTGATAAAAGGATGGTGGGAGAATAACCATCTAGTCCCACATATCACTCATTCCAAACTCTTCTAATTGGATAGCGTATCATGGTATCTAGTAGTCTGGGTTGTAGTCCAACAATTAAAAGCTTCCAAAAATCGAATTTAATTGAAACATACAGATTCCTGGAAACCGTAATTCATATTTAAAGATCTAAGCCCTCTCAAACATCGAAAACCTCAACTGACCTGCTATGCCAGAATGACAGATACCCTGCGAGGGACGATACCCTAGATTCCCAACTAGAACCTCATATTACCAATGCTCATACTAGGAGGTAAATCCCCCTCCTTAGTCCCCCAATCACTCTCCGAATCACCCAAAACTAACTCTAACGTCTGACCCTCAGTGAAAAATTCATGACCACTACAACAACAAAAAATTAGCACACTACCCACTCATTCACAGTATCAAAAGAAAACCCACATCCAACTCCTATTCCACACCACTCCATTCACCTTCGCGCTCTGCACAAAAATATTCTTGACACCACCATCCCATCCCAAATTCCTAATCGCACTTTTCTTTCCATTTTCGTTTATAAAACTGACGGATTCGAAAAAGGGCGGCATGATTAGATATACATTTTGTCCAGGGTTGGGAAATAATCCCATCATGGAAAAGGCAGTGAAGGATGCCATGGCGCCGGTGTCGTCGTTGCCGGGTAGTCCGATGGTGGAGTCGTTGAAGTAGGCGGGAATGTACATGTGAGCACGAGAGGCGGAGAGGGCGGGACGCCCTGCGTACTGAAGTGATGAATTAGTTAATAGGCGGGGCTGTGGGATGATAGGTGTTGGGAGACAAACGTGATATAGAAATACTGTTAGGAATGAAGGTTCATTTCCGATATCTGTTAGACCACTTGTATGCAAATAATCCAGACGAGAGATAAAATTCTCAGCGCCACCGATCAGGTCAATCAGGGTCGCAATATCATGCGGTACAAAACTATTAACTTGTTAGCAAAACATAATATACAAAGATAGCAGCTCCCACAATTGATACTCCCATATACTATCCTCAAAAGTCTCTTGTGGATTACTAGTCAAACTGCAAAACAAATCCAACGGACTGCACAGTATCGGATCCTGGTATCCCCACGTCCCATTAAGATATTTAGGCTGAAAGAATCCTGTAAACCCTGTATCTACACCATTAATATACGATGTCTGATCTTCCTTCCACAGATTTTGCCAATTCGTCGCACGCTTTAGATACTTCGTATAGTCTGATTTCCCCAATCCTTTTCCAAGAGTTGAGACACAGAAATCATTATAAGAATATTCCAAAGTTCTAGAAATACTTCTAGAGTTTGTACCGAAACCTAAATAATCGTAATCAAGGTACGGGATATAGTTTAGCGCTTTCCAGGACATGAGACCACCACGTCCTTCGTTGGACCAATCTAATGGCTCGTTTTCTGCATCGTTAACGACTGCCTCGTAGGCAAGTTGCCAGTCTATACCGGTGAGATTCTTGACATATGCGTCAGATATAACATTATCGGCATTTGAACCTCCTTGAGTGAAGCCTTTACAGAGACTCATGCGACAATCTGGCAGCCAGCCAATGTTTTTGTAGGTATCGAGGAGACTGCGGATCATCTCCGACAGGGCGGATGGATCAATTATTGTGAGGAATGGGAGTTGTGATCTGAATGCATCCCATATACTGTGTGATTGTTATTTCTCCGTAGGCTCAGCCAACTGACTAAAGACTTACCAGTAAAACGAATCAAAGTATGGTTCGCTACTTTCCCATAGCGGATTCTCGCCAGTATAATTCTGTGGGGACATCATAGTCCTATAAATCGCGCTATAGAAGTTGGTCAATAGTGAAGTATCACTACCATTCCCAGGTTCCACAGTCACAACACCCAATTTCTCCCTCCATGCATTCTCAGCTGTTTTCTTGAGCCCAGCAAAATCCCAATCTGGAATTTCATTTTCTGCATTCTGGCAAGCTTTATCCGAGCTAATGAAACTGACACCCACTCTGGCACTGACAGTTCTATTGGTCGGTGCGTTGAAGCGAATAAAAGCTCCAGCCTGAATATAGAAGAGGTTTATGCCTCTCGTGACGAATAGTTCCTTTGGCTTCGTTCCTCCTCTATTGTTGACCCATATCCCGGTGTCTAGTATGCTTGCTCCAGAGAAGTCAACACAGACATATGACATAAATGAGCCACTTCCAAAACTTGGAATGAATGTCCCGTTTGCTTTTATGCGGCCATTGTCGGCAACGCTAATGGTGGCATTCTGTCTAGTGGCACCCAAATCCGTCAAGTCCAAGAGAATGAGCGGACTTAATGCTGTCCCATTTGCAGAAGTTTCTGCAGGAAAATTGAAATGATAAAGAGCAGCATGTTCTGAAACTGTCATCTCTGCATGAATCCCGTTCGCTAGACTTAATCCAAAATATCCCGGCGTAGCTACAACAGAGTCAAGAACATACGGCGTAGCTCGATCTGTGATCAAAAATTTGCAGTTATCAATGGCATCATCAGGACAGTATCGCGGAAATAGTGGAAAATTACCCAGCGAAGGATTTCCACCCGTGCCAGAATCATGCATATGTGAGAATCCGGTCACATTGCTACCATCCGTAGAGAACCCAGCAGTATTTTGACCATTAACATCAGCGACCGCCTTCGCCATTCCGTATGGAAGCGTAGCTCCTGCAAAAACATTCCCACCATTGTTAGTACCAATGAGTTGATTAACGTATTGAAGCGGGTCAAATGTACTCGCATTCGTTGACGTTGTGTTAGTGATGTTCCATTGAGCTACCACTAAGGTAGACAGGAAGAATACACAAGCTTCCAAATATCTCTTGAGTGTCATATTGAAAACTAACGACAAACAATGAGACAGGTGGTCGAGAGATTGTTGTAAAATAAGGGAAAACATACTGTTGTCATGAAAATTAAGTACTTGTTTTCAACGCGGGGTAGCCATCAATCAGTGCATATTATTGATGCAGTACTACATCACTTGATGCAGGAACCTGAAAGGCGCATTTTAATATTAAGCAAAACCTTCCTATAAAAGATAAAAGCGACGAAGTAGGTCGTCACACATCCCACAGGTGATATATCCAACCCCAAGAATGGTTTATTTGTAGGGTATGAAGAAGCAGATCTGGAAAACTTTATGTCTGCGGACTAGGGATCAATTCAAGCGCAGTCCTGTTCGATAAATGCATAATTTAATCCGGAGTTACGAACATGACATTTAAACACGAGGTCAATTAGCAAGGTTCTAGAGTAGTAACTTTGGTTCCTTGTCGAGCACCATTCCGCGTAACAACATGTGATCAGACATCAAGAAAGGAAGAAGATGAAGAAGATGGACGGTGCGTCGAGAGACACCTCTTGCACTTAAATTCATGCCCATATCTATCCATCCCGATGCCAACTTAGCCAGCTACCGAACTCCAAACCCAACGGAATAAGGGTACCCAGATTATCACACGCCCAACGTCCATTAATAATACCTACTATGTAATACGCGGTTCGTAACCATCCTCAAGTGCGACTTCTTCCACCCACCAGTTCTTAAACAGCTCCAATCGTCCCGTCGCTTCCTGTGCCATTCCTCTGCCGGGTTCTGTCTTCATCAAAGGCTGCAATTTGAGCAGTTTCCAATCGAATATATCTATCGATTCTAGCATAGACCTATCTGTTTTCGCGCCACCATATGTGAAGACCTTTCCAATACCAATAGCTCCAAGAGAATCTAGGCGGTCCGCATCCTGAACAATGGCAAGCTCAGGATATTGATTGATGAGGTTCCGAACGACAAGGAGATCTTTCATTTCTTCGAAGTATGAAACGGCCGAACAAATGGTCTGTACCTTCACGGCCAGTTCGGTATTCGCCCCAAAGCCCAAGAGCAAGGTATTTATCATTGTCTTCGGATTTTCCTTCTTGAGATTGACGTACTTTCTATCCCCAACATCATGTAACAAAGCAGAAAGAGTGATGGTAGTCACGTCATATTGCGGTACAGGTTGATTTGTCCTGGCAGCATCTGCGATTATCTCATCGTGTATGATATGAGCTCTGCGTACAACGCGTTTGATATGGGCGAAATCGTGGGAGGCATCAAACTTTGCCATGTGTTGTTTGACATGGTTTTCGACTCTGGGATTAGCTCTGCGGCGGTTGCAATTTCGTGGTGTGTAGTAAAAAGTCTGGATGTTCGAAATACCTGCAGTGTTAAGTTCTTGAGAGATATCCCTATTGATGGCATCTTCAATGCAGGCATACTTCCAGTATTTCAGGAAAGATAAAACTCTCAGTCCATATTCCACTTACCGGATGGCTCTTATGTACTTTCATGATTCCTATACACAAACACTGTAATGTGGAATGTGTCGGAATGATGCAGAAAGATAGACATAACTTTTGAGAATGGGCCTCCAATAGATCATTCTACCAGCGTGGTCGTCTTTCAAGTTGAAGGTGCGAGAATTTCTTTGGCGCTTCGTAGGTTGTGGCAGAACTTCGGCCTTTGAAATTGTGTGGTGGGGAAACAAAAAGCAACATAATAGCTTTAATGTGTTTGCATGTCTCCTTTCACTACATATTCCTGAGATATTAGAACTCCAAATGGCCATGTTTCCCCATCTTCTTTGTTCTATCCTGGCAAATGCTTTCATCAATTAAGCAATTGAATGAAAACCTACACAAACAGAATTTTCCACACAGTACAGTGCTGTGCATGCCAAGCCGCATGTTGCTTACATGGAAGAGCAAACGGCCACTGCCAGAAGTCAGGGGTAGGTACTCCGTAGTCAAAGGAGCTTCGTAGGAATCTGTGCAGGCGTAACAAAGCAAATTGGAGCAATCTTCAGAAGTCACACTTCCAGATCTAGTCGTAGCATGGAGCACACAGCGAGGAGTCAAATTTTCGTGGAAAAGCAAGTGGTTTTCATAGTAGGAATGGTTACTCGATCACATCATCTAGTTAGAAGAAAAAAACATAGCAGGAATCAAACAGATGGGAAGACAAGAACATATTTACGTTCTCACCTAAAGAACTGCGTTGGGTTACTCTCAGTATAACGCGGGTGGAAGCGAGTATATCATGGGGCTGCTCCTCTTTTCGGGCGTGAATCCGCTACCTTTATATGTTCAAAAGCAAAGACATTGTTCTGTTCTCCAAAGCAATGCACCAGAATGCTTGATACACTTCAAAAGTTTCCAATCGCTATCTACAATATCGTGCTAGTTCCGAAGCTTCATGTACATTGTACACCAATGGTTTTTCATTCGAATAAATACGAAAAGCTGCAATTGACGCGATGGCACGGGTCAGCGCTTGGAGAAGGAAAGACGTAATCTCCAGCAGTTGACCACATTGCGCAAGTTAAATATTAAATCTCTGAAGAAACATGAGGGCTACGTCAAAACCGCTCATTATGCTCGCCCGATCCTCTCGGTGGTCCAGTTCGAATGCAAATACCGTCACAGTCTTTTCCGGGAAATTTGAAGGTCTCACGAAATTACACTACCGCCTCAGTAAGTGACTTGATACCTCCAAATCATTCCCTCCTCAACTCATCGCTGAGCGCAGCCATAGAAAGAAAGCGTGATGGAGTGTTTACTGTGATGTGGTTTTACTAGGTAGCGATAGATGATATATTATGAATTTTTTTGTCAATTAGGGTCAGATGATTCCTTTTGTGGATCTGAATATTGGAATTACTGTGGATGATGATTTTCAAATAATATTATTTATCTTGATAAAGGATATAGGTGAGGAAATGTTGAGAGGCCTTTGTAGAGGGTTTGCGGGACATGAAACTGCCGTTGTTAGTTGTCTAGATGCTTCAGGATTCCTCCTTCACAAGCATGGGTTTGGATTCAAGATCTCGAAAAGTTGTAAGGATCATTACGATTGGGATTGACTAGAAATGTAGGCAATTGCAAAATCAGAGCTTCGAAGGGATAAGCTTCAAAAATGATATTCTTTCACGTTAACCGTTATAACATATGGGGTATAATGAAAAGCAAAGTGCTTTAGGACGAGCTTTTATTTATATGTGATACACCATATAGCCCAAACCCCGTAAAGATTCCCATTCCCAGACCATGATGTAAATAATTTACTCGTCAGCTTCTTCCTCATCGGCCTCAACGGTGGTTTGTGCGATACGGTCCAAATCACGCTGTCCGGATTGGGTGATACGACGACCTCCCTTCTCCTCATCTTGCTCCAAAACACCGATCTTCTCGAGGGATTGCAAGACGTGACGGTCAACAGATCCAGAGGCGTTAACGTGGTGGGATGGTCTGGAACCACGGTTCTTGGTTGAACCGTGAACCTTGGTGAGACGGCCAACACCAACGGTTTTGCGGAGGTAGATGTGACGAGCGTTGGCGGCAGCACGGACGTAGTACCAGTCGATGGATTGAGGGGGGAGCTCGTTGGATGCGCTGGTCTTGACGGTATCAACCCAACCTTTAAAAAATTGTGTTAGCAGATTGAAACAACTAGGCAGTTATACAGGAAAATAAGGATTCGGATTTTCAAGTTGGCACGTACCTGGAATTGGGAGCTTTCCTTGTCTCTTCAAGAAAGCAGCATATGCTTCAATGAACTTTTGTGCCTGAATTAACCCGTCGAATCAGCATAATTCCGTCAGCGGAGATCTTTCGACCCCCTCACACCTGCTCATTTATCGACGAGAAGGTAGACCGCGAAGCTCAAGATTTGTGAAGATTGTTGATGTGAACGACTAGAATCCAAATTCGCTGTCGCAAATCGATTTTTCAAGCTCATCCTTCCTCTTCCTCTCCTTCGCAGCTGGTGGAATTGATTATACTTACGTCAACATCGCGAACAGTAACACCACCCATTTTTGCGGTATTTGGAATTATGTTCGAAGGGTTTGTCGTTGGAAGTTCTTTGGGCGGAATGGAGATTGTCGTGTTCGAGGTTCGAAAAGAGATACTGAAAATGTTGAAAATATTCAAAGTGCGGGCAACAAATTACGCGAGGGGGAGCTTGCCATATATAGACTAGCGCATATTCATCGGTAACTTTTGCTCGTTTTTACCGATTTTCACATTTACGGTTTACGCTTACCTATATTTGCGGAGAATTGGTTTGCATATATTATTTATATCATCCGAGCCGGCCTACAACAATAAGATTAAGTTTGACCGATACAAAACAATAAAGCTTAACTTATTGATTTTCCCGCAGTGATGGAAAAATTTGCTGTTACATGAACCTTGATATCTGCACGAGACTAGCCGAAAATCTGTCAGAATCGGGACACGGCTAGCTCACGAGTTCTTCATCTGAGAAGAACAGTAGCTGATATTATCGATTCTCAGTCTGACCATTTGTCCATAGCTAGTTTGCCTCTCCAGTGTTGTGAAATGTATCGAACGTTCGAGTGTACTATTTAAGGCTATATACCGTTCTAAGAATTCATTCATTGCTTGGATATCTAGAAGTAGATGTCCCTTTTGCTTCACATGATATGTTTCTGAAATAATCCATATTTTAAAGGAGATTGAGCTTTGAAATGAAACCTTTCGTCTTTTCTTTCATTGATAAAGTGTGTATATCTTCAGTAGGCCACAGACTACTTGATGGTACCGATCTATTACCTGAAGGTTCCGGGCACTTTGCAATGTACAGAGAAGGCTGAGATAGAAACTCTCATTCATTCAAGACTTTCATGCAATTGGTAATAAATACACTATTTAAATATATACATTGTCATTTATTTCAAAAATATCCATTGAAGGGAAAGATATGTACAAAAGCTCCTTCTCAATCATTGCATGCAATCCTCTAACGGCGGGACTTATCAAGCCTTTGCAGGGCTTCTCTTATGTCCTTGTTTGAGATTTAACTCAAGGAGACGCTGTAGGCGGAGGTGCTGAAGACAGCTTTGGAACCTGATTTGTGTGAGCTTCTGGGTGAGTAAACGATCAAGGGATAAACTTACCGGTGAATGGTTCGGTACCAGCTTGGATTGTTGTAAGTAATTGGGTGGCTGGGTACTTTTGGTATGTGACCAAGTATGTAAGGAATTCCTTCAAATCACCAGAGAAATTGGTAACTGAGCTGGCTGCGACGAAAGAATGCACTGTAGTTGAGCCATTGAGTCCGGTGTAGAGTTTCCATGACACTCCGGCGATGGTTACAGTTGCAACAGGTTTTCCGGTTGCTGAGATTGGTCCTGCACCACCCTAGTAGAGGTTAGCTTTTGTAATATTACATAAATGAGAAGAATGACAGTAGAGGCTTACAAGGGCAGCGACCCAGATCATAATCTCGAAGTCCGCAGCGCCAGTTCCTTTAGCCGAAGAGAATAGATCATAGGATACATCAGCAACGAGATTGGAACCAGTGTAGCTGGAAGGGATCATGATTAGCTAAGTTTTTTGAATGGTACGGACGAAACAAACCTCCATTTCCAGGTAGTTGGGATCTTTTTAATGGTAGAGACCTCCTTAGGTGACATAGTAAGTCCTACGTTTGCATAGGACTTGACTTGAGAAGATCCTCCTGCCCACGACCAGGCAGTGGACCAGACAAGAGTATTACTTGTGTCTGAAGTGAGAGTTGTGCATTGAGAACCGGTGAAACCAGTAATGTTCCAGAGGTTTTGGTAGATAGTATAAGTTCCGGTTTGGAAAGTATCCCATTGCCCACATTTTGTTGTAGCTCTCTTATCGACGATGGCGGTAGGAGAGGCAACAGCAACGGTTGCCAAGGCTAAGGAGACTAAGGACTGAGTAAATTTCATGATGATGGAGTTGAAGGATACTTGATTGTGCGTAGAATGTTTGGATGAAGAAGAAGGTGACAGCGAAGAAGACTCATATTTATATAGAATCTAATGCACTCATCATGGTACAGGCGCTAACTCGTTTAAAACATCAGAAGAAATGGAAGGGATTGTTGTCCGGGGAGACCTTGCGCTTGACAGATTGGCAGGACCTTTCTAAGCAAATTGTAATATACAGCTGTCCCCAAGAGGACAAAGCTTCGAGTTTGATGTGGCTTCACCAACTAGAGTTTCTAGAGGGAGTCCCTAGTCTACTCGAGTACATCTAGAGTGATCCAGGATACCTCTGTGGGGTGCTTGAAAGCCAAGATGGTTCGCCCACTTTTCCGCCAATAAAAGTTCAAAGCGAGTTAATATATATTGACATGGGAATAAAGTTCTTCGGAAAAGGCTTCGGAGAACGACCAAAGTAGATAGACTTGAGAGATTATTCCGTTACTAACGCTTTGAAACGCGTTAAGATGGGACTATTTCGGCACCTAGGGGTTTCGAAGCCGCACTTGAGGATTCTGGCTAAATTTGCCAAGGAAAAAACGTTGTTAAAGTCGTACAACCTTGATATTTATCGGGGAGTGGATCTTATGACTTACCCCGGATTCTTGAAGAGAGATGAACGGCAAAGTTTGTCCCTAAAATGGATTGATGCTCATTATGATGATGAACGATCACTGGTGGTAAAATTTCTCCTCATCTAGCAATTGTAGTAGAGGCTTTTGGCAAAATAACCCCAGCTATTTCCTTACCACTTGAAAGAGTCTGTCTTTGAAATGAGCGAGATTATCTAGTCATATATGTTGATGACACTTTCATTCTACAATCGCTCTGTATAAATTTCAATAACTTCAACAAATTCAAATAACTACTTGAATTAAGTAGACATAGAGTTTAAACAAATGCCTAAGAAGAAAACATATTTTTTACCAGTGTGAAATGAACATTCCCTGGAATCTTGATTAGGATTTTGGGAACCTTGGAAGTTAAAGTTACCCGGAATACACCCTTAGAAAGTTCAATTAATTAATCATTACACCGCCTGTGTAGTCATGGTTGACAGCTCTCATTCAGATATATTTTTAGTAAATACTAAAGCCCTCTGGTGTGTAGAAAACGCAGGATTCATAGTAAGAATGACATGGAAGCTATTTATCAATGGAAGCAGCTCTATGAACATAAAGTCAAAAGAATCCTATAATTAGAGACGATAAGTTTACACATAGAGATAGATCATCGCTTAAGAAGAATTACACGTCTCTACATGACACGCACGGAGGCCTGTCAATCGATAGTTAACGAATTTTAAAGTAATTAAACTCTTTTAAGCTTAATACATATGCGATCGATCTGTTTCTTCAAGACGTTATTACGTAGTATTACATTGGCCTACAATAGTACTATCATTTGTGAATAATCCCATTATTTAGTCGCTAGGGATTCTCACGTTTCTATATATCGAAGTCTACCAGCAATGACAATATTAATTCGTCATAATAGTCTTTTCATCGCAATCGTATTAAGTCTATACATCGGATATTCCATATGTCAGGTGCCATACGCACGGACCCTCCTGTATATTGAAGAGTACTTTTCCTCTCCTGATCGAATACAATATTTATCAATTCGGCCCTTAGATTTCACTGTACTTTGTGACACCATGAATACTAGATAGTAACACCAAGGGACTTTATATGCCAAGAATCCTAAGAGAGTCTGGCCCTTCGGATCCAAATGACCGGCTCGCAATAAGGTTCATGTCCATGGGAAGCGAAGGTCTATATAAAGCTTTGCCCTCAAGGTCAGTCATTCAATATTGTTAAACAGTACTTATATTTTCCTCTCCATTAAAATCGACTCCCCGCTCGACTTTGATAGAAGCCAGGTACATACGACCTTTGTGACTTTTAACGGCACGTCCCGTGATATGGATTGTAGCGGCGTAGAACAGTAACTTTCCCCTTTTGAAGTCTTCAGTCATTGAGTTTAAGATCTTAGTCACAATACTCCGTACTCCGTATATCCACGAGTCTAAAAATAACAATGGATTCGCTGCACTTCCCCATAGTGATTTGACGCCCCTGACGAACGACTAGCTCGCATCAAAATATACCGAGCATCCGGTTCATATGGAATATTCCGCCGTGCCAGACAGAATATTTGAAATGTGGTGGTAGGTAGAAATCTCTTCCATTTTGTGTCATTGAGTCTTGCATGATATATAAGTCCTGTTGGTGAAATTCTCTCCATTAACCTAGTAGATTGATGTCGAAACGATAATATCTCAATCATAATGAAACACGATGGCTCTTCAATTTGGTGTGGCTAGAGATTTGAAGGGTTGAGATAAGATCCGATTAGAGAGATAAGAGGAAATTCGCAGTTTGTCAAAAATGGGGGAGAATTTCAGAAACGAAATAACAGGACCTTTTCTTGTCGGCAACCAAGCAGTATCCCATATTTTTAAATGGAGTGTGGTTTTCTTTTCTGACGGCATTAATAGTTCTATTCGATATAAAATACACATATATGGAGTACATACCTACCTCATATTAGGTAAGTCTTACTGTTATAATAACTACTAGGTATTACCTCTTCATTCATTTTATTTTTGCTACGTCTCAAATGGCTTTCTCGTCACCTGATCCCCGGAATACCCAACAAGTTCCTGTGAAACCGTGAGCGGGGAGTATTGTTGTCAAGTCAACTCGAGAATAATTCTAAAATATCCATCGCCTCACAAATTCAACCACAGCTTCACTTTGGCATTTTCTTGTGTAACGTGTGCGTTATATGTGTGGATGATAAGTGCTGTCATGTTCTAACCCAAACTTGAGTGCGTTCATTAACGCGTCAAGTTTTCCATTCATCTCTATCCACACGTTCATGCATTTATTCATCCACTTGTTCACCCGCCACGTCTGGTCATCAACTCTGTCCCTTTCAATCGATTTGCCTACATAAAGCAAATTGAGACCTGGAAGAGGTTGGCCGGTAGTCTTCAAGGCTGCAATCTTCAAGACGGCAACCTTCCCCTCATAAAAGCGCACGTCTAGAAAGATGTCACCTCCCCAAGAGCGAACCCTATCGAAAGGCAGGAATACCGAATCGAACCAGCCACTTTCCTCACCAACCAGTAATACTCCTAACAAAAAGGTATCTTGTTCTTGTTCTTGTTCTGATATATTACAAAACTAATAAGATCAAGTTTCCACAAGCTAAGGATCGAAAACGTAAACGAGCACAAGAAGACGAAGGCGGCTCCCCTTTCATCATCGCTCCATTTCAAACAGGGCCACGAACATCCTGCTCAGAATATTCTGTCAAAGATAATCTTACAATCCTCGAAAACACAGCGGTCGATATTGACCAAAAAGATCTGGATCCACTTGAATACTGGAGAAGGCAATTCTGTTGGCCGCAGAAATACTTTGAAGCAGAGAGCGACATGAGCCTACTTGCCAGAAAAAAAGTCTTCCCCATCTCTTGGTAGTATACGATGGGAGCTTGGCTATTCTGCTGCAATTACCCATACCATAGCTAGCGATGACAAGCCGAGGGAAGTAAAAAGTGCCTTTTATCTACATTCAAGTTACGAGATATTACTTTCCACCAAGGGTAGCTTTATGAAGAAATCCGATCTAGACATTACAGATACAAGCAAAAGATTTTGTCGAATCTTACTCGAACTAGAACAACCAGTCCCTCAGGATACGTTGTTTCGTGACGATCTATTCGAAAAACTTGTGCAAGAATACGAGTGAGTAATGAACCTATGGTTATTCGAGACGTCTTCTCTTTAATATGTCCGTCAGCCCAAGTTTTAAGGATCTACGGTGCGAAACATCTCAAGGTTTTAGACGAAAGTGTCAACGAGGGTTGGAATAAAGCTATACCTTTTGCTGGCCCTCGCCTATAACCTGATTACTCTGTAGGGTTCGGGCGATCTGCATTTACGAGCGATCAATTGGCAAAGCTTGAACCTTTTGTTGGTGGAATCATGGATAAGTGTACCTCTTATTTCATGGGTACTTGGCGGATATACTTTCCGTTCCTTACATCGGAGGTGAACATCGCAGATCTCGACGTTGCCGATCGACAAAATGCTCACAGCATGACACTTGCAGTGAGAGCTGTAGTGGAACTCTTCAGACTTGTAAAACGAGAAAAGGAGCTTCATCGAGAGATACTAGCGTTTTCAATGTCGATTGACCATCGAAATGTAAGTATTTATGGTCATTATCCCGTGATCGATGGAAGGAATACTACTTTCTATCGCCATATGATTCGCAGTTTCGATTTTACAGATCTGGATGGTAAAGACAAATGGGCAGCATATAGATTTACGAAAAATGTTCACGATATCTGGATGCCGATCCAGCTGGAAAGAATTCGTTCTGCTGTCGATAATTTACCTTCTGATCTGAATTTCGAGGTTTCGCAGCAATCTGAACAATCTGAACTAGAGGAATCTGAACTTTCATATAGGTTTGAAAGTTGAAATCTTTCTGAGCGAATGGGCAATGATACTGCATTTTCAAAGGAAGCTGGAAATGGGTCAAGTTGTATTGGTTCAAGATAGGTTAATCCTAACAGCTTTGCTGTCTCAGAAAATTGACGAGGGGTCTCCAAGAAGCCAAGTTAAACAGGTTGACCATAGATAGTCTCATCAGGAAGAATTTGAAAATATCTTCGGATGATTAAAATGGATATGGTGATTGAGGTGGATACAATGTTGCTTGATGATATACCTCTGTAGACAATTGTTTAAAGATGATGATCAAATTATGGTTCTAGACGACGATAGCAATCTACTACAGGTATGTGAATCTGGGAGATGTGAGATCACTGGCAAGTTCCTTTGTTTGGTATGAAGTACTAGGTAGATTGATTGATTGATTGATTGATTGATTGATTGATTGATTAAATTAACGTCTACACTGAGTCTATGACTATCTAAGACGGCTAGGAGCTTTGTAGGCTTCTAACAATAATACATGGGGGGTAGCTGGCCTTATTCGACCGTAGCTAATACAGGTTGGGGAGATTGAAAGCCTCAATCTTCTAATGTTTGAATGGGGGAAGTGAAAACTAATACTAGGGGACCAAGCCCGCCTTACAGATACTCTCGTATTCAAATAAGAGGAATAACAAATGAAATGTAATGAAATTTGACATTGGGGTGATTGCCCAAATTGACCAAGTTGACCAAGTTGACCAAGTTGACCAAGTTGACCAAATTGACCAAATCGACCAAACCGACCAACCCAACCACAACCCCCCGGTCCACCCCCTTCTTCTCCGCCTTCTTCCTCTTCTTCTTCATGCATTCTATTGAGGTGCCATGATCTGGTGGCTATTCTCGTCGCCTCGATAAATTCGAGGGTCTTGATGATTCCTGCTTTAGTGTGAAGCAGATATTTCATAGTAGGTCGGACTATAAAGTTATCCTTATTGAGGGTTTTCCTTGCCATTTTATATAAAGGATAATTGAGCAGAAGATGATCAGGAGATTCCTTTCCCCCATATCTACAATTGTTATTAAAGGAGATACCGAATCGTTTCAAATAAGATTTGAAGTATCCGTATCCAATTTTGAGTTGGAACAAAGCACAGATTGTGCTTCTTTTGATGTTTCCTGGAACTCTGATTTTTGAGCTGATCTTCCAGGGGTAGTTTCTTGAATATGTTGACGATGGTTGATGAAAATTGTTAGTGTTAAGGATGGCTATCCAGTTCTCTGATTTCATTCTTTTTATATCCATTCCAATAAAGGCATAACTGGTTTCGTGAGATGAGGATGGTATTTTGGTCGCCTCTTTTGCAAGAGAATCAGCTAGCTCGTTTCCTTGTACAAATGTATGTCCAGGGACCCAATTGAGAGAGATTTCGGCTCCTTTATTTTGAATAGCTTCCGCAGCTTTTATAGCTTTGATTTGGCATGATTGACCAGGTAAATCGGAGGGGGTTTTCAACCGGAATAATCCTGCTTGATTATCTGAGTATATCTTGAACTTGTTTCCTGGTTGGGCTATTGAATTTGCGTATTCGATCGCTTTAACAATTCCTAGAAGCTCCCCATTATAGACAAGCTGATTCACATTTATATTGATAGTCTCTTGATGAGAAATTCGGCCATTTGGTAAGATAACCGCTATCCCGATTCCAATCCCTATTCCCTCTAAAGTGGATGAGGCATCGATGTATATTATAATGGTATTTTTGTATTTATATTTGAAAGCCAGATTGTGAATCATTACAGCTTCTTCTTTTCCTAATTTGCTGATATTGACTTTATATGGAACTTCTTTCTTTCAAGGAGGAAAGTAGAAATGATGGATTCCTTCCAAAATGAGAGGATCGAAGTCTTTCTGAATTGAATTTTTGATCTTTTCGAGTTGAGTAGGTTTTAATTGCTTTCTTTGAGGGGTTGCAACTACATCTTGATTCTCCTTTTCTGTAGCCAGCTTTGTAGCTACTAAATTGACAGGATGAGAAGGCGAGATTTTCAATAATCTAAATGCGTATTGTTTGATTCCAGCATTTAGCTGTACTTCTGGAGGGCACAATGCGGCTTCTATTTCCATTAGTTTTATTGGTGAGGTTTTGAATACTTCTAGGATTTTTCGAAGGGCAAGGTTTTGCAAGGATTGAAGGATTTTCTTGAATTGGTTTTGCCCTTTCCATCATAAAATTGAATCGTAGTTAGCTATACTGGTAACGCATGCCATATAGAGCTGTCTCATTGCCTTAGGACTAAGGCCTTTTTCAGAATTAGCAAGTCTAGCCATTCAGTAGAATGAGGTTTTAGCCTGGGTAGCTCGGATTGTGACATGTTGTTTGAAACTGAGGCCAGGGTCGAACCATATACCTAGCCATCTGATTAGTGTTGAGGGTTGAATTATCTCCTCGTTTGGAAGCTTGATTGAGGCTGTCTTCGTATCTTTGGATATAGAGAAGTGTATTAGTTCCGTCTTCGCTAGATCAAATTGAATAGCATTTTCTTTGCCCAGAGCATATATCTGTTTAGTTGCTCTTTCGAGGGAGATGATGTTCTTTTTCCAGGATATTGAAAATGTTATTAAAGCTATATCATCTATATATGAGAGATATTTGATTGAATTTGCTGAGAATAGATCTCGAATATAAATTAAGAAGAGGATTGGCGAAATAGGGCTACCTTGGGGGGTCCCGGTATTGATCGGTTTGAAGGTTTCAATTTGGCCATCGAATGAGAGCTTGAGTAGCCTTTCCTTCAAAAAAGATGAGATCCAGGCGATTAGGCTAGTTGGGAGGTTTAGATTCTTGCAGATATCTAATAATTTGTTCATAGATATATGATCAAAGGCACCTTTAATATCCAGGAAAAGAGTTGAGGTTTTCTTCTTGGATCTTGAATTTCTTTCGATTTCGGTAATGAGTAAGATTGCTGTATCGATGGCTGATTTCTTTTGTCTTCCACCTATTTGAGAGTAATGAAGTAATTGCGTAGTCTTCGCTAAGTAGCTAAGCCTTTGAGCCAGAATTCTTTCACTTATCTTGCCAAGGCAATTTAGCAAGACGATAACTCTATAAGCTTTTAGGGCCGAGTAGTCTGGTTTTGAAGGTTTTTTGAGAATCGCTCCAATGACTTGTTTCCAGCAAGAAGGATGGTAACCAAGGTTGATAAGATGACTGAAGAAGGTGAAGAATGCTTTTGGTATTGCTTTGTACACTTGAATAATGATATCTTGAGTGATCCCATCGGGGCCAGGGGTCTTTCCTTTGATTTTTGCAGAGTATGCGTTTAGGAGTTCGCTCTTTGTGAGATCAGGCCATTCCCATTTCTTAGATTGTTTATAACTTTCCCAATTGGGCGGTAGGGTGAATGAAGGAGGAGGAAATAGGGTCGATCTAAATGCAGAGCATTTTCCCTCGAAAGAATTTTCTAGTTTAGAGGGATTGGATCGAATATTCGGGATTCTTTTGGTTTGTATATCTTTTGTGTATAACATTGCCTTGAATATGGATTGGGTATCCTCTTTTTCAAGGAACTCGTTCCAATGGTTTTTCTTTGCTGTTTTAATAGCTTGGAAGTAATGATTCCTGGCTGACTGGTAGATTTTCTTGAATATATCGTCTTCCAGGTAAATCTTGGCGTTCTCAAATGCATTAGAGAGTCGTTTTCGAAGGGCTTTCAGCTTTGGAGACCACCAGGGTTTAGCTCTTTTTGTGGACTTGATTCTCGGTATACTGGTTTCAGCCGAATAAGTGATTATTCGGGTGAATTCTTTTGCAGTTTCATCCAATACTTGTATGTATTGGCTCTTGTCAAAAAGGGAATCAAGAGAGTTGGATTCTGAGGTAGCGATATTAAGGTATTCACTCGAATTTAAGATGGTTGATATCGATATTTTCGATTTGAGGGTATTTGCGAATTTTTCCTAATCCGCAAGTTTTGTATTGAATCTTGCTGGCTGAGCTATATTCGTTGTACGGGATAAAGTGCCCTTTACTTCAAAGAGAATGCTTAAGTGATCTGATCCAAGATCCGGGAGGACTTGCTAATTAGTGATATAGGGAGATACTGAATCTGTGGCTAAAGTAAGGTCTAAGACACTTGGATTTGTCATATTTGTTCGATAAAAGGTGCTCGTGCCTGGTTCGTTAAATAGAATGAGATTATGATCCTCAAACCATTCGGTGAATAGATCGGCATTTGAGCTTTTGTTAGAGAAGGGGTCCCACCAAGGGTGATGGGAGTTGAAATCTCCTACGAGGATGGTGTGATGAGTAAGAGGGGTATTGTAAAGGCATCTTTCGATGGTGTGGCCTTTTTCTTTGGCTTGGTCTGCTTCATTGTAGATATTGATGAGTTATATTGTATGTTTTCCTTGAATGATATCAATGATTTGAATATCTGGATTATTAGGGGAGTTGGGAGTTAGGGCTACTAGTGGTTTGAATCCTTTTGAAATATAGATCATAGTTCGGGGATGTAAGTTCGAAGGATTATTTGGGAGGAGTTGAGAGAAGCTGGAGTGGGCAATAGATCTGGTTGAGAAGAAGTCTTTCTCAGGATTCGAGAGGATCTAGGGTTCTTGAATGACTATGAGATCAATTTTGAGTTCTAAAGCAAGTTGGAGAGCACTTTCGATTGCTTGAAGGCTCTTGTTTAGATTGATTTGAAGAATGCAAGTATTGTTGTACAGCATTAATTGGATTTCTTGATGGTTGATAGATATACTTCGTATACTTTCGAGTTGGCTTTGTGTTCTCCTTTATAATTAATACATTTGACACTTAGATGTTGATATAGTTTGCCTTTTGCTTGGCAGATTATACAGAAATGACCGACTGTAGTATGATTATTACTGCAAAGTCTGCAAGCTGGAGGTTTTTTGCAGTATGATTCGTTATAGCCGAATCCCTGGCATCTGTTATATTGGGATAAAGGAGTAGATGAATAGAATCTTTCTATTTTAATATTAATACCTGCAATATATAATCTTTTCTAGATAGCTATATCTGCTTCTTTTTGTATAGCAAATACAATAATTATTGCTCTATCTTATTGTTTGACTTTCTTAAAAGCATTAGTAAGCCAGTAAGGAGTATCTATAATACTGAGCCTTGGGTTGAAGGTATTGACTTCCTCTTTGATTAGGTCCATACCTTTCAGACCTGAGAATTCCTGAATTGGGATTTTGTGAATGATGACTTTATGCCAGGGTTTATCGATTTGTATTCTTTCGGCATCAAGTATTTTGTCCCAGATTTCCTTCTTTTCCATCAGGAATTGTGCATTGAAAGGGCTGTTAGTGGTTAGTATAAAATTACTGCTCTTTGTAGTAGTGATGGCTGAGATGATTGATCTATTGATTCCTGCTTTCTTGAAGGCTTCGTTGACTTTATTCCTTGTATTTAATGGTGTAAAAGAGGGTGGCTGATAAATAAGAGGTTTGATGAGGATTAGTCGTTTGCTTGGGGCTTCTTCCTTTTGTTCTGTAGTTTTCTGTTTTGTAGGTTTTGCCTTTGTAATTAGGTTCCATTCTCCTAAGGTTTTGGTAATAGTGGCATAGCTGGCTTTGGTTTCAGGGGCGTTTATTGTGGGGGGGGATCATATGATTGGGAAGGTTTGAAGGATGGTTGGCTTGCTTTTCGATCTGTTTGGTGGCATTTTCTAGATGGGAGATTTGTGATATGATGATATTTGAGGTTTTCATAAGTTTTCCTTTTTCAAGATATTCACGAAATATTTCGATTAAGTCTAGGACTTTCGATTGTTCTTCGATATCCTCTTCCAGGGAGGCAGCTAGAATGAGTAGACTTCTAGCTTTTTGGATAGCTTCTTTTGGTGAGTTGATATAGGGTTCTGAGTCGTTGGGTTGTTGTCTTCGTTTATTATTGAATTGGAGCGTTGGGCGATTGATTGGTGATTTGAATGGATCATCAGAGCTCAAGGTATTGCATTGGGTTTGAAAGTTGAAGGGTTGGGAGGGGGTAGGACTGGAGAGGATGAATGGCGGGCTATTGTTTCTTTCATGGGTTTGTTCAGTGTGGTTCACTTGGCATGGAGTGCCTAAGATCACTTTTGGGAAGTTCGATTGAGTGGTCCCCGTCATTGATGAAGGGGGTGAAAATTTCATGCGTTTTAGTGTGGTTTCATGTGTTTTTGGAAGTAGACGACAGTATCACAACAACTACTGGTTCAATTTCTTTGGGGACAATTGCGTTCGATTGATGCTGATTTGTTTAGTGCAAATGAGATATAAAAAGGGTGTATTTCGAAAAATAATTTTTCTTCAAAATTTGTTGTGTTGAGCAATGTTGCGATGTATATATGAGAGCAAACCTAAGGCCCAAGGTAACCAAGATTTTCTGTAATGAGGGTTACTAGAGGAAAAGAGTTGAGATGAATACATATTCTTACATCAGATAATAGTATCGTGATATTCAAAGAATAATTGTTTTCGATGTAATCGAGATCATCGTATCCAGAATAGTAAATCTAGACTTCTGGTTTCATATGGATGATTTTTTCAAGCCTTTTAGTTGTTGCGAGGTCAATGGAGAGGGTCCTTGAAGTGAGTCTGTATGGTATGAATCGACGAAGTATTTTGAGATTGAATGATCGAACAAGTGAGTTTTGGAAGATAATCGAAAAGCAGAAGGTTGAGGAGAAGGAGTACGGCTCTTCTAGGTGTTGAAAGTGGCGGCTGGCTCGCGTATACATCTTGTTTATGCGGCGGTACGCTAAACTCTGGCTTGGAGAAAGGGGAATAGCACTGAGACTTTTGATTCAAAATAATCAATTCTTTGATAAAAAAGCTTGTAGTTTCAAAGTATTTTTATTTTTGGAAAAAATGAAAAAGATTTGACTTCTTTTATTTTTCAATTTCAAAGTTTTACTAGAACATTCATATTCGACGAAAAGTAAAAAGATTTAGGTATTCTAATATTTCAATTAAATTTATGAAAATCATTTTAAGGGCTTTTCTATCCAGAAAGACATTAAGAGGATGAATCAATTCCGAACATATTAATTAAGGTGTAATTACCCAAGTGAAGGCCAAACAGATGCCACAGATGCCCGAGATGTAGAATATTGCTTCGAAGTTAACGTTCAACGACCAAATTTCGATTGCAAACAAGAGACCTGTTCGGTTCGGAGAAACGTATCCTCCGTTAGTTCTAGACAACGCTTATTGGCTTGTGGCTCCTTGGTTTTGTCTCCACACTTCACACTCCAACATCCCCTCGAGAACATAATAGTAGATTTGATATCGAGTTGCATCATAAAATCGCGATATTTTTTCTGGTATAAATTCATCAGCTCGAGGTATCGAAGAGAGTCGCATCTTTGAATATATGGGCAGAAATTATCGGTCGCAATAGATGGACAAGGTCAAACGAATTCTCGATAGCGCGCAGAGGACGGTAACCTTTGCGACGACTTGAATAGTTCAGCGGAAGTATATTTTGTACGGAAATCAAATATAACAATGGCTCCTGCGGCATCGGTCGCTCAGGCGACAAGCAAAGCTAAACGGCCTATGTCCATTCAAACAAATGGCATCAATTCATCAACCTCCTCACCATCCCCATCAATGTCCGCCAGTAAACTAGGATCAGGTCCCAAGAATTCCCAAAATTCCATTACAGCCAATGGCGTTGGAAACAATTCAGGGACTCGTTCTGCGAAAGGAAATCGTTCGGGGCATACGGTTGGTCGAGGAGTGAAAAATAATGGTGCTGGTATGAGATCTGGCAGTGTTGCTGGAGAATTTGTCATACCACAAGTTGCGCAATCACAACCATATGGTAATATCTTGTCGTTCACCGTGGTTTATACATATGCTAAATCTTTCAGTCAAAACCGAGCGCTACATACTCAATAAATACCGAAAAAGCCCTCCTTCCATAATCATTCATTTATACGCGACACATTTTCGATTTGATCAACAACCAGGCAGTTTCTCCTATGTGTCTCCGATGCGAATTCTCCTTGAGCATATCAGAGATAAAACTATACCCCATGAATTGGTAGATTATTTCATACTAAACGAAGTACCATTTTACGAAGGTTGCATGATTGTCCAGATCCTTGATCACAAATCCATTGCTCCCCAACCAACCTCATCTCAACCCAAGGACGGAAGCAAGGAAGGCGTTTCTATTCACACTCTCAGTAGTTACATTACCCCATCTCCATATGCGTCGTACCCTAGGCGTGATACAGATAAAAGTAGGAACTCGAGAGAACAAACCGGCGATGGTCCGACGAAGGCGAAGACTTCTGCTCAGCAGGACAAGGAGAATATGCCTGCGCCAGGTGCCTCGAACGATTCCCAAGGAAGCAAAACAGTTCCACCACCAGCAAAATGCAAAGTGACAATGTGTGTACTCTTCCCGACACCGATTAGTACCTATATCGAAATAGCTCGTAATTCTACCGCGCCTCGCACACCAGATATGGATGGGCGTCAAGAACGCTCTGATGGAAGCACATCAGCTACATTAGTACAGCCAACTACACCACTCGGAGCTGTTCCACCAACTCCTGTTATAAACATGCCACCGCCTGCAAAGAGAATAAAACAAGCCAAGCTCGAGTTTAACTGCGGTAATGTATATGCAGCAGAAGCTCAGATTATCCTAGCCACTACAGCTCCTTTGATGCTTGAACCTGCAAATAGTGCAACAGAATGTTCACAACTACTAGAATCATTAGCTCACCCTATGCACTTAGAGAAGCCTCCTCAACCCAAGTCTCGTAAAAGGACAGTCGCAGAAATGGCTGCTGATGAAGCTCTTGCCGCAGATGAGCAACGTTATATGCTCATTTTGGATGAACAACGTTCTGCGACCGTGGCCCGTGGGGCAGGAGGGGCCAATGTTGCGGACGGTGCTGGCCAAGCAGGTGGTGGTTTTGAAGCACGGTTTGAGAAGTTTAATGCTCTCGCAAATATCAGAAAAGAGCTCGCCGAAAAGGCAGCACAGAAAAAATTACTAGAGCAGGAGGCCGAGCGAAAGTCCAAGGCTGAGCTAGAGGTTCAAAGAAGGCAGGAGCTGGCAGAGGCTCGGCAAAAGGAGGCAGAAAGACGTCAACTTATGGCAGCGAGACAACAGCAACAGCAAGAAGCTCAAAGACGCGCGTTGGCTGCACAACAACAACAGCAGCAGCAGCAGCATTCACAAGCCTTGCAAGGTATACCTCCCCAAGCGCAAGGTCCCCATGCACATCCCTCTCAAGCAAACGGCATTGTCTCGAATGGTATGCAGGCACAACGCTTCCACCCTCATCAAGGTACCCAAGCCCAGATGTCTTCACCAATCGTCCGAAATGGAACTCCGCATAGCCAGGCATCGCCAACAGTCAATAATGGTATTGGTAACAACGCAATGCAACACTCTACGTCGAGCATGGGTGGTAGTCCTCCTCGTCCAGGTTCTGTGGTTCATCAGAATCATCCTCAAATGGGCGCACCCGCAGCTCATGGCATGGTACCTCAAAGAAGCCAGCAAAGCCATGCAGGAACACCTCGAATGCATAATGCCACCCCTAACATGCAATCTACTCCATTAAACCGTGGACTGACGCCAAGGATGAGCCAGGGGAGCCCCCTTCAAGGTGTTATGGCGCAAGCACCTGCAATGGCTCAAATGGGAATGAACCCGACTCAAATGCATGTCCAAGCTTTGGGTAATCTCACACCTGTACAACAACAACAATATTATATGCAATTACGAGCTCAACAACAAGCACAGCAGCAGCAGCAAGCTCAGAGCATGGGAGTAATGCCTAACGGGCAACAAATGACTCCTCAGCAAATAATGCAGCATCAACAGATGCGGCACATGCAAATGCAAGCCAATGCTAACAATCCTAGCCATCAATTATCTCAAAGCTACCAAAACCAATTGGCTGCCATGCGACAAGCTGGCATGCCTCCTAACATGAACCCAAATCAACAATTCATGGGAAATAATATGAACATGCAGAACATGCAGAATTTGGCAATGCAGCAGCAAATGCAACAACAACAGCAACAACAATTGCAAATGCAACAACAACAGCAACAGCAGCAACCATTGGCACAGCAGCAAAACGCTTTGATACAACAATACGTGAACAACAATCAACCCCAGACCCATCAACATATGGCCCAATTATACAAGCAGCTCCACGCTAGAGAGATGTCGTCAGGTGCACACCCTCAAGGGCTGCCGGAACAATTGAAGAAAAGATTACAAGCGCAAGCGCAGGCTATGGTATTCCAAAACATCAAATCAAAGCTGCAGGCAGGTGTGCAACAAGGTTTCCAGCCGGGTATGCAGATGCAAAATGGAATGGGTATGGCAAGACAACCAGGCATGTAGAAGTTGTATTACACGTGTGTATAATTATGAGCTCATTCGCACTTTGCTCAAACAAGGAGTTCAATCAGGGCGGAAATGGGCAATGTCTTAATTTGGTAAGGCGCATATTTGGGCATATTTATCTAGGGGCACATAGTTGTGTATATATTACTTTGGCTCGGGGATCAGAAAGGAAGGATAAGGGCGTCACCGGGAGGTTTGGCTATGATCGGTGAAGGATTGGCGCAGCTGTATACCAGGAACTTCAAGGGGAAATATCTATTTCTGGTTATACGGACTATTGTCCAGGTACTATTAGGACAATATGATGGTTTGATGACCCACTATCTAAACATTCAACGCCTTTGCCATGAAACCATAATTGATCTTTTTCGCATCAACACCCTGTTATACATCAAGACAGTTCAAATAACTGATTTATGCGGTAAGCATGCTATATATCATGCTTTTTCACAGATTAGTTTTTCGCGCCTCCCTGTGCTCTTTTTCCATCTTCCTCCACTCGTCGTCACTCCCTGTCCATTTCGGCTCTTTCACACAAAATGCTTCGCCCCATTCTAACCTCTGCTCCCTTCCCTTCCACACATCCTCACTACTCTTTCCCAATTCCTTATTCTTATCCTCCGGATCCCCATACTTTCTCTTCTCCTTCTCCATCCATCGTGCTTTAATCAGTTTGGCCTTCTCATTATCGCCATATGTTCTCGTTTTCATACAAAACCAAAAGTCCGACCATGTGTCGCTACAATCTCGCGCAGTACCATATCGATATAGATTATTGAATTGTCCGCCGAGAGATTGGCAATAGAATGCAGCGTCAAAGGCTGTGCGGCATGACATGGTTGTGGGGAGAAGTTGGGTAGAGAGGGGCTCCGAGGTGTCATTTTGAGGAGGAGTTTGAGGAGAAGTTTGAGTGGAGGATTGGGAATGTGAAGGTTCTGGAGGAGGATCTCGAGGCACACGGTTATATTTTGTGCTGGAAGGGTGGGTTTCGGCTTCGAGTTCGCGGATAAAAGAATTTAGTTCTTGTTCAGCGATTTCATCGCGGGAGAGAGCTTTCGTTTGAGGTGTGGATGTGGGTGTGGAAGATGGAGATGAAACTGGGGTTCCTGCAGCTGAAGAGGCTGTTTTCTCCGCAGATGATGAAAACCACCCCATTGTATAAGTTGTTCTGGACAATTGCCTTTTTCGAATTTCAAAATGCGAAAGTGATGAGGCTGAAGCTTGTAACAAAATTTTAGATTTGGGGAAGCTTTTGCCGACCACCTAAGACACACGTGACAAGGCTATCCTTTCAGCCCTTTTATGGTATGACGACATTGCTCACAGCCTTTTCTTTGGTTTTGTTTTAGCCTTCCTCAATCAAGGCCAAAGAACTTCGATTGCCATTTCTCACTTTGGCTTGGATAAAGGGTACGATAAATTATGAAGATATACATTGAAAGGTAGGCGCAAACATGAACAGGCGCATCTTGTTCAACCCTACAAGCGTGCCCGCATTGCGCAGTCCCCGCCCTCCCCGGCTTCAGACGCGTGCTTTTGGCAATGCGGGGAACCTTAGTAGAATTGGTCTGAAAGGACTGAAGTATGACGGCCTGAAGGGCACATGGAAAGGTGTGAGGAGAGAGAGTACGCAAATTGGTGAGAATGAGAGTGGGCATATCACTGCTGGAACTAATGAGGGAATTCTATTCTTGGATAGTGAGTTCTCATTCTTCTGATCGAGATCAAAGATTTATATCAGCTTGCTGATGTGCTTCTCCCAAAGATATTTTTCCGTTAAAGCTCGGGTGGCTTCTTCGGATACCATGGTACGGCAAAATGGATTCAAGCCTTCCAGATATTCTTTATCGATTCAATAACAAAGTATTCTCCAAGTACGATCCTCTGAGCCTCATAAAGCGTGCCATACCTTCCAGCGTCCCCTTAAAAGTTACCGAGATTCTACCTCGTCTTAAAGAAGGAGGCGCATTTGTCAAATTCTCGCATGACCACACTATAACGGCCAGGGAAATCGAAGGTCTAATCTCAGGATATCTCAAGGAGAAGCCTGTCAAACCTTGGTTTAACCCCTTTCGGCAGATGAGAGCAAAGTTGGTACTTGGCAAACCCTGGCTAGAAGACCTATATAGATTCCCAAGTACGCGAATCCGTGTCGAGTTCGTTCCTTGTACTCCTGGAGGCGAGGTAGCCGAACTTTCACAGGAGACATTGTATAGCTTGTTTCGAAAGTATGGAAAGATTGCCGAGATCTCTTCTCAACCTTCAGACTCCAAGGTCTTACCAAAGTTTGCTATACTGGATTTTGCAAATCTCAGACATTCGATAATGGCCAGGAATTGTTTACATGGTTTCAAGGCTACAGAAGAATTTGGTGGCGGGAAGGCTGGCACTACACTTCGACTATCCTTTGAGCCCAAGATGCAGGCTCACCATATCAGGGAATGGCTTACCAGCCATCCACGTGTGGTGATTCCAGCCGTGGCTGCAATCCTTGCTACTGTAACGGTTGCGGTGTTTGATCCTATCCGAACTTTCTTCATTAAGGCACATATTGATCACGCTTTCAGTCTTAAGGACAATAAGATCTACGCATGGTTTGCAAGTCAAGCAAAGGATGTTTTTTCATTCCGCGTGCATAAAGCGGAAGAGGCAAGCCTTAGCGCAATTTGGGATGATAGGAAGCAGGCTATTGAAGATCTCCAAACTTGGCTTATGGAGACCGCTGATACCTTTATCGTTGTTCAGGGGCCACGAGGATCGGGAAAGAAAGAGCTCATCATTGATCAAGCACTCAAAGGTCGGCCAAATACCTTACTCATAGACTGCAAACCCATTCAGGAAGCAAGAGGTGACTCTGCCACAATTGCGGCGGCAGCAGCTGCTGTTGGATATCTTCCAGTCTTCTCTTGGATGAATAGTTTCAGCAGTTTGATTGATTTAGCCGCACAAGGTACAATCGGCGTGAAATCTGGATTTTCAGAAACCTTGGACTCACAGCTTGCAAAGATTTGGCAAAACACTGCGACTGCCTTAAAGCAGGTGGCTCTACAAAACCGGAAGAAAGATGACAAAGACGCTTCTTTGGCAGATGATGACTGGCTTGAGGCACATCCGGAGTATAGACCTGTGGTTGTGATTGATAATTTCTTGCACAAGAATGAGGATAGTAGCATCGTTTACGATAAGATATCGGAATGGGCAGCTGGACTTACTACTTCTAACATTGCTCATGTCATATTCCTAACCAACGATATCTCTTATTCAAAATCTTTGAGTAAAGCGCTTCCAGATCGAGTCTTTAGACAGATAGCGCTCGGTGACATTACTCCTCAAGTAGCCAAGAAATTTGTCATTAGTCATCTAGAAAACGACCCAGAAAATCCTACTGACAGATCAGAGAAGCTTTCAGAATCCCAAAGACGAGATGATCTCTCCGAATTGGATGAGTGTATCGAGGTTCTAGGTGGTCGATTGACTGATCTAGAATTCTTGGCACGTCGATTGAAAACTGGACAAACCCCCAAGCGCGCCGTGGCAGAGATTGTGGAGCAAAGTGCTTCGGAAATCATGAAGATGTATTTGCTATCTGCTGAAAAGGGCGACCGAAAATGGTCGGTTGAGCAAGCATGGTACTTGATTAACTCACTTGCTGAGAACGATACTCTTCGGTATAACCAGGTCCTGCTCTCTGATACATTCAAATCATCCCTTACACCATCCGCGACGAATGGAGAAAGTGTTCTGGAAGCTCTCTCCGCAACCGAGTTGATCACCATCAAGAGCTACAAAGGACGTCCACAAAGCATCAAAGCTGGAAAACCAGTCTACCAAGCTGCCTTTAGAATGTTAAGCGAAGATCGTGTATTACGAAGTAGACTTGACTTGGCAGTCCTTACAGAACTGACCAAGATTGAGACGAAGAATATTGATAAGTATGAGAATGAGTTAGTAATGCTTGGTACATTGCCTAAGCAACCTTATGAGGTTGCTCCTCGTATCCATTTCCTATTGAACAAATTAGCGGCGAGTCAAAGAAAAATTGAGGCTTGGGAGAAGGAGATGGGATCCTTAAAGAAGGTGTTGACGGTCGAATATTGAGGGAAAACAACATCGCATTCTAGCATATACCCAACTCATTTAATGTATAAGCATGTAGCAAATGTAGCCTGAATTCTCAGCAGTGTAACCTGGACTGATATGTACATTATCTAGCTAGTTGTTTGTGACATACCCATTTCGATTGCTATCCACAAACTGCTATGTATGCTAATGTCTCTCCGAGAGGAACCTACCTATCGCTTAAATCCATGGTCGTGGTTTCATTGCCATTTATTCACTGTTCTTTACTTAACTTCACCGATAAATGATCACCTCACATATGTGAAGCTAAGGGATGATGGCCGAACGGGACGACAGTCTTTAGAGGACCTTGATGGGGTGCTCCCTCAAATCTTAGTCATAGGAGAAGTGCTCCGAGCTTGTCGAATATATTTTGCTTTTGCCACTCTCTTTAGAATTATCATAATCGTACCGCAATGTGAATTGAGGTTTAGCCTAAGGTAGAAACTGATAAATATGTGTAGGTATTTAGGACAGTCATTGGCTCTGACACTGCCTTCACATGGAGCTTTGAAGACTCCACCTGTATTCACTAGGAAAATCATACCACTTATGTAACTTTCTAGTGCAGGTAGCGAACGTCTGTAGCGTGCTTTTGATATGGCAGCTTGATAGCCATCTCCCTCTTAGTCTTCTTTAAAGTCGTTCTCCTTCATTAACTACAACTCATAACAACATAACTCTACAATTCAAACACAGACTAAAATTTGTTCATCCTCACAAATAACATAACAATCATGACTTCTCAAGTCAAGCTCTTCCTCGCCTCATGTCTCTTTCTGCTTAACACTCTGCTTATTGTTCAAGGCTATGAGTTCACTGTTGGCCCTAAAGCCGATGTTCCCATTGTGAAGGTAATCTAAACTCTGAACCACACATTTTGACACAACTGAGAAAAGAAAATCTTAGTTCGAAGCCACATTGACAGTTCCACCATTCTCGAAAGACGGCAGACATATTTTCGTAGCAGGTCTCACCAACCAAGCTAAGAACTATGCCTATGAAAACCGTCTCGGCGATCATAACCCCGGAAAATGGGAAGTGGACTTGATACAGTATGTATTCCAATCTTGCACATGACAGTGACACACTAACGGCTGGCATAAAGTGATCATGGTGGAATTTCCACAGAAAACAATATCTTACCAGGAGATAAAATCCATACCCTTCTCGAGTATAACCAAGCAGATCAGTTCACCACCAATAATTTCACTATTATTCCTGGTCCCGATAGTATCAAGGCTGGATTGAAAACAAGATTTACGACGCAAGCAGCAAATATCCGTGAGTGGAATTGCAAGTACTTTCTATATGCTAGCAGTGTTGACTTGGATACAGAACAAGAAGTTCCTACTGCGGGTAAATTGAATGTGGTAAGTTTGGATCAGATCATCTCTCTTTTTGACGTATAACAATTGACTAAATTGATTCTACAGGCCAGACTCTACGTTGCCTTTAGTAAGGGTGGTGTTTGGGACTTTGGACCAATTATCTGGGAAGATGTCACCATCACGTCTCAGACAACAGATCCATGGTAGTGTAACGATGGGTAAGTTTCTTCAACCCTAACTAAAGAGATCATACTGATATATAGAACTTGCAGATGGAAAGCTTCAGATGATCTTCAGGCCACTGGTAGAGTCACCATGTTCTGGGGTGATGGAGATAAGACGAATTGCAAGTATGAGCATATGACCTGGGAACTTTCGAAGAAGTAATCGAGTCAAAGATGGGAATATGCTATACTAGATGGTTGAGGTGATCAGGAATCACGGAATAGATATTTCTTCGTTTCGTACGATGTTCTGAGAAATAGCTCCTGCAGTGTACGTTTCATAGCGTTGACCTCGATTTCTTGAGAGATTTCTCAAGGTCTATGAAGTTATTATAATACAGTTTCATTCATTAATATTGGTGTCTTTGCTATTTTTGTGAATTTCATGATCTTGCTTACTAAAGATCGTCTTTTCTTTCCACAGCTTCTTATTCAAGAATGCACATATTCCCTTTTTTCATATTTTCATCCAAAGACCTACAATTGAGTAATGTTACCCGAAGCTTTTGTGGTATTGAATTTCGACGAGCTATTTGATACTGTCGTCACCGTCATTGTCATCGAGGGGCCACTGCTTTCAAGGACCCCAAAGTATATTTCGAAAAAGAAATCACCGTCTATTTCACGATTTCCGACATCAAACAAACAAAACAAAACAATAAGCCGGATGCCCGTTGGCATTTAATAGAAGGCTAAGCAATACTTCTGGCATATCATACCGTCCATTCCCTATGAAAAATCTGCATAAAATTAAGCCAAACACTAGGAGTGACTTAAGAATTTAGTCTAACCATAGAAATCTTGTAAAGTTGATAGGAAGGAGCCGCTGCTAGAACAATCTAGCCATTGGTAACAACTCAGATATCAATATCATTCTCACTTATACTAGGGATGTAAATACCTACTTAGACTTAATAACGCAGATTTAATTGAATCCCGAGCACAGAATTCATTACCTATTAATTATATTAATTGTACAAGCCATGAATACAAATTTGTCAATCATCTACTCATTACATATAATTATGACTGAGTATCCTGCCTCTGCAACAACAATCGAATATGGAAGCCTTAATATGTAGTAGAAATCATACAAAGGAAAAATTAATGCGAAAAGTGTTCAAGGTAGAAAAAAAGATATTAAAAAAAAGAAACAACGAGGATCTTGCATGGTTGGACCTTTCAAAACTCGAATTAATCATGGCAAATTTTCCGATTTTGTTAATTTATCACTTCCTGCTTGCACTATTCATTATAACAAGTCCTTAGAACCATATTTTCAACCATCGGGTTAGCTTGATAGCGGTTTATATTTATATCTATCTCTACGGACAAAAAAGAAGGCAAAACTATGATATTAATGAAAATTGCCAAATGCTCGAGTTTCGGCTTCTGGTATTCAGAATGTAGCTGTGTAGGTCAAGCAGCCTTTAATCATTTATCAAGCCGCCTCTAATATGAAGTAAAATGATACATATATAGTAGTTTTACTTGAAGAGCATCCTGGATATATTTTCGCTTTTTAGAAAGGAAGTCAGTCGAGTATTACTACGCTAATTATCTCAACTACATACGATTCAAACGTCAATTGGTTGTTGCCGAGCAGCTAAAATTGAGAGATTTGATTCAAATAATATAAGTATCAAAAAGAATGGCCAAAAAAAAGGCATATCAAACTATATTTATTGTATCTCAGAGCCAAAAAAATATAATATCTATTAATTATCATTACGAAACTCCCTTACCCCTTTTGTCCTCGGCTAAATCCGAATTCTTCAAAAGTCAAGACAATTAGACTGTGCATTTAAAAGCCGCATACAATCTAAATTCATCTTACTCGAGGCAAATCTCGGCTTTGGCCATAATAATCAGCTTTATATGCTTCTAGTATTTCTAGTCCAAAATATGTTTACTGTAAGTTCCTATGAATTGTAAGATTATATGTGAGTACCAGGGTATAAATAAAGGTATAGCATGAAAAACAAGATCGATATACAAATTTTCTACACAACAAACCAAAAAGAAAGTCCCTCAGAACCCCCCAATCAAGTCTGAAATATCCACCTAACATCCTCGTCATTCTCTATAACCTCACTCCCCACCTCAACATTCTCCTCCCTCGCCTTCTTCCCCCTATTTTCCCTCTCCAAACAAAACCACAACGTACCCACCACTAGCAAATTTGCCACCAAATAACCCAACGCAAACCCATGACCCAAAAACCACCTCGGACTCGTCGCTGGCCTATATAACTGGGTTCCTAGCACTGCACCCAAATTGCCAATCGTGATCGTCATCGCGGTAGCCGTAGCGCGTTTTGTTTGTCCGCTTACATTTGCTGCCGGCCAGGAGAGGATGATAGCTGTGCTAGGGTATATTCCACCGGCTGCGAAAAAGGTGCCGAGGTAGGAGATACCGGGTTTGGTGTTGGGGGTGGCGAGAAGGATTATGTAGCCGATGATTGCGAAACAGGAGGAGAATAAGATGAAAGGGGCGCGTTTGTGAGTTTTTTCTGAGAGGATTGCTATGATTAATGTGAGCACAGTGGCAAATGCGTAAGGGGGGACGGTGAGGAGTTGTGCGGTGGCGGCTTTGTATCCGAGGGCTGAAATGATGGTTGGGAAGAAGAGGGAGAGGGTGTAGAGAGGCAGAGACATGGTGTGGAAGCCAAGACTATAGAGCCAGCATTTGTAATCTCCAAATGCAGCGCGCACGTTAGTCCAGGTAAAAGGCTCTGCGTTCGTTGCATCTGTAGATGATTTGAGGCGCGTATGGATGAATGAGCGTTCGGGTTCAGTAAGAAATGGAGCCGTTGAAGGGTAATTGTGGATGAAGCCGTAGGCAACAATAGATACGACGACAGTCAGAAGTCCTTCCTGTGTATTTTGTTAGCACAATTTATTAAAGATAAGGTGATGAAACATCTTACAATGATAAAAATCCACCTCCACCCCTTCAATCCTCCAACTCCGTCCATAAACCCAATTCCATAAGCCAAGATTCCTCCAAAGGCTCCCGCCAACGAAGCCGCAGAAAAGAATAAGGCAATTCGATAATGTGTTTCCGTCCTCTTATACCACATTGATAAGTAAAACACTACACCAGGAAACAATCCACTTTCCGTAACACCCAAGAAAAATCTAGCAGCCAGGAATCCGGCATAGCTTTTAGAAATCCCCATCAAAGTCGCGACAATTCCCCAGAGAAGCATAAGTGTTGGAAGCCATATCTTGGGTGTTGTGCGTTTAAGTATGATATTGCAAGGTACTTCGAAGAGAACGTATCCGATGAAATAGATGGTCAATGTTAATAAGTATTGATTTCCGGTGATTTGTAGACTCTTCGTTAATCCATCTAATTTCGCATTTCCGACTGTTTATTTCGATTATGGTCAGCATCATCTGAAATTTCATTTTCGACTCCGGATTTGTCTCCATATCCAATCCGTCTAGAAACTCGAAACAATTTAAATGAAGAAAGCGAAGAAAACATACTATTACTCCTATCCAAAAAACTCAACAAATAAAGCAATGTAAGAGGAGGCAATAGCTTCCAATCCAGCTTCCTGATCAATACCTTCTCATTTAAACCCGTTGGATTCGCAAACGACTCATCAGAAACCTCACTGTCGTTTCCATTTCCCTTTTCATTGGCATTTCTGTCTCCAGCTGTATTCCCATAATTCCTGTCTATTCCTACAGCAATCTTCTCATCATCAAAAGGCTGCGATGACGCCATCTGCGACATTATCGGAAGTGAAACTGATCAAGTGTATTTCCCTTGTGCACGGAGAACACTACAGCTCGAAAATTGGAATCACAAACGGGAAACTGCAAGAAGATAAGATCTTACAAAAAGGCAGGTATGAAGATATATTCATAAGAACCACCCCGCCATAGAATATATCAAATAACCTCTGAATTGTACGAAAATGGATCAGATCACATCATAACCCACCCTTTAGACAATTTCCGTCGATTGAATAAAACCAAAAACCGAGTTCACCACTACAAGGGAAAGCCCATGTATATATATACATTCCAGCGCAGGCACAGTGATGTACTCCGCAGCACGCAATTACTTGTGCTAGTAGACCGCTCATAGAAAGGTTCATAGACAGGTTCATGCATACATAGGTATGGTATATCCTGATCCTTAGGCCCCTTGTCTATTCTGTGAACTCTCCAACCTTATCTTTCCCTCGTCTCCAGGACCAATGAGATAGAGCCATTTTATCACCCCAATATGTATCGGGAAGTTGAATTCCAAAAGTTGAATTATGATTTTTTTTGGTTGAAGAGGATTGGTACTTGAGTGCAATGATGAAGATCTGGCTTAGATGTCGTGATTATTTCGCGTCGGTGTTGCCTCTTTTGGTAGTTGCGTGTGGTGATCATGGTGGGGTCTTGGATTTGGTCATGTGCTTTGACTAACTGGGGATTGAAGATATCAACCATCCACGTCCACAGCGTCAGACGGAGAAACTCACTGATTCATTTATCGTTTACTTCATAGTATGAGGATATAAGGGTGTGAGGCAACGAGTGATAAGTACAAGATTCGAAATATATTAGTCAATTATAATGCTATAAATAACTAGCTAGTTCGCAGAACATTTACCGCAAGTTTTGTCTTTCAGTGTCAAAAGGAAACTATAATTCCAGAAAACACACTGCTTGCATCCACTGGACGCACTTTCCCAAGTCTCTTTTTTTTTCATCAGACAGGGTATCGTAGACATAACACGAAAGCACCAGCTTTTCCATGCAACTCCATCCATGCAAAGTCATTGTCCGTTGATATTTAAGGTCCAGAAAAGGAAGATGAAGAAAATTAAATGATCCCATTAAAATGAGATATTGCCGTCCCCGGCGTTCGCACCATTAAGAAGATTATTTAGGATTGATACCAAGCCTGACCAGGTCACTGGCAAGAGAAAGTGTAGGGGAAATGGTTGAGAGATTTACAAGTTCATTGTCCAGGCCGCTGTAGGTAAGCTATTTTAGATCGTCGTGCCTTCGAGGCTGAGTACCTTAGATGAATCGCCCAAGAATTTGGCACGATGTGCAACAATTTCGGAGGCAAGAGTGTCAAAGTCATTGATCTTTCTTGCTCGCAGGCCTGAAAGCACTGCTTTCAAACCTTCAATAAACTTATTTCGCTGCTCTCCTCCAAACTCGTCTGGTGAGCCCAGTTTCTGAAGGAGGACGTCATCTGTCAAAAGAAACGTTAGCCAAGGGGACGAAAGGGATACTCAAGGGTGAGCTCAGATTATTATGGCTGGAACTACCGACGCACCAGGCAGTCCCATTTCTCTAAAATGCTGAAATTCGCAAGTATCATCATTGCATGTTCCTCCCATTAATTCGTATCGACACAATTCTTTCTTCGCGTCAATCTTATTAGTATAGGTCAAAGACCTCAGCCCGCCTGGAATCTGTTGCTTATATTCTGGATGAAATCGATATGCATGAAATTTTTTCAAAGGGCTTTGATACGGCGAGAAGAAGCTTGGGCTACGAGAGTTGATGGAAGCTGGTTCCTGTGATATTGTTAGTCTGGGGATCGTCATTAAGAACGGAGAAGACTTTTACTTCTGTTAGCTGAGGAACGGTACCATTTTCTGCTGGCAGGCGTTGTTCTAAATCGTTAGAGATAACTTCAGCATCAGTTGAGTTACCATTTGACATCTCCGCTAAATCAATACCTTCCGCTTCGTCGATGACTGAATCTGGTGGAGCGGGACTGAATGGAGAGGATTCTACCGACAAAGTCTCATCTGCAGGCGGCGTGGCTTCTGGCGGCTCATAGTTATCCGATTCGATATCAGCCATCTCCGAAATCTCTACCATTTCAGGAGGGTCGGCATTTGAGGAAGCTCCAAGTAGCTGAGAACGTTCTAGGACCGGCGAATAATCGGAGCTTGCTTTCTGCTCCTCGAGTGTAGCCTTTGTTTCGGCAACATGTACCGGATTAGCATTGCCGTCCTCCATTTCCGTATCACTGGGGCTAACAAAGTCTGCGTCCGCACGCACAGCCTCTTGAAGTGCTGCCTCAAGGTCTTGGTTGGTTTTGGATGATTCCTTGATCTCGGAAGAACGCTCTTCGATAATCTCCTGTGCTGTTTCTTTGTCGTTATCAACTTGGGTGGGAACCACAGGAATCGAAGAGGCAGCATCAACATCAGTACTGTTTGGTTCTTCAGATTGTTGTTGTACTGCGACACGGGCGTCATCGACTTGGTCATCGAGTTCCATGGGAACTGACGCTGATTTTGGCTCAGACTCGGTGAAAGTTGGCGGTTCTGGCTCACGGTCTGGTTGAGCAGAAGCTGAATGTGGTGGCAGAGCTAAGGAAATGTGAGCTAAAGAAATGTGAGCTCCTGCACTGGGAAGCCCAGAAACCGTAAGAGTACACTTACCTGAATTATCCTTGGTCTCTTCACGAGTAAGGCTCTCCAACTTTTCCTTTTGCTCCTGCAACTGCTGGTCTGTTTCTTGACCCAACCTTTCCATTTCTTCCACCAGCTTTTGCTTGTCCTGGAGATTCTTCTGCATTGCAGCTTCTATTCGCGCAGTTTCAGCACGAAGTGCCTCGAGTTTCAATTGGTTCTGTAAAGTCTCGGCATCAACACGGGGAATGGCGCTCGCAATTCTTTCACGTCGAAGTCGTTTGGTTTCGGCCTCAGCTTTTCGCACATCGGCCGCTTTTTGAAGCTCAGCCGCTTGAACTGCAGCTAGCTGTTGGTCAGACTTTGTCTTATTAGAAACGTCGGTTATCTTCTGCATTACGAGCGATGAATCGGCTTTATTGGCCACAATACCAGTATTACTGCTACTGGCTGTGATGTTGTTAACTGGAGTTTGCGCCCCACTACTACTTCTCTTGTTTGCCTTTCTCATTTCGGCTTCAGCAATCTTTCTCTTTAACTGCTCAATTTCGCTTTCCTTGCGTCGGAGATCCTCGGGATGTGGCTTGATAGAAGATTGCAATGTGGGTAAGGTGCTCGCTGACGATATAGGAGGGGGTGTAAACGGTTTTGGTGGAAGGAAGGAGGACGCAGTAGGGAGTGCTTTTTGTTCAGATAGCTTTCGAGCGGGTTGAACAGGTGAATCGGCATCGGCCTGAGATTCCAACTCCATTTCCACATCTTCATCAGACTCATCCTCATCTTCGCTGACACAAAGAACGAAAGGTTTCTGCTCGCTACGACTCTGACCAAATGGTCGCTTAAATGGCGTGGCCGATATAGAGGGTCCATCAAAGTCAGCTGCCACGGGGCGTTTGCGCTGTCCATTAGAAGAGGGGATTGGCATGATGGGTTGTTGTAAGGATGGTGGGGTGGGCGCAGAAGAAGCCAAGAATAGACCTGGAATCTTTTGAGGGGCCTGAAGAATTGTTGATGGTGGTGCATTGGAGTTGGGAAATTGTGTCGCGACTGTCAAGGATGGAACTTGAATTGAGCTACTAGTGTCCGTAATACCAACCTTATTATTTTCAATAACTTTTTCCGTGGACGATGTAGGCGTTGAAACTGAAGTAGGCAGTCCAGGAATTACGGCCGGTTTGACTTGGGAAGGTAGATTAGGGAGGTTGGTAGTGGGGGTTGTGACAGACTTCGCTGCGTTCTTCTGAGCTCGCTCGGCTCTCGATTTTCTGAGTGCGTCCATCTTGGCTTGCATTGTTTTTTCTTTCTCAACAGCAGCTGCACTTTTCGGCGGTTGAGCCGTTGCAGAAGGAGCAGATACTGCTCCATTCGTCACAGCTTGCTTAACCTTGTCTGCATTGGAGTTTTGTGCAGAGGCCTGCCCATTCGACTGACCACTTGGGGCAGGAACAGCTGCTGTAGGTGCAGAGGAAATACTAGTGGAGGGGCTTTGTGCAGAAGCTGCACTAACCGTCTTCGATGCAGTTTTCGACAACCTAAGCTCATCGAACAATTCTCCCACGAGTCTTTCATCAACGCCTTCTTCGAGATAAGCTGGAAAACGGACATCATACGACCAAAGGTTCAGGATCGCGCCTTCAGCTTTCTTACGAGCCTCGGCAACAGTTTTAAAAGTAACGGTATCATTATGGACACTGGCTTGGGAAGGGTGGGAATTTTGAACAGTACCTGATGCCGCACCTTTGGAAGAAGATGGAACACTTTCCTGGCTAGGTTTAGATGGAGCATTACCACGGTCTTCTACCGGTGAATGTGTCTTATCTTTTTTCTGCGCGCTTGCTTTCTTGTTGGTTGATACTTCCTTGCTTGCGCCTGTGCCTTTATTCTGAGTATTCTTGGCTTTCTCAATCGTGGGCGCACTTTGCGCTACGAAAGGAGAGTACGAGTTTGAAATTTGACGTTGAGTATAGTAGTCGGCTGCTTGAATGAACGTTAGTAAATGACTACAAAAGAGATTCGAGCGGCTTACCATTACGAAGGGTTGGCGGCTGTTTAGGAGTAGGATCTCGGCTCGTTGGATAGACAGCGCGATGGGCAGTATCGTGATAGCCATTTCCATCATTTCCACGATAAAGGCTCGTACCTGGTGCTCCAGCGGAAGTATTCGGGGGTGCTGGATGTATACGGGCAGAAGTATCATCATATTCTCCTTCGCTCATTTCGCGGTTTTCAATGTTACCATATACGGGCGTTTGAGAATGAAAAGTTGGCTGCGGGGCAGCCACCGGTGCATAGTACTGCGAATTTTGAGCATAGTTTTGATGATTGTACCCAGCATAAGAATGCATGCCCTGCGGCGCCGCATTATACTGAGACATGGATGAATTTTCTTGATTCCAGCCCTGGAAGATCGCGACTTGAGGTATATTATTCTGCATAGCGGGCGCGCTGTAGTCTGGAAGTTGTTGATTATATCCATATCCCATTGTATTGTCATACCCCTGCGTCATCGCATGCTGGCCTGCGCGACCGACATCTTGCTGATAATACGGGGCCTGTGTGGGATAGGCAGGGTACGATGGGTTGTTCGCCTGGTCACGACTACCATACGCCGCGCCATAATAAGGATAATCCGACATTGTCGGCAAGTACAAAGCAGTAGCTTTACTGACGGGATTGAAAACTTCAACTGTGTTTAGTTTTGATACTGCAAAATTACCTCAGGGACGCGTTCAATTTAACGGTCGAGTATCATTGTGCAACTCAAGCAAATCAAGGGAAAAAGTAATTACAAAAGCAGAATTCGCAGAGAAAAAGGGTGTCGCAATGAGCCGGAAGAATTGATTGTCAAAATCTAACAATAGGAGATATGATACTATCAATTCTTTGACTTGTTGCTCTCTTGATGAATCGAGGGTGAAGAAGATCTGGGATCCTGTTTGAAATTATGGTGGTGGTAAGTGATAATGGTCAAAAGAAACTTTGTACAGTCGCACCAAACCTTGACGTGAGCAAACACCAGTAGAATAACAAGTAAGAGTATTCAAAGCTTCTTAGCGCCGGAGATTGCCGGATGGACGCACTAACCTACTTGTACCTTTGTACCACCCCACAGAAGCTGTATATGGTATCAACGGTGTAGTCTCGTGATCATTTGCCGCTCTAACTAGTTTATAGTGCTTCTTATCGATATCCTATCAATGGTATAGCGGCAAGCTTATCGGCGTTGCCAGGGGAAACTCTTCCGCGCAATGAAAGCCAATTGACTTGTGTTGACAATATTCAGTACTAGGTGGTGCTACCGCTGGTTTTCGCGTCTTCAATATTGACAAAAGTCTTTCACACCTTCAAGTCAAGACAAAAAAGGGGGCGAAAGGAGAAGAATGAACCACTCGACTTGTTACTCATTCCAGTTTCGAATGTGATAACTGAAGAAGTAGCATCGACATTTCTAATATATTTTTCTCTTTGCGTCAACTTTGAGTTCATCGCATATTTTCCCATGGATGAACTTTGTTTACTTTCATAAGGAGCATAACCTTGCTTTAATCATTTGAAATCCAACGACTTCACGATGACATCCAATCTTCAAACGAAGCGCAATAATCCCTTCGCCAGGTCAGGAACTATATCCCCAGAGCCAGGTGTTCCCAAAGGCAGGCCAAGAAGTGCAATTTTTGCATCTGCTCCCTCCTCGTCACCCGCACAAAATCCGCCAACACACAATCGACACCAATCTTATTCTTCACTGGGAAACATCGTAGGACCTCCTAGCAACAACAATAATAATAATAATGTTTCCTTAAGATTTCGATCCAACTCGAAAACGATCGCCCCCTCCTCGAACACATTTGCGCCTTCATTTATCAAATCAGAAGAGATGCGACTCGGTGCAGAAACCATGGAGGGAGAAAGTGATTTTTCCGGGAAGCGATATGTTTGGTTAAAAGATCCCCAAACTGCATTCGTCAAAGGTTGGGTAGTGGAGGAAATGGAAAATAATCATATCTTGGTCCAATGTGATGATGGCAGCGTAAGTTCTCCTTTTTCTCCCCTTTAACTTTCATGACTGACTGGATGTCTAGCAAAGGGAGGTTGATGCCGAGACTGTTGACAAAGTGAACCCTCCGAAATTCGACAAAGCAAATGATATGGCAGAGCTTACACATCTGAATGAAGCATCAGTCGTCCATAATCTTCACATGAGATACCAAGCTGATCTTATCTATACCTACTCAGGCCTGTTTCTGGTCACCATCAATCCATATTGCCCGTTACCTATTTACACAAATGAATACATTAATATGTACAAGGGACAGAGTCGGGAAGAGACAAAACCACATATATTCGCAATGGCCGATGAGGCATTTAGGAATTTGGTTGAAGAAGGAGAAAACCAGAGTATTCTTGTGACTGGAGAGTCTGGGGCCGGAAAGACAGAGAACACCAAAAAGGTCATCCAATATCTTGCTGCGGTTGCGAACTCGGAATCACCAGTTAAGAACAAGGTGCAACATTCAATCCTTTCGCAGCAGATTCTTCGAGCCAATCCAATCCTGGAAGCGTTCGGAAATGCGCAAACAGTCAGAAACCATAATTCATCTCGTTTTGGAAAATTCATCAGAATCGAGTTTACGCGCAATGGCAGTATCGCCGGTGCTTTCATAGATTGGTATCTTTTTGAAAAATCAAGGGTCGTAAGGTTGAACGCTCATGAGCGGAATTACCACGTTTTTTATCAGCTCCTGAAGGGAGCCGACCTCGCGTTAAAACACGAATTCCTCATTGAAGGTTTAGACGTGGAGGATTTCGCTTACACAAGGGATGGTCACGACACCATCGTTGGTGTCTCTGACAGGGATGAGTGGAACTCCCTAGTGGAGGCATTCAACGTTATGGGCTTTTCCGAAGAAGACCAAGTATCTATATTACGAACGGTCGCTGCAGTTCTCCATCTGGGCAATATAACTGTCGTCAAGGAGAGTAGGTCGGCAGATCAAGCTCGATTGGCTCCAGAGGCACGTGCACAGGCAGACAAGGTTTGCAAATTACTCGGCATCCCACTCGAGCCATTCTTGAAAGGTTTATTACATCCTCGTGTGAAAGCTGGAAGGGAATGGGTTGAAAAAGTTCAAACTCCAGAACAAGTCCTACTTACAATAGATTCGTTGGCAAAGGGAATCTATGAAAGAGGTTTTGGTGATCTGGTGACCCGAATCAATCGCCAACTAGATAGGACTGGCATGGGTCTCGATGACTCTCACTTCATTGGAGTGTTGGATATTGCTGGATTTGAGATATTTGAAGTAAACAGTTTTGAGCAGCTGTGCATCAACTACACCAACGAGAAACTTCAGCAATTTTTTAACCACCACATGTTTGTCCTTGAACAAGAAGAGTACGCCCGTGAGAAAATCGAATGGAAATTCATCGATTTTGGTCACGATCTCCAGCCTACAATTGACCTGATTGAGTTGCCTAATCCCATTGGTATCTTCTCATGTCTTGATGAAGATTGTGTCATGCCCAAAGCCACTGATAAATCATTCACGGAAAAACTTCATTCTCTCTGGGACCGCAAAAACCCAAAATACCGAGCTTCTCGACTTGGGCAAGGATTCATGCTTACTCACTATGCCGCTGAAGTTGAATATTCGACCGAAGGATGGCTGGAGAAGAACAAAGATCCTATGAATGACAACATTACTAGATTGTTGGCTGCATCCAGCGATACACACGTCGCGAATCTTTTCAGTGATTGCTCGGAGGCAGGCGATGACTCGGGTGCCATCCGAAGCAGGGTTAAGAAGGGACTTTTCCGTACAGTTGCTCAAAGACATAAAGAACATCTCTCCAGCTTGATGGCCCAGCTGCATTCAACGCATCCCCATTTTGTGAGATGTATCATACCCAATCACAAGAAAAAGCCAAAGCAACTCAGTGCGCCGCTTGTACTTGACCAGTTGCGTTGCAACGGTGTTTTGGAAGGTATCAGGATTGCACGCACTGGCTTTCCCAACAGACTTCATTTCTCAGAGTTCCGACAGAGATACGAAGTTTTATGCCGAAACATGCCGAAGGGATACGTCGATGGTCAGACAGCAGCTAGCATGATGCTAGATAAACTTCAATTGGACAAATCATTGTTCCGTGTCGGAATTACGAAAGTCTTCTTTCGTGCTGGTGTATTGGCAGAGCTTGAAGAACAACGTGATGCCTTGATCCGTGAGATTATGACCCGGTTCCAATCAATGGCTCGCGGTTTTACAAAGCGACGAATTGCCAACAAGCGGTTGTATAGAGCGGAGGCAACACGGATCATTCAAAGGAACTTTCAAGTTTACATCGATCTCTGTGAGAACCCTTGGTGGCGGCTTTTGCTTAAAATGAAGCCCTTGTTAGGTGCTTCCAGGACATCAGGAGAGGTCAAGAAGAGAGATGAGATGATCAAACAACTAAGCGAAAAAATGGACCATGAGGCTGCAGAACGCCAAAGACTAGACGAGGAACGACGAAACACCCACACTGAGATGTTAAAGATTCAACAGACCTTGGAAAGTGAACGCGCTCTAGCCTTAGACAAGGAAGAGATTTTTAAACGTCTCCAGCTCCGTGAGACAGAGTTAAGCGATAAATTAGCTGGTGCTATTGAAGACCAAGAGAAGCTTGAGGATCAGTTGGATGACTTGTTGGAAGCCAAAAAGCGAGCTGAACATCAATCTGATGAATACCGGTCTCAATTGGAGCAAGCAGGGTATATAATTGCTAAGCTGGAGAGCGAAAAGCGAGACCTTGCTGAACAGCTGGCCAATTTAGATGATCAACTGAGAGATCTTGCCAAGAAGCAGGCGGATCGAAGTGCACAGGAAGCGCAGCTAGCCCAGGATGTTCAACTACTCCAGAGTCAGTTAAGTATAAAAGACAGAAAGGTTATTGATCTTGAGGCCAAACTTGTCAGAATTGACCAAGAGTCGGAAGTCAAGCTAGCAACAGCAGCAAAGGACCTTCAGGCATCCAAGTTGAGGGAAAGTAACCTAACTAGTGAGAATCGCAAAGTACAGAAACAACTGTCTGACTTATCTGCAACATCGACGGGATATGAAGATCTCGTCCGACGCAAGGAAAGCGAGTTGGCCATCCTTCGCTCCGATAACCGTAAATATGAGGCCGAGAAGAAGAGTTTTGATGAACAGAAGCGATCACTGTCAATGGAGAAGGAAAATATTGGCAATAGGTTGAAAGAAGTTCAAGCTGAAATGTTCGCTATGAAGTCCCAGCAAGCCAATTTACAAAAGGAAGCGGCCGACGCGAAAAAGCTCCTCGATGCTAGATTAACAGAGGATGCTCATGCCGAGCAAAATCGTAGAAGGCTGGAGGAACAAATCTCGACTTTGAAACAGCAATTATCAGACGTACAAAAGGACCTCAGCAAGGAGCGACAATCTCGAGATGATGTCCAGCTCCTTGCTGAACATAAATTCCGAGAGCTTAGCGAGAAATTTCAAGAACTCAATGAGGCTAAGATCATTATTGAAAAGGAGTTATATGTCCAGCAAGACACTCTTAGAAGAGCAATGGAGAATAGAGTTTCGGCTGAAAAGGAACGCAACGAGGCCCGGAACGAAATCAGAAAACTTAGAGAGGCCAAAATTGCAGCGGAAGAGGCTAGGATACAAGCTGAAGTAGTAGGGGACCGCAATGCATCACGTCTAGCCCGGGAGCGTGAAGCTAGCTTGAAGAAAGATCTAGAAGCAGAACAAAATCGTGCAAAGTATTTCGAGACAGAGTGCAGTCGTCTAAATCAGCAAGTCGAGGATCTCAACAAGGTCATGATAGAATCTGGGGATTTTGGGCTCAAGGTTGACCAGGAAAAAGAACGGCTTGAGCGTGAACTCAACACAGTTCGAAGTCGACTAAGTGCCTCCGAAAATGACAATCGTGCTCTACTCAACAAGCTTCAACAAAAAGGTCTGGAGATTGCGCGCACTAGCTCTAGAGCAAGTGAATCATCGAGAGGCCAGCTAATAGCAGCCCAGCGCGAAAAGGCTAAGGTTGATGAGCAGAACCAGAAGCTCAATAAACAGCTGGGTGATGCACAGATTCAACTTACATCCCTTCAAAAACAAAAGGAGAAGCTGGAGCTCAATCTTGAGGACCTGACGCGCGAAGTTGAACGTGAGCACATGAGTAGCAGAAACGCCGAGAAGACTTCTTCTACTGTGACCACCCAGTTGGCAGAGGCAAACCGCAAATTGGAGGACGAACGACAACTTCACTCACAGGCCCAGGCCAAGAACCGACAACTTCAGTCCTTGATTGATAGTCGAGACAAAGACATCATTGAATTAATGAAGATTGTGGATCCGGAGATGCCTGCACCGCCTGTAGCACAATTTGATGGTAGTGTCGATAAGAGCACCTCTGGCAATCCAAATCTCATCTTGCAACTCACCCAGAAACTTGAAGAGCTTCAGCAAAATCTCAGAGTTCAAGCCGCCGGTCGATCGAATGCTGAAGCACAAGTCCTTGAATTACGAAAACGATATGAAGATGAGTTTGGGGATTCTTTAGAGTGGCAAACACCGGGTAGGCCTAAGCTTGAAGAAATTAACACTAATGAGGGAGCCCGAAATACATCTCCGACGCATATCAAAAACAAGCTCAATGGCAGACCTCAATCGAATGGAACTACGCCTAATCGGCGCTTCCCAAGTTCAGGGGATCAGGCCCAAGACTCCGAACGTTCAGACCGTACAGCTGATATTTTAAGTTTTAATAATCGCATGGATCTGAAAGCTGATGTGGAAGAACTGCAAAACAAGTTGCAGCTAGCGCAAATGGAGAATCGTCATCTTCAGAGTCAACTTGAGCGTTCTACTCCTGGACGAGATATATTCGAGGATAGCCCGTCAGTACGCCGTGTGCACAAGCTTGAGCAAGCCAACACCAGACTCCATGAAATGCTTGATGATTCTGCGAAGAAAGTGTCCGCTCTTGAAAAGAGCATTCAAACTGGAGAGCTATCTTTCCGGGACATCCAAGCCAAATCTCACGAAGAGTTATTCGAGCTTATCAACAACCAAGAAGAAAACCGACGAATTTTGATGTACGCTCACAAAGATGCATTAGTCGATCTTAATGATACAAAGAAGAATTATGAGATTCTGAAACATACTCGGGCAGTTTTGGAGGTCGATCTCCGAGATGCTAAATCTGATCTTGAGGACATGACTTTGCAGAGAGATCAGGATGCCGCCAGCCGAAAACAACTCTTGCAAGAATTTGCCGATCTTCAAATCCGTTTGGATGCCGAATCTTCGAAATTGGCCGATGTTAGTTCCAGCCTTAGTCTCTACAAGAGCAGGTCGGACGAGTACTTCAGTAAACTTGAACAAGCTGAAATTGCTGTGTTGAAAGCGTCTAGAGCCGAACAATTCGCAAGATCTCAAGCAAAAGAAGCAGAAGAAACTTGTGCCGAGATCATGTCAGAGAGACAGCATATGGATGAAATCATCGAGGATCTCCAGAAACAGAATCAACGTTACGAAGAGAAACTTGAGGATCTTTCATCTGACTTAGATGCCGCTGTTCAAGCAAGAAAGCGATTGCAACATGAGCTTGAGGATTACCGAAGCCAACGGGCCATGGAGATTGAAGACAAAGAATCCAGTATGGAGCAGACCAGAAAGAAATATCAAGCTGAGTTTGCCACTCTCACGAATGAATTGGATATTGCTCGTGAGGAAAAGCTGTTCAAACAAAGTGAAAATACAAGACTTCGAGAAGAATTAGATCAGCTGCGATCGAAATGGGACGATGAAGTTTTGAACAGTTCAACATGGTCCAAGGAAAAGGCTCGCCTTGAAGCCACTCTTTCAGATCTCAATGTATCACGGGATGAAGCCGTCAACGCCCACAACGAGGCTCAAGGCAAGATTGTGTCGCTACTGGCACAAGTCCGAAGTCTCAGGACAGACGTAGATGATGCAGCCGCCGAGCGAGATATTCTACAACGCGAGAAGCGTGGCTTACAAGCTCGCCTCGAAGAAGCTAAAGCAGGCCTTGATGACCTTGCTCGGAGCGACAGCCCCGCGCTACGGAACGCCGCCGGTATGGATCGCGAGATTCTGGAGCTCAAATCTAACCTAGCCCAGCAAGAAGATATCGCAGCTGCTGCCATTGGTAAGATGAGACGATCCGAAGCTCTTGCGTCTGAAATACAGAAAGACATTGTCGCCGAAAGAGAGACGACCGCACAGTTGAATAAGGAGAAGGCTGCGTTAGAAAAGTCACTCAAGGAGACTCAAGTCAGACTCCTGGATTTGGAGACTAAAGGCTATTCAAGTGCTAGCCAAGACGTGAGATTCCTCCACGGGCGTGTTCAAGAGGTGAGAATTTCCCTCCCATAAATTACCATTAGTCTAACGTTTAAATAGCTCGAAGCCCAGCTCGACGCACAAGAATCCGAACGCAACAAGTCACAACGTTCTGAACGAAACGTCGATCGCACAGTCAAAGATCTTCAGCAACAGATCGAGCGCAAAGAAAAGGCCAACGCGCAACTCCAAGAAGATATCATGCGCTCCAGGGATAAGGTCGAGAAACTCCTCAAGACTATTGATGAGCTTCAATCAAGCGACTCAAACAACCAGCTTTCAGCTCGTAGAGCCGAACGTGAGTTAAGGGAAGAGAGAGAAAAGGCTTTGAGACTAGAGCGGGAATTGGAGGGCTGGAAGGCATTAAGAATGCAAAAAGGCCCTGGTGGTAGAATCAGTGCGAGTGGCACGTGGAGACCGGGTAGTGAATTCGGTTCCGACGACGCGGGTATTGAAATTCCAAAGAGGAAGAGCAGTTTGAGCAGGCAGGATAGTATGAGTAAAGGATTTTTGTAATTGCTTTCGAGAATACACGGGTAATAATGAAGGGTTTCTTGTACAGAAACGCATGGATATTGATTGACAGGCGTTTGTGGATGATGGGTAAAGTAGGAGCCGGAGCAGGTTGAGAAAGAAAGGAATCACGTATCTGTGTATGAATTGTATGTTTTTCATGTTAGGAGTGTATAGATAATATCACTTAATCTTGGGATGAGCAAGTGGAAATTTGTTGGTGAGGTTGATGATGATGATGATAGATGGTGGATATACATATAATAGATAATAAGGGTTGCAATGGTTCGGTTAATATTTATATATTTATGCATGCGTGTGCGTGTGCGTGTGCGTGTGCGTGTTTGAATGGAGATTGATGTTTTCCTGAGAATTGTAAAGTGAATACTTTTTGATTTTTGGGAATGTAGTTTTGATTTTGATTTTGATTTTGTGTTACGAGGTTTGCCGTCTAGATCACGTGGAAGTGCTCTAGGCTCTCGAGGTAGTTTATAACTAGGCGTCAAGCAGGGACTTAAAGTAATGACAATAATGCAATTCGTAACTAATAGTAGAGTATACTAAATGATTGATCTTGAGCACGAAGCTCTATACAAAGGAAATCCATCTTGATTATATAGACCATCGTGGCATGCGTCCCAGTGCTCCCCAGTTGTCCCAGTTGTACTGGGACAGCTGAGCCTACTGGGATCCTCATATCACATGATGCTAATCACGTGATGTTAGGTATGTGAGATCCGTCGTAACATTTGTAATCCTTAGAATCTTAAAAAAAGTCTTCAAACCCAATACCTTCTTTTTAAAAGAAATACAAAAGATCAATTCAGACTTTGTATTATATACTAATTTGTTTATCAATCTTACAATTCTCGAAAAACAAAAAGCTATTATTGTTACGACGGCTTCGGATCTCGTATCATGTGACCAATTATGTAATCACATGGTCCCTTAGATCCCCTCGGTCTCTTGATCGAAGGGACCGAGGGGACCAAGGGGACGATTAGCATGAAGGTCTATATAATCAAGATGGATTTCCTTTGTATAGAGCTTCGTGCTCAAGATCAATCATTTAGTATACTCTACTATTAGTTACGAATTGCATTATTGTCATTACTTTAAGTCCCTGCTTGACGCCTAGTTATAAACCACCTCGAGAGCCTAGAGCACTTCCACGTGATCTAGACGGCAAACCTCGTAACAACAAATGATCTTATTTTATAGATTGAATAGATTTGATTAACGTGGTTTATCAGTGGGTCGGACATATCAGTGGGTCGGACACTTTTTCAATATCCTTTACTCTCTCACTTCAATACGCGTTTATTCAATAGTTATTAATGGAAATTCATTCAAAAGAAGCACGAATAGTCCTGGCCATTGAGGCTATCGAATTGAACAAAAGATTGACGATTCGAAAGGCTGCTAATTACTATAGTGTGCCTCGATCTATATTATTCGACAGAATTCAAGGTTGTAGTAATATAGCTGAAAGTCGACCAAAAAGTCATAATTTGACTGAATTAGAAGAGGAGGTGCTTATTCAATATATTATTGATATGGATGATAGAGGATTTGCCCCTAAATTAAATAGTGTGGAAGATATGGCGAATTATATGCTCGAAACACGGGGTGCGAAGAAGGTTGGAAAGCTCTGGGCTCATCGCTTTGTAAAACGACGTTCAGAATTAAAGACGCGTTTTAATCGTGTCTATGACTTTCAAAGAGCTCTTTGCGAAGATCCAGAGCTTATTGAAGAATGGTTTCGATTGGTATCGAATATGCGGGCGAAATATGGGATTCAGGATTTCGATTTCTACAACTTCGACGAAACAGGCTTTATGATGGGTATAATATGCCCCGGAATGGTTGTAACTAGTGCTGAATGAAGTGGCAGAAGCAAGGCAATACAACCAGGCAATCGAGAGTGGGCTACAGCGATTATATGTGGTAATGGAGAGGGTGAAACTATACCACCATTTTTAGTGGTGCAAGGACAATATCACCTTTCTAATTGGTATACAGAGAGTGATTTTCCTACAGATTGGGCTATTAAACCTACTTCTAATGGATGGACGAATAATGAGACAGGTTTAGAATGGTTAAAGCATTTCGATAAGCATACTAGTCAACGGAGAAAGGGCAAATATCGAATGCTAGTATTGGATGGGCATGAAAGTCACGAATCGATACCTTTCCAGTCATATTGCAAGTCAAACGATATTATATGCATAAAGTTACCATCGCATTCAAGTCACTTAACTCAACCACTTGATATTGGATGTTTTAGCGTACTCAAACGTTCATATAGTTGTCAAATTGAAGGATTTATCAAGGCTCATATCAATCATATTTCTAAGGTTGAATTCTTTATCGCTTTCAAAGCTGCATATCAACAATCGATTACTATTCAGAATATAAAAGCTGGTTTTCGAGGAGCAGGTCTAATACCATTTGATCCTCAATCTATACTCTCAAAACTAGATGTTAGGATTCGTACTTCTACCCCTCCATCTACCTCCTTGGAACTTACCAATTTCTGGATCTCTCAAACCCCTCACAATCCAACTGAGGCTCTTTTACAATCAACTCTAGTAAAAGCTCGAATAGCTCGTCATCAATCAAGCTCTCCTACACCTATATTTGAGACTGTGCAAGCTTTAGCTAAAGGTACAGAGAGATTGGCATATGAAGTTACACTTTTGAGTGCTGAGAATCGTATGCTTCGAAGAGCAAATGAAGCATTAAGTAAACGTCGACGCGCTAAAAAAATTCAACTACGTAATGGAGGAGTACTTACTGGACAAGAAGCTGAAGATATATTATCACAACAAGAGGTTGATAATCAGATTCAACGCGACGAGCGTCAAAATGGGGGAAATTCTAATAGGGAATCATCTACTAGTCGATGCTGTAGTAAGTGTGGAAAGACTGGTCATAATTCAAGAACCTGTCAAAATAATACAATAGATGCTAGTTTATTAGATTCTTAATAGTTTCAATCGATTCATCCAATTGTTATTGAATAATATAGTTTTAAAGTGATAAATCGAGGAAAAAGTGTCCGACCCACTGATATGTCCGACCCACTGATAAACCACGTTAATATATATAAATAAATGATTATTAATAAATGTTTTATTTGTAAAAAAGATATTTTGAATGAATATTTTTTTGGTATATATAGGTTTGGATTTTGTGGGTATAGGGGGTGTATTTGTATATATGGTGATTGAAGGGGAATGTAACGATACTGTACTAAAGGCAGCGGCTGCCTAAGGTTCGTCGGTTGGTATTTATGGGTTAAGGCTTTATCACTGGTATTCACTTGGAAGTGAAGTCGTTACTAGATCAAGTAGAATGTAGGTAAACTAATTGATAACTAAGTTGAGCACGAAGCTCCTCGGGCTCCTTATCACGTGATTTCTGATGGTGCGTGCGCATACGATCTTCAGGTGACCAAGATCACATACTAATTCGATGAAATCTGATCGTGTTTGCACAAGGCCTAAGCTCTCCTAATTAATCAGTTTGCTACCATCGTAACACCATCAATCCTAATGGTGAATCGTGACAGGGAAGAGGAAGAAGAAAAAGTAATAAAAGGAATGATAGCTTTTTTGAGGGGATGATGATTTGTAATAAAGGTATCGAAATGTTGTTTTGTAATTGTTTTAAATTCAAGATAAAAAGTGGTGAAGAGTTTTCGTGATCTTGCTGGGAAAGCAAGGACTTCCTCTGAGCTTAGGTAGGTGTTTAGGAGCTGGGTAACTGGATTGTAGATGGTTTGGGCATCGGTAACTTTGTTGAGAAGGTTGCTTGCCTTATCGGAGAGGGTTTTAGAGAGACTTGGGGGGCTTGAGGTAGCCATGGTATTAGTTTTGGATTGTTTGTTCGTCCTGGACCTAAGAATATGTTGGACCTTTATTTTTCGTGCATATTATGTAGGTTCTGTCACGTGATTGAATCACGTGGTAATGGGCTTGTGGAGTCCGACGTAACAGTAATCTGTAAAATATCCTAGTGAGAAACTTTATACAGATATCTCAAAAATTCCCATATATGTGTCCTGTATGCCATCCTATGCAAGGGAAAATGTATGAAAACGCCTTCGCTAGATCAACTATCGTAAGAACTGGTTGTATATTGATCTAACCTTGTTAGAAAGAATCCTGTGTTCTAACGCCAGTACTCGAATCTATATCCCATTTTATGAAGTCTAGTGTTCCTCCCAAGGAGCAACCAATTTTACCCTTTTCTTTGATGGTGCAGATGACCTAAATTTTAGGTCAGTAATTTAGATATAAAAACAGTTATGATGTCAAAGAAACATAGCTGCCATAAAAATTTGCAATCACATAGCTGGTGAAAGTTTGAGTAATGCTTACAGTGATTTTTCTTTTGCCAATGCTTCATCTTTCATTCTCTGCTCAGCAGCAGCTAATGCCAAAGGTCTCAGTTCATCTCTCATTTGTTTCTGCCTCGCGTATTTGGCTTTACTTAGACGTTCGTTGACGGGCCCACCATGTACCAGTCGTGTGAGGTTGGTTTCGCGTGCTGAGATCTGGTTTCGACTGAGTTTGAATGAGTCGGGGTGGTTAGGACAATTTCTACCATGGGCCGTCCGGCCAAGTCTAATGATATTCTCCCAGTTGACACCGCAAAGATAGCACCAGGATTTTCCGCAGCGACCTAGGAAATAGTCGTCAATATTGAACTTGTAAGAAGAGATACATTTATACACACATTGCATATGATCACAACCTTCGCTTCTAACAACACACTCTTGGCATTTGGGGCAAATTCTCGAATCTTTCGCCAAAAGCTTTGCTGTAGCCTCTTCTTGCTCCAAACGCTCAATTTGTGAGTCATCAATATCGAATTCATCACAAGATTGTCCTTCATGCCACGGTAACTTGTGTTTGACGCAGGTCTTGAATCTACAATGATTACAAATCATTAATGGCTCTGGTCCTTCGTGAATTTGACCTCCGCCGCAATTGGGAGCTAAGCACATAGTGAATGTATCCGGTCTCGAAGCTTTCTCTCTCAAGTATGAATAACTATTCAAAAATTAGCAATGAATGTAAAGAACTAAAGGAAGCCACTAACCGTTCAAGTACATCTATAGATGCTTTTTGCGAAATATCTCTAAAAGTGAGGACAGCGGGACAGAGAGGACACTTGATGCCATTTAAAAATCCATACTCTACAGCTGTAGAGATGGATGCGTTGAGACATGCCTTACATGTACGGTCCTCATTTGGATGTTCGCAGGTATCCGTGATAGAATACCAGGTCTCCGATTTTAGAACTGTCTCTGCACAAATGGCACATTCCACCTCCCGGAAAGGTGGATGCTCGACTCGTTTAGCTGCATTTTTACGAGCATAATATCCAGTATTCGCATCGTGATCATTGCCCGATTCTACTGTAACCTTGAAAGTCTTTTTAGCCTCAACAATCTTTCCGCCTCTAGCAGATCCTGCAGCCTCGACAGTCTCCATTTCAGTATCCCTATCGTTCTTGTCTCCATCACTCTCCTTCTTACTGCTCTCCTCGTCGCTTTCCTTACTCAGGTAATAGCCTTCTGTTGTTTCAGGCTCAGGAGTCGATTCAGGTTTCGTGTCGAAGATGTGATTTGCGCGTTCAGGGTTTTCGGGGTGGGAAGGCATCAAGTCGAAGTGGTCATATTGTATATTATCAGAGGCCAAATCTTCTATTTGAAATTCATGACCGGAGGTCGTCGCGGAATTTAAGGGCTCAAAACTTGAGGATTCATCAGAATCTTCCTCATCTTTTTCCTCCTCATCATTTGCATCTTCTTCTTCCACTTTACTCTCCTCACCCCCTTGCTCCAGTTCTTTCTCGGACTCTTCCTCATCTGCGATCACGGGATTTACAGGTCGTCGTGGTGGAAGGCCACCACCATTTGCCAACCAGTTCTTTATTTTTTCGCAATCGTCTTCAAGAAGGTTCTTCTCCAAAGACTGTAATCGAAGAAACAAAGCAAGTCGATCACCTTGGTTTTCCGGTAATTCTCCATAATGCTTCAAAATATGGCGAATGTTTCGTGTGTCATGTTGCTTAAAGTCCAGACCAAAGACGTCGCTGGACTTATAATCGAAAGTCATTGTGACGGATCTTCTGTTTTAAAAGAATAATCAATAATTTTGTTCTGCTTGGTTGATTTTGAATATATTGATCTGGTTGATCTGGATAGAGATAATGAATAGAAAGGTTGTAATGACATTGGGAAGGAAATATTTGAATGTTGCAAGGTTATGTGTACGGGTGGTGGAGGTGGAGGTTGCCTAAAAGGCCTAGTGCTGCAGATCGGGGAATTTCAGATGCGGAGATAGGTAGATTACATAACCTTAAGACTACAACAAGTAGGTAGGTAGTGAGTCATGTAAGTCACATATTTTCTGTATAAGATTTCGTTTTATGTCACTATCTATCCAATGTCTATTAGTCACATGCAAAGTAAACACCCGCACACAAACCGATACTAATAATGGATCTTTTGTTTGCTGCCAAGCCAGCTTGTATGACTTACACCTGCTTTCTCTTCCAATTTCAATATTCCCCTGCACTTCTATTTTCTTCCAGCCTTTTCGCAACACTACAGAAGAAAGTTGGAGACATTAAATTCATCTCTTTCGCCTTCAAGAATTTCCATTCACCAATCGCAATTAATAGCCTATCGAGGTGTTGGAAGATCTCGACATGTTCCAGAAACTTGTACTGCCGAAAATCAATTGGATACTTCAGACTGGTAAAATGGATCTCGAATTTAATGCTAAAGAATTGATGGGGTATTCCGACTACGCCTTGTCGTTGTATGGCCAAGTCTCGAATGATAGTGAAGAATCATTGGTGTTTTGCTCTACATCGGCAGCTAGAATAATACTCCAAGACCACTGTATTGCGATGAGGAAAGCATTTCTTGTTTTCACCACAGCAAACTTGCATGGCTCATCCGCTATATATCTTTTGCACCGGCAATGATGATGACATCTTCTGTAGCTTGAGAGCTCATCGATGCCGAAGTATGAACTTGGAAGCTACTAAATTGCTCGCAGCCTATCGAACAGCTAAGACAAGCAGATTTCACTTCCTTCTCCGCAGTCTCTCATTTCTTTTGCTTGTTGTATGGTGAGCAAAACTTCAGATAATCTACCACTCGAAACGGGGCCCTTAATCTCCTGCCATTGATACCATTCGTTTTGCTTGGTGTACCTTTACATTCAATTTGTTTCAAGAACTTCTATTGCAAAACCTTGCAAAATGGGAATTTATCTAGGTACTAGTGAGATCTTCAAAGTTTCCTCCATATTATTAATTCCCTTGATAACTCATTAATGGACAGTCTGCGGCAATGAGGAAATTCTCAAGAAAATAGTTCGCCATGAGAACTCAACTGGATTTCAGTAACGTATGCTAGCTAGAGGTGAGGTAAATTATGAATGAGGCTCGAAGAAGAGATTCAGACTAGGTCTTTATGAGTCTTAATGTGTTCATCATCGCAAATGGCAAATACTTTTTCCCATTTCTTGTAACGATGATAGGTCCCTTCCCAAATGAATGGATCTCTCTTCCTCCCTTGCGCTCATTTGGCAACCAGTAATGGTAGGTTTGAGGCCGAAAGACAAATCCAGTGACATCAACTGGGCCAATTATTCTATCATCGGTAAGTCTCAGACAATGCTGGCCATGGCTTTGGAAAACGCTGCCCAAATCTCAAAATGAATAAGAGCTGTTGGGCTTCAAATAGCGACCCGCCTTGTTTATTGGTTGACGAAATCCTCGCTAATACTCTTGGGTAGTCATGTAGGTATGAATTCAAGGTTGAATTCAGTTTAAAGTCTACGTTCTGAATCAAATCTTTCAGCCCTTCGGCATTGAGCATATCACCAGCCAAAGGCGTCCAATCACGGATCATCGTTTTATGATTTTTGCTTACCCCAAACTGTGGTAGTTAAAACCAACAGTACGAATCCCTGAGCCACTCAACAGGCATTGGTGCTTTCGAAGCCAAGAGCAGCCTCTAAGATGGATGAAAGAAAGAATTCGAAAATGTGTTTGAAAAAATGCAAGGTATCCCCAAATCAAACCCATTAATTTTCCGAATTGAGAGACATGGTCATTATTTCAGTGAGGATGCCAAGCCTTATATTCCTTCACTGAGATAGTCCTGGTACAAAGGAGAAAATAAAATGGGGAATGATAAAGAGAGTTGGTACATGTTGGAAACTTTAATTATTCCTAACTTCAACTTTCCATCACACCCGGAAAAGCACTCTATATAAAAATGCATTTCGTTCACGACCTCACCGAGTCTCTAACGCCCGGTTCTGCTGTAATCAGCATTGGCGACAAAAGATATGAAGAGAGCATCAAACGATGGGCAGTGACCGCTGAAAAGCGAGCTGTACGTCTACCATACCATACCTAACCACAATATAAATTCTTCAATTAACCAAACTGCACCACAGGGTCTCGTAGTTTTTCCTTCAACATCATCAGAAGTATCGAAGACAATTCTTTGTGCCACCAAGTTTGGGTTTGAGTTAGCCATCGCAGGCGGTTCTCATTCCACTAGTGGATCATCATCAACTGATGGAGGGATTTCTATGAATCTGTCCCGAATGAGAGGCGTCACAGTCGATCCCAGAAGCCATGACAGTCACCGTACAAGGAGGGGCTTTATTGGAAGATGTTGACAAAGCAGCTGCAGGGCATGGACTGGCTACTGTAGGTGGAACTGTCAATCTGACGGGAATGGGGGGCTTGACTTTAGGAGGGGGGTATGGGTACTTGAGCGGCGCATATGGAACGGTGGTCGACAACCTCCTTTCCGTTCAAATGGTTCTTGCCAGTGGGGAGATTATTACGGTGTCTGAAAGACAGTACCCTGAGCTGTTCTGGGCTGTCCGTAGGGCCGGAGCAGCATCCGGGGTAGTAACAGAGTTTGTTTTCCGCGCACACAAGCAAGAAAATTTAGTATGGGCTAGCATGCTCGCGTTCCCTCCCGATAAATTAAGCTCAATTCTCGAATGCGCAAATCATGTCATCGATGTATCCAAAGGAGAAGCCACAACAATGGTAGGATTTGCTACGCCCCAGCTAGATCTCCCATCATGCATCATGACAGTTGTTTTCTACAATGGCCCAGAACAATCTGCAAAGGCATTATTTGAACCAATTCTCAAACTCGATCCCTTACTAAACACTACCGCTATGATTCCCTACCCTGAGGTCAACACCTTCCACAATACAAATGTTCCCGACGGAGCAAGAAGAACGATGAAAGACTCTACATTCACCACACCCGTGGACATTCCATTCGTGGAAAGCATGTTCAACGATTACGTATCTTTCATTCAAAGCACACCGGATGCACAAAAAACTCTGATTCTCTATGAATTCATCAGTCCTCATAAAATCATGTCCGTACCACAAAATGCCACTTCATTCGCGAATCACGGACCCTATGGGAATGTAGTTTTCGTAACTGCATGGACAGATCCAGAACACGATACAGTATGTAGAGAGTGGACGAGAAATATGGCACGGAAAGCCAGAAATCAACTATTGAAAACTCGTGGTGCTGGGGAAGGAGTCGGCGAGTATGCTAATTATGAAGGTCGATTTCCCTCCCCGTATGTCTTAGCTTGCTATTTTTCCATTGTAGCTCCTAATCTAGCCTAATAATCTTTCTTTCGCCTTGCAGGTATGAATGAAACACCAGCGAAAACACTCTTTGGTGATAATTATGAGAGATTGGTAGAGTTGAAGCAGAGTTATGATCCTACGAATGTTTTTGGAAGATGTTTTGATTCGATGCCTGGGCATGGGGGAGATGTCCCTAAGAATTAATATTCCTTTGGTAAGGTAAGGTTGAGGTTATCTTGATGGCAGGTAAATATGTTATGGAGGTATTTATGAACTTGAATTGAAGTTGTTTATTGGTGGGGAATATGGGAAATGAGAACGTCAAATATCACTTTTGTATATTTCATTGCTCAGTTGCTAATTTTGTGAGGGCGCAATCCAATACATATAATTTTGCCATGGCCGGCTCGGGTATTTTGCTTACAGCCATCCCCGGATTTGCGCCGGGGTTTCGGGTATCTTCCCTACGCTAAAATATCCTAGCGGCCGAATGTGAGATTACATAAGCGCCATTCCGCAATATCATCCAGTTCTCAAAATTGACAATTCTGAACCTAGGAGAAAATCAACGCACCTCACCAACGAAGTACAAAAAAGAAGCTCTTTCTCTTTCAATCTCTCCCTTCCTCTACCTTTGGTACTGTCCAAAGCTCTTTTTGATCTAAAAGAATCCACAAAATAATTATGGCGTTTGAAGACGCGTATGTGGTTACGATGGTAGACAATTTTCGAATTCCGCGAAAAAGTATAGGAAATGTCTACGAGATGTGTTTGAGAGGGAGGGTCTTTTCACTTTGATATTTTTCTTCTTTTATGACATTAAGGGATAGATTTTTTCACTATCTTAATAGCTTTTTGAGAAGGAATTCGGTATATTGTGTTCGTTGTTACGTTTTTATGATGTGCAGAATTTGTTTCGCTCGCCTTGCAATCACTGCTCGAAACTGCGACAACTTTCCATCAACACAACAACATAATAATTTCCCTGGATTACCTAGCTTGGGCAAAAGGGCTATGCATGATGATTCTTTCCCAAGCATTTGCAATTTAGGTCGCAGTATTACATCCGTCCAAAGCAGAGTATGGTAAGGCTTGATTCGCACTGGCGTCATATTTTACCAAGTCCATTGCATACATCATCTTTGGCGTCGGCAATATCATGCCGAAGATATACGAGATACACTAGTCATGGGATAATTGGAAGAAGTTTGTTTCTGCTAGTAGAGGAAATCCAGATGTTTTTGCCGATACATTCGTGTAGAATTAACATCAGACGATTACATAGTGTCACGTGGAAATATTCTACAAATCCTGCTCACTAGGAAGTTTAAAGGCAAACTAGAGTACTAAGGCAGTCCAGACGTTCTAGACATTACAAATGGTATTGTATAAAACTAGAATTCTTCTATCTGATATGATTTCTCGAGGCAATGGATGTTTAGATTTACGTCAACACGGGTGACTAGATATTCTTCGGTTCCATCGTTAGTTCGCCAGTGCAGACTTTCGATGATGACATGGTTACTATTCTTTAGCATTATCTCTCCGCTTGTTAAACTTAACATTTCATTCAAGATCTTTAATTGCAGATATACTGTTTCTTTCCATACCTATAGAAAGACGATTTGAATTGACTTGTGGGTTGGTGATTTTGTGCACAAGGCTGTACCACAGTATGGGGAATACTGGCTTTAAACAATCACCAATGTATAGATGTGGATGATAATCCCATATTCTATACATTTAGCTGTAAGGCTTGTCCTTTTGCAACACACGGTTACCGGAAGCATGGTTTCGTCATGGGCCCACTTGAAAAAAATCCAGCTAATGCATGTTTAGTTGATTTACGTACTACGTTCCTGAAGATCTTGTGCCGCTGTCCGCATTTTGTCCTTTGGTCCATACTTATTTATGGATCATTTATGGATTGTCTAAGGAAACTTTGTTCAATTAAAAGTAGTTCATCCGTACTATGGAGTGCCAACCGTGTGGTGCGTCGTGCGGGGTATATTCGACGCTACGATGATGATTTTGCAGATCATGTCCAACTAAATAAAACTATTGCACTTTGTTGGAAACTCTTTTCCATGAGAATGACACTAGATATGCTGGGCATTGATCAGCACTTTAGCTCATAGAGAATACGGGAATTTCTAAGAAATCGATATTCGATCGTGTTTAATCGACTCATCTGGTGAGCAAATTTTTTGTAAACATGGTAGGCAAACAAGGTCAGGTCAAGCCAAGCCTGCGTCATAGAAATTTGGAAGATGGAAAAGAATCCAATGAGGAAGTATTTACGTGGCCCTTGTTCTCGATCTTTTCCTTCTCACAACATCTCTACCTTTACGATACAATAACTTACATTCGTTAATCATGAAGTACTCAGCACCAGTGTCCCTCGCTTTTGCAGTTAGCGCTTCAGCTGCCTCCATTCGCCGAGACAATTGCTCATTCACTCTCACCGCATCAGGAGGAGCGTCTGGTATTGTCGGTCAGTTGGACGATGGTCAACTTCGTATCCTCGGTGGCCACCCAACCGCAACCTTCACAATCAGCAACGGTGCAGCCACTGATTCGAAAGGCCGACCATGTTATCTAACATCCGAGGCTAACCAATACCAATGTGATACTGGTATGACCGCCACGAACGGTTTTGCTATCGGTGCAAACGGTACATACTCTCACTCTGGATCGTCCGTATTCTATGCATGCCCATCCTCTGATTCCGATTACAACATCTATACAACTCCTATTGCTAGCCAGACTAAGTGCGTCAAGGTTGAATTGACTGCTAGTGGATGCTTTGCCCGGGCTTCATCATCTTCAGCAGCACAAATAAGCACATCTACCCCATCATCTAAACCTTCCGTTACTACTGCTACCACAACTCAGCAGCAGACATATAAACCTTCCATTATTACTGCTACCACAACTCAACAGCAGACATGTGCCCCTTCAACTGTTACTGTCTCATCCCCAGCTCAGACTATCTATGTTACAACCTCTGCTGTGGCAACCGCACCTGGTCAGACTATCTACGAGACCAAGACTTTGAAAGAGACTACCCCCGCCCAGACTGTTGTTGTCACTCAGACTCCATCTGCTCAAACCATCTATGTTACTTCAAATGCCCCTGGACAAACTGTTCACGAGACTCGGACCCAGGAAAAGACTGCTCCAGCTCAAACTGTCTACATCACCCAGACACAAAAGCAGACTGTTGCTCCTTCAACGGTCACCGTCACTCAAGTCCAATCTGCAGCTCCTTCTACAGTTACCATCACCCAGGTACAGACTATAACTGCTGTCTCTACACTTAAGGCTAGCTCAGTCGTTTCTTCAATCCCATCCAAGGCCACTTCAACCACTCCATCCTCCACATCCTGCCCTACAAACCTAGATGGCACCTATTCATCCCCCAACCTAATCATCCCAGTATCATCCAAATCCCCAAGTACAGCCTACGGCACTTCCTACTTCGGAGTAGTAAACAGCACCATCTCCTCCCTCTTCAACTTCGACATACCCACATCATACGCATCAAAGAAATGTTCTCTAGTCTTCCTCTTCCCAACCCAAGACATGCTCGAAACCTCCTCTTACACCTTCTCCGGATCCGGAGCTATTAATTTCAAACAATTAAGCACTACTGTTACTCTTAACTCCACCTATAACTCTATTGGAAATACCGAAAGGGATTTCGGTAGCAAGATTTCAACACCGGGTTCTTGGACTGTGGTTGATACTTTTGATTGTCCGGCTGGAGAGGCTATTAGTTTTGAGATGAGTACCGGTGGAATTAATACTAATTTGTCGTGGTTTGAGGATTATAATCCTTCTCCCATTGGTCTTTTTATTACTACTTGTTAAATTTTGTTCATAGGGAAAATTTGGAAATTTCTTAAGGAGATGGATGAAATGAATGAGATATGAGATTCATTTTAATGTTTTGTTTTTATTTAAGTATGGTTAGGATTTGGTTGCTAGGATTGAATTATTTACGAATGGGATGATTGTATTTGGAGAGGGATTCTATCATCATCACGTTCATTATGACGTTGGATATATATTTTGTATATAAGACAGAAGATTAATAGGTACAATGATAATAACTAATTTATCAATACGCAATATAAATCTCACATAGTTTCTTGAAACTTTGAATGTTTGGCTAATGCACAAAGTGTGTGGTTGATTGAGCCAAAGTGTCAAAAGCAATCGAGTGATACTTCTACTGCTCAAAAAAATCTTTAAACTCTCACCATGAGTCTAAAATTCTGGTAACGCAAAAACAAACCAACTAGTACAACAACCAAAGTCGAGAACCATATCAAGCATAATACGCCTCGTAGTCAGGTGACTCCCAACCACCCCCATCAAGACCTCAAAACCCATCCCTCCTCAACAGCTTCCAAAAGCGGACTCTCAAGCACATGCACCAATTTGCCAACTCTCTCCCACCCAATCTTCTCCATCCACTTCTCACCCTGTCTCATTACCACCCCACACCCCACAATCTCACACCCAATCCTCTCCAACAAATCCCACGTCGTCTTTAGCGTCGTCCCTGAACTAACCGCATCATCAATTATCACGCATTTCTTCCCTATTAGTAGAGGTAAAAGATGCGGATCTAGATATGTATTTTTGAGACCCAGTTCCGGAGACGTGATAGAGGATACTGCAGCGGAAAGTGCGTCGTCGTACCAGAATTTGCGGGAATAACCGAGGGGTATATATCTTTCTGTTGTGTTGAACTCGTCAATTATTTTCTTTTCTTTTCTATTAGGTAATACATGTACGGAATTATCGCATCATGGAAATAATATGAAATTATATATTATAATATATAACAAAATAACATACTCAAACCTAATTTCCTCGCTACAATAGGCGCAAGTGTTAGTCCTAGTGTTGGAAGACCGATTATTACATCGGGATTAAATGGTGCTACTTTTTCGGAGAGGAATGAAGAGAGTTCGTCGACGACGTCGATAGATGCTTGGTTTATGAGGAGGGAGGCGACGGCTTGGTGGGGTTGAGAGGTTATGCGGCGGATGGGGAGGAGGAGGTATCGTGAGTCGGGGAGATGGGCGGAGTAGTTGTATTGATAGGGGGGTTCTTTGGGGATGTGGTTAGAGGGTAGGATTTCTTGCCAGTAGGAAGTTGTGGGCTCGGTGAAGTGGGTTGAGGTCATGATTTTTTGGTGGTGGAGGGTTGTGTATGGGTGCAGGCGGGGATTTGAGAGGGTTACGTTGGGGATTTGGGATATGTAGGAGGAATAGTGTGGGGTTGCTGAGTCATGCGGGGATTTTGTTTGTTTCTAGCTAGTCAAGCGACGACTTGTCATGATTATGAAAGTATAAAGTATAAGGGAAGAAATATCCAAAACCTACCGCTCAGAACCTCGTTGTTATCGAAAGATTGCTTCAAAAACACAAATGGGAACCACTTGGAGAAACTATACATCTTCTCTCAAGTTCCCTCTTTATCAACTCTCCATCCACATCAAACGTTCACAGTAGGTTACATGCAACACCAAAACCTCTAATTATCAAAACCGTGTGTGTATAGATATATAACTTCACATCTACCAAAATTGGCTTGCCGTTTCTATTTCTCTATTCTAGCATTACTTTGCAAGTAATAATCGCTAGAGCAATCAAATTCTGCTTATTTCTTGCCAATACACGAGGTTTGTTCTCCCTCTTACATGTGACATTATAATACAAGTGAGCAATTTATATCCTTTTTTTTATCTAGAATTTCGGTAAAACTTTCATGGTAAGGTTATAATGTTTTCAACATTTTATATAATTCTAGAAGGCTCAAGTGAGTCTCATGATTTTTCAACACTGCGTTACTAGTAATTTGGCTGTTTAGACTGAGGAAATTCAACATGAATCTTGGCCGTGATGGGTTTTCTGATACAGTATGTGGAAAATTGTATCGGGGTATATTTGCTCTACGTTGTATAAATACTGAGAAGTTAGATGAGCTGCGCGATATTTTGGTTAGTTTCTAGGAGCAATGATGATATAATCTTACAATATTGCGAGTAAAGTAATCAAGAGCAATATCATCGAGTAGTTACACTAAGTTGTCTTGATGCACTTGCGTGAAGTAGTGCAATAAAATCTCTTTTCGAGGTTTGGTCACAAAAAGTAAGATGTTAATTTCCTATTTTAATATGAGGGTTTAAAAATCATAGAAAGTTCATTGTTAACTTGAGCCTTCAGAGGACGCTTGTAAGTCATTTCTATATTAAAGGGCGGAATAAATATGGCACCAGCGATCAGCAAAGAACGGAAAAAACTATGAGATGAAGGATATAAAAACTGTGATTTCAATTAATCCATCTGAAAACAAAGATACGAGCACATCAAAAAAAATAAAAATAAAAAATAAAAAATCCTCAAGATTTTCAAAACTCAACAATATCTCCACTTCCCAAACTTACTCTTCTCCTATTTTTCCGCGTGCTGCACCATTATAACCTACCCAGATACTAGCACTCGCCAACCTAATTAAGGTTACCTCCAACTTTCACCTTTCTACCAAATTTCAAAATGATCCATCTAAGCACCCCTCTTCATTAAACGATCTCTACTGAACTCATAACCAAGGGCCAAATCCAAGAATTCCCGTTTGTGAGGATCTCGGCTATGACTTCTGTCAGGTACTGTAAATACTTTAAGATAATTACCTTTCAAATATTTTCAATATATATATCTATATAAAACAAATATGACCATAATGTCTATTATCCAATCATCTAGAAATACTACGGAGATGGTTTTGGCGTCGGAGCCGGAGAGAGCTGTTGTCAGTTTATGTGCCTAGTAGGTAATTATGGATGGAATTGTGTATTATATTTATATTTATACTTATCTTAGTATTATATCTATTAGCTATCATCTATCAGATATCAGAATAAAGGAAAGCTATTATATTATATGATATTATATTTATATAGATGCGAGGGGTGATACTTATTAGTAGAAAATACTATAAGATTTTATGTTTTCCGATAATATATGATTATGTGACTGCGAGTGTAAAGTATATAGTGCCACTATAATCATATTATTAATCACAGATAGGTTGGAATTATCTTATATATTATTTTAGATATATATTGATTTATAAATATTATTACTTCAGAGCTGCACAGTAAATTCGCATCCGCATTCATATTCCCATCCATTCTCACCCATCATCCCTAAGTTTGGATATTCCTGAAACTAGTCCTCATCCACGTCCTCCTCCTCCTCATACACAATCCACCCCTCTTTCACCATCTCTCCTTCAACACACCCACTCCTCTCTACCCCCCAAGAAAAAAAACCTCAAACCCTCTCCAAGAATCTCCCTCTCCCTCTCACCCTCCATCCCTATTTCCGAGCCAAACTTCACACCCATCATTCATAGCAAGCTTCAACAATTTTCCTTTATATTGTGAGAAAGTCGGGATTCAGAATCACATGCATAAGGTTTCCATATATATATAATCACATAATCCCTGATAATTAGATATAAAAGAAGGCCTCTACCCTTCCCTCTTCAAAAAACAATCAACTTTTTACATAACTCTTTTACTTTATATAACTCCAACCCCAAACCTATTATAAAACCAATTATTCTCTTAAATGATATATTAAAATGTAATCTAATCAACTTTCTCTTCCATTTTCCCCTCACAGCGTACTATCGGGATGCACGTATCTCGACCTACTCCTTTTACAATATATTCCCCAATCCAAACTCTCATGCCCATCCTCATTCTCATTACCATTCACACTCTCATACTCAGTCTCATTCACACTCTCATACCTATTCAAATTCTCATTCTCATTCCAATTCCAATTCCTACAACTCCTACTACCCCCGCTCACTGCAACAACATCATCTACACAAACTCCATCCAACCCATTATAAGATTACAATACCAAAAAACACATCGAATTTATCTACAGTAGTAATTAGAGTACTATAATACTTTAAGCGTGTTTTCAATATGTATAGGGAAATTAATAGATAATTAGATGCCTGCGTGTTTTACTTGAATATCTTTCTATTATTCATGTGTATATCCCTGGCTTCACGAATACCAGCGAGTTATAAATACTACTCTAGCATATATAATATCGAGTCCACCAGTCTACGTGTCTAAAGCAACCATTCACTGACTATCCGGCGGAAGCTCCTCCCTCCTCCTCTTCACACCCCTTTTCCCTCTCGACGCCGCCGCCACCCCCACAAAACACACCACCCAATCTCTCACCCTCTTCACCTTCCCCAACTGCACATCCATCTCTCTTCCCTCCAATTCCCTCTTCCCATAACAACCCCCCACATCACTCCTATCAATTTTCTCTCTATACAACAACCAAATCTTCGTCATATCCTTCCTCAAACTCTGACCATGAACCTTTCCCCTAAAACTACCTAGAGCTACATTCTTCACCAAGACAATATCCTGAACTCTTAAATTTGCTAGTATCTCCTTTACATCCTCTTTTCCCTTTCCCGATAACCAGAAATTAATCGAAAAGCCACTTTTTGTATCATCTCCCACTAGAATCTCGACGAGTGAGACTTCGCCTCCTTTTCTAGTGGCTATTGCTTTCGGTTCTGAGATGGAAATAATTCCCACGATGAGATTAATTGTCATGGTTTGCGGATGGATTGAAGATAGATATTGTGCATGAGGCAAATCTTTCAGATTTGTTACATGACCCGCCACGGGAATTTGAACATTCTCTCCCTCCGATTGTGGAAAGACTGATTGGGAATCGTATAGTGAGTTTGAAGTTGAGAATGATGTGCCAGCATCAGAATTAGAGGAGATGAAAGAATCATGAGGGGCGATTTGAGAAGAGGGAATATCGTGGATGGCGTAGGAATGTTCGTAGAAATGAGAGATGATTTCATCTACAGGTTCTTGGTCAAGATTTTCATTCTCATTATTAGTAGAGAGATGTGTATCGTAATTTAATGATTGAGATTGTGAGTAATTCTGTGACTGGGAGAGAAAAGTAGTAGTTGAAAAGAAATCTAAAGCATGAGCAGCGGTACCAGGATAGAAAGGATATTCATGAAAAGCATGATCTTGCGAAACTCCTGTAGTAAGATGTTTCCGATCGAGAGGAAGTTCGCGCCAGTCAGGTCCGAAGTTTGATGGTGTGGAAGATTCCAATACGCTGGTGTTATTCCGTGGTGCAGAGTTGGGATATGATCGAGGGAGATGGAGGAAATGAATGAAGGGTTCAGTAAAGTCAGATAGAAGTTTTGATTCGTCCCAATCAAGTGAGTTGCATGAAGGGGCTCCTGCGAAGAAGATGATCTTGGGTGGCATGATTAGATTAGATTATTAGATGATTGGGATTGTGGCCAATCATGTGAGATGATGTTGCAGTTTTGTTAGTTGGCATCAGTTAGGATCAATTGATAATTTGATTCGGGACCGAAGGAGTGAGTGCAAGGACTCTGAAAACACCGAAGTGCATAATGCGGACATACAATGCGGACATGAGAAAATGCCGACAGTGAATTATCTCTTATCTCCAAGATGGAATATGTAGCATGTCAGACAGTAATAATGATAAATGAACGTATTAATAAAACCTTTTCCCTTCATATATCAATTTCAATTTGCAATTGCTGACATTTAACATTCATGACCATTCGTACCTTGGTTTCTTCTTGCTCGTACTCCGCATGTCCTCCCGTTCTCTGTAAACAATCACAAGCCATCAGATAAACTCTAGAGCGGATCTGATAAAGAAATCCACTTTTCACTTGCATTTCCGTCTATTCACCGATTATTCACCGTGTTATGACGACTAGCTAGCAACCAATCACGATTCAGTATATGCAGTACGCAACCCCACAAAATGTCGAGCGATGGAAATAAAACCAGCAGGTCTGCCACCAGAATAACTGCCATTGCGCCAACCTCACGCATCAAGAGAAGTATGGCCTCTACTTTCAGATCATTTTTGGACACGGCAAAGCAAACTATCTCGGGTCAATCCACTCCAATTCCAGGAACTCCATCCGGAAATACTCCAATCGAGAATCTATTCCCAAAAGTTGACCCGGCTGTAGATGGAGACGATTGTGATCATGATTGCGAATCGTGTCATGTAAAATATCCAAAGGGGTTTAAGATAGATGAGGATGATAAGTTATATGGCCATGTTAAAGGGTGGAGTACACATATTCTGGTTGCGACAGGAAAGTCGGATTGGGTAAGGGATGTCGCCGATGAGAAGGGGAGTGTGATGCAAGCAATCGACCATGCTTCTGTTAAACCAAGCAATGGGGTTAGTGAGCCTTCTTCTATCGAAATCATACGCTATTGCGCTTTGGGACATACTGACGATCCACCATAGAAACTTATGCTATCAGCCTCGAATATACCCACTCCTTCGCATTCCGCAGATTACTCGCAGCCTACGACCGTTGTCCTATTGCCTGCATTTATCGTAATCGAGAACGTTACCCCACGATCGGTACCAACTCTGATAACAGAGTTCATCGACAAAGCTCCTACCAATACGACACCTCTGGGGCCTATTTCGATACCCAAGTCACTTCCCGACCCTCTTCCATCCGTAGGACAGCTTACATCTCGACCATCACCACATCGCGCGCTCATTCTTCTTTGCTCACAAAAAACTCGAGATGCAAGATGTGGACAAAGTGCGCCATTACTGAAGAAGGAATTCGAAAGGCATCTAAGGCCTCTTGGGCTCTTCCGAGATCTTGATGATGATCGACCAGGAGGGGTTGGCATCTACTTTATATCTCACGTCGGCGGACACAAATATAGTGCAAACGTCATGATCTACCGAAGATCCGACGCGTTTGGGTTGGATGCTGTTGAAAGGGCCAACGTCGATGGAGATGTTATGCCTTCGAGGCTTGTACCTGGCGAAGAAGATGAGAAGGGTGCAGCCCAATGTATGTGGCTCGCCAGAGTGAAACCAGAAGATTGTGAGGGTATTGTGAAATTTACCGTTTTGCAAGGGAAACTCATTAAACCCGAAAGTCAATTGAGAGGTGGATTCGATCGGCAAAAGGGAGTATTTAGTTGGTAGATGGTAAAAACGGAGGGAAGGAATTCGTTTTTCATTTCATGTTGGGTGACGATTTAAATGTTTGTTTAGGAAGGTTTAGATGAGATATGGAGCAGATATCTAACCATCTTTTGGTTAGATGATACAAGGACAAATGGTCCCTCGATAGAAGTTTGGGGTTAAAGTAGGACCAAGTAGGCGAGACCCATCAAATTATTGAATATCTGCTTCCGATTTGAATCTCAAAGCTTGGTAAGTGAATAAACCTTACCTAGCTAGTAGCTTCCTAGGTACCTAGTAATGATTGTACGGAGGAAGTGGAAAGGTTGGAATATTTGATTCAAGGATGACGGGAAGAGTAAGGAGTAAGGAATAGAGAGAGAGTACGGGGGATGATTAGGTAGGAATAGATAGAGAATACGGAGGATGATTAGGAATAATAAAAAAGGTAAAATGACCTCTTTGGGATTTAAATTGATATATTTTGGAGTAATTTGGAGGACATTCGATTCATTGGTGTTCTTGCTGTCATTCGAATCAATTGCGCACATGAACTCGCGACTTTCCTTTTCACTGTTGCCCGTAGCAACTCACCACCCAAAACAGGTCTAAACAAGCAGTTACTGGGTAAATGATTGATTGATTGCCCATTTGACCATTTGACCTTGACCATTCCACCATTATTCCACCACAAGAACCACAAGAAATCATTAAAACAATTTCATTTCAATCAACCCCCAATAACCCATCCATCCATCCATACTTACATACCCTTTACTTTTTATCAAGTATTACTTTATCATGAGTTAGCATTTATTTGCAGTAATCATAACACAACAAAACTTTTGCTTTTACCGTTTTCGCATGTAGCATTTAAATCAATCCATTCAATTGCATTCATTGCCTTCATTGCTTTCATCATGGCTACCAGCTTCCCCTACCCAGAATCAATACATTCCAAGCGCCCAAAGACAGCATCTGTATTGAAGGCTTTTATTCATAAGCGCAACCCTTCGGAAGGATCAGCTCTTTCACCTACCACTTCACCAAATGACGTTTTTGTAGCTTCTCCAGCCTTCGAAGATATGCCATCGCCGACGGATTATACCCACCATCGCGCTCTCGCGGACATTCAACGAAATCAACAAACTTCTTCCATCTTGGCACCTTACACGACTTCTCAGCAAGAAGGATTACGACCAAAGACCGGTATAGGGGGTAAGGGACTGCACAAGAAAACATTGAGTGCAATGTCGCTCAAATCACTGGCAAGCCCGGTGAAGGATTATAACAAGGGAACATCAATTCGAGAGAAGTCCCCGACAAAACCTAAAAAGACCAAGTCTTCGACAAGTCTTGTTGGTCTCCTTACGCGCCCGAGGTCGTCGAAGAATCTTAAGCTGGATGTAGAGCTCGCGCAACGGAATTCGAAAGATAAGGAGAACCAAACCCCGGAGTTGTCATCACCTGTCCCAGAATCCACAACGCGTTCTCCGCGACCACCGATATATTCACAATTCTCGAGTGACATGTTCACAAAACAACCTCTGGGAGGAAAGTTTCTAGAGGATCAAATTGATCTCTATACACCTGAGAATTATTCCCCCAGTAAACAACGAAACTTCTACAATGGACCAAATACACAACCGAGTCTTACAAACCGAGAAGGTGGATCATCACGGCCGCATTCCACATATTTACCCAGCAGTTTCAGTATCCAAGACATTCAGAGGAAGATGAGTGGAGAAAATAAAAACAGATGCAGTGTTGACATTCCAAGACGGCAGGTCTCGAATGAAAAGAAACAGAGTTTTGATTTTCGGACTTCGATGGACTTGAGGCCAAGACCAAGTTTCCAACGATCGAGTACCGAAACGTCAGTCGCATCCGTTAAAACATCCAGCAGCACTCGAGGATCTCGAGTCATGGCAGCCGTTTCAAACTTCACGGCAAAGGCAAGAGGTGATAGTGGAGGATATACTCCGGCACAAACACCGACCTCCGCGAACTTTGGACCCGACAGACCCCTCCATGATAGAGATATCGACGCCGAGTTCGAAGCTATGTTGGACAGGCGGAATATTCCAGAACATCAACGCGGGAAGATGAGGAATCTTGCTAAATCAATGAAGAAAGATTTCATAAAACAAGATTGGGCTGAAACTGCCGCTGCGAAATCTGTTAGGCCGGCTAGTCATGGCAGCGACACGAGTGGCGAAAATGGAAAGAAGGAGGAAGTACCGGAAGTGAAGAAGAAGAAGAGACCAAGAAGCCGAACATTTACTCTCTCCAGGTCAACCAGTAAGGAACGACCGGGCGATAAAGACAAGAAATCAGAAGGGGTGGTGGGAAACAAGAAATCTACCGAGTCTTTGAATAGTGGAAGTAAATCACTTACTTCTGCTGGCGCTCAAGTAGCACAGAATTTGATCGCCAAGGCCAAGGGTCAAACACCAGATGATTTTGTCGCATATTTAAGAAAGGTCCAGAAACCAGAGTTGGTCGAAGTTGGAAGATTGCATAAACTCAGGCTTTTATTACGAAATGAGACGGTGGCTTGGACTGATAATTTCGTTCGTCAAGGTGGAATGGAAGAGATAGTGGGATTATTACACAGGACTATGGAAGTCGAATGGAGGTTTGTTGAAACATGTTGCTTTTGCAAGAGTATGATAGCTGACCATATACAGAGAGGAGCATGAAGATGCCTTGCTTCATGAGGTTTTGCTCTGCTTGAAAGCACTTTCAACCACGGCTTTGGCTCTTCAACATCTCAACATTATTCAAAAGACTCTCTTTCCCGCACTGATTCACATGCTATTTGATGAAGAGAAAAAGGGACCGGCGGAATTCACTACTCGAAATATTGTGACTTCGCTTCTATTTACTTACCTCAAATCAGCTACCCTTAGCGAGCGCGCAACCAGAGCACGATTTCTTCTCTCCTATCTTCGTGACCCAGAACCAAGCGAATCACAGCGCCCTGTGGATTTTGTTCTCGATATGCGTCGTCAACGCCCTTATCGTGTTTGGTGCAAAGAAGTAACTAACGTTACTAAAGAAGTTTTTTGGATCTTTCTTCACAATCTCAACGTCATCCCTCGTCCAGATTCGCGCCATGCTCCAGAACGACTGAATGATTTACCTCCCGATCTTCCTTACATGATTAAGCACTTCCCACAAGAACTTCCTCCGGTTCCAGCCGCACCATATGTTGGTGGTGTTGAGTGGGATGCAACTAATTATCTCGCTTCTCACCTTGACATCGTCAATGGCTGCATTGCATCCTTACCCACTCTTGAGGAACGTAACCAGGTCCGCGAGGAACTGAGAGTCTCCGGTTGGGAAAAATGTATGGGATCTACTTTGCGCTTATGCAAGGAGAAATTTTATGGTGGTGTTCATGCGGGATTGAGATGTTGGGTTGCCGCTGCAATTGAAGATGATTGGGAGACAAAAGATGTGAGATGTGGTCCTAGTACTGACAACAGAAGTCCAGTGCGGAAGAATGCCAGTCCAAGCAAAGCAGCTGGTGCTCTGGTGGAAAGCACACCGCCTAAGATTGATATGAAGTTGAGTTTTGCTCAGAATAGAACTGATAATGGAGGAGATGCTTGGCTTTGAGTTTGGTCATGAGTTGACATAGCCATCATCTTTTGCTACTAAAGATAGAGCATTGGCTGATAGAAAGGGAAAGGTGAGGCCTAGTGGCTGATAATGCTCCTGCGAAGGGGTGAAAGACGAAAGAATTTGCGAGATGAAGTTTTCCATTTAATCTTTTGATATGGTTGTACGACCTTGGTTTAATCGGTTGGAAGGGGTAAGGATTTGTTGGATAAGGAAGGGAGGTGTGTTGGAGTAATTATTGATTGTTCTAGACACTTTGTGGTGTGTCATTTCCTTTTCTCGGCCTCTTTAAAGGGGAAGAGTTTCCTATGGATAGGATTATTGTTTTGTGATGGAGAGAAAGTAAAGAAGGATATGCAGCAGGGGAGGGAAGAATAAGAGAAGAGAGCAAAGCAACTGAGTGATCGAATTCGAATGAGAGGAGAAGAAACGAAGGAAGAAAAGAGAAGAGAAGAGAAGAGAGAAAGATGACTGACCGGGACGTTGATTAATGATGAATTTATGATGAATGATTCAATGGTACCTTTTTTTGCGTTTTTGTATTCTTTGTTGTTGTTGTTTGTCTTTCCCCCCCTCTCTTTTCGCGCGTAGCTAGTTAGCTTAGCTTTTTCTCAGATTCTACTCTTTGTTTTGCTCCAGGTCGTTAAAGTAATGATTTGGTTTACGAGTACATTGATAGGATTTGGGGTTGGAGGTAGTTGGTAGTAGGTAGTATGGGATAGTATAGTATTGGATAGGAGAGGTAGTTTTAGGTAGGGATAGGGATAGGAGGGGATAGGTAGGGTAGGTTAGGTAGGATAGGATAGGAATATTATTTTATGAATGTGTAAATTTAATTTTGTTTGTTATTATGTGTGTGAGTGTGAGGAGAAGGGTTTATGTGTAAGTATATGTATACGAAAGAAAGATCTTAGATTAATTAGCTAGGTAGGTAGTTGTGGGTAGGATGGTAGAGTTGTGATGTGATGTAATTATTCAATAGTATACTCCATATTTAATAATCTCTCTCTCTCTCTCAAATAGTATACAAGACTTATGTATACGATAATGAGAGATTGTCTATCGTTTGAATGAATGAACTGAATGAGGGAAAGGAAATTATATTTTAGGGTGTTAATGAATGTAATCTTAAGATCTTAAAATATTAGATGGGAATGCGATTCTTCTACTCTATTCTATTCATATCGATTTCGTCACATAAAATACGCGTATTCATGGTATTGATATATTAGGTGAATTTTATTTATTCATCCATTGATCTAAAGGCGCTTTGGGATCTCATCCTTCCGCTAAACCATTCGATACAAGTCGTGTAGTGTACCTCGCTCAATATAGCGGTGCGCTTTCATACGCACTTAAAGCTTGGATCAATATTGTACAGTAGTATGCTTTGAGCCTGTTCCGTATCTATTACAACCTCTTAACTTTCCGCTCTCCATAGTCCAAAGGAACCAGGACAATTCTTCCACATCTTAATCGTACCGTCTTCACTGCCCGTAGCATATAATTTTCCATCGGGAGAGAAACTGATGCTCCAGATTGGACCATGATGACCTTTGTGAACATCTAATATTGTTAGTAAGATTTTATTCGATTGGGATAATAAAACATACCAAGTTCTTGATCAGAATCAAAATCATAAACCTTCGCCCATGTATCCTTAATTCCGCCAGTGATGTATTTCCTTTGAAGTGGATGAATCGCTACACTGGCAACCTCATAATTCAAGACAACTTTCTTGATAAGAGTGTTTGCAGCTGGTCCACCATAAAAGTACAGAGTCTTGCCAGCAGCAATCGATAAAATAGGTAATCCTCCACCAATATCTCCTGGTCCAGATGCAACGTTGCTAAACTCGCATGAACCAATATCACCATCTACCTTTTGTTCTTGAACAACGGATTGCGAACGTAAATCCCACCATCTTATAACTTTATCGTCTGCAGCCGTAACTATGATATTGGGATCCTGAGTCCAAACAACCGCCTTGATTGTGCCTTTGTGAACACCTGGGCCAATCTCGAAACCATCATCTTGTGAAATGCTCTTAGTGTCGCTTCCATTGCCATTAGAAGTTGTGCCATTTGCGCCGGAAGAATTGAGTTTCGCGAGGTCGAAAATAAAAAGTTTCTTATCAGTTCCTCCCGTCGCTAGAGTGGTACCTGATTCGGGAGGAAATGCGACAGCTCGAACAACATGTTGATGTTGGATAGTATAGAGAGTTTCTCCAGTGTATGTATCCCAGACTTTCCTATACAAACCATTAGTGCCAGTCAATCCAAATCGACGCAAATCACCTACGCAGTGAAATCTGCCGAAGCAGTCGCAGCATATTTGGCATCTGGAGAAAGTCTAGCTTGATAAACTGCGCCTTTATGTCCAAAGAAAGTACCAATCCTAAACCATCAATTAGTGTCTTGCGGTGAGAAATTTCTAGTTGTATAATACCAATCGCCATTAATACCACTTCTTAACATAGGGTTGTTATCTAGTATAGTGAATTAGACATGTCCATGCTTCCAATTCTCCGGATAATCATGTGCCATACCTTTACATGCTGATATCATGTAATACTCGTCATCCTTTCCATCCACGAAACCACAAAAGCTGATATGCGTAACAGGTCTTGAGTGACCATGGCATGTCAAAGGGACGTATTGCTTAGTGTTCTCTGGCCCCGCCATCTTTCTATGTATGAATTGAAGTATAAGATTCTGAAATTGTACTGATAACCGAAGATTGTGCTGTAATGTATGCTATGTTTCAAGAGAAGAAGGATTGCTTTTTGTCGTCGTGGGTGGTTTAAACGGTGCGTCGAAAGAGTGGGAGAGACCGCACTTTCAAGAGGGTTGATTCGAATGCTCTATGTATGTAGGAGAAAATGATTGATATTCAAGAAGATTCGTTAAAGTCGTTAATTTCGTAAGATATTGATTAAGAGGTGGAATGATTGATGAAGTGACCTCGAATGAGATTGAAATACTTGACAACTTCCTCAATGTGAAAAGAAAAGGGGAAAGGAGCAAAGAAAGCCTGTTCGGGGGGGGATATTGTGATTGATTGTTTCATGAGGTCAAGAATTAAGCTATTTATTTCCACTAATATCTTAAGAGACCCATAAACATTTCTGGAATTACAGTTAATCCGACTCCGGATAAGGATGACAATGAAGAAATGGATGAGTAAGCAATCATCTTTGGGATTGGGAGTGCCAGTTAGTGACTTGTTGGTGATTGGTTAGTGATGATTAGTGATTGATTAGTGGGTGCTTAGTGATTGGTTAGTGATTGGCTCACCCAACACCCTACCATTACAGGGTAGGTACGTGCCGTTCCAGCACCTGAGCACTACACTCTACACTAATAATAAGTATTACAACTATGCTATTACCCGCACATGGCTCATTGCTTAGTAGATCACAGAGGGGCAATCTAAGGAAGCTTATAGTCAAACATGGAACTATAACAACTCCCATTGTTCTATGACATAACAACCACCTTTTATAATTGTGCCAATCCTGAGAAACAACACATATAACTTCAATCAACTAAGTACTAATTATGGCAGAATACAAGTTATCTGCATCTTTGGCAGGTCATGAAGATGATGTAAGTTGATGATACAGTACTCCACTCTCCAACAAGGTCAACCTGAATGTTTGGTGACAGCAACATATACTGATATGTTACTTTTCAATCTAGGTTCGAGCTGTAGCCTTTCCATCTTCAAAAGCTATAGTATCAGCATCTAGAGATGGAACTGTACGATTATGGAAACAACTTTCAGATAATCCACCACTATTCGATGCCACCATTTCCTCTCATGCAACAGCTTTTGTAAATACAGTCGCATATTTACCACCGAGCTCTCAATTTCCAGATGGTTTGGTCATCTCCGGCGGAAAGGACACAGTTATTGAAGTTCGACAAACTTCGAGAAAACCAGAAGATAATGCGGAAGCTTTACTTATAGGACACAGTCATAATATATGTGCTTTGGATGTGGACCCAGCTGGACGATTTATAATCAGTGGAAGTTGGGATGCGGAAGCAAGAATATGGCCATTAGGGAAATGGGAGTGTGAATCTGTTCTAAGAGGACATGAGGGTAGTGTTTGGGCGGTCCTTGCTATAGATTCGGAAACTGTAATAACTGCTTGTGCGGATCAACTCATTAGAGTCTTTCATACTAGTGGTAAATTACTGCGGACTATTCGAGGAAGTGCAGATGTTGTTCGAGCTCTTTGCAGGTTACCCAAAGGTCATCCATCAGGGGCAGATTTCGCATCGGCGGGAAATGATGCTGTAATCAGATTGTGGACTCTTTCCGGTAGCCAAGTGGCAGAATTACATGGACATGAGAACTTCATTTATTCAATTGCCTCGACACCTTCTGGAGAAATCATCAGCTCTGGTGAAGATCGAACCTTAAGAGTGTGGAAAGATGGTCAATGTATCCAAACGATCACACATCCAGCAATTTCGGTATGGGGTGTAGCTGTTTGTGAGGAAACTGGGGATGTTGTATCAGGAGCAAGTGATAGAGTGGTGAGAGTCTTTACAAGAAATTCGGAGCGTTTCGCAGATGCGGAGACAACAAAATTATTTGAAGATTCAGTGAAGGAATCATCAATACCTCAACAAGCACTACCAGAAGTTAACAAGGAGAAGCTTCCTGGACCGGAATTCCTTACCCAAAAAAGTGGCACCAAAGAAGGACAAGTTCAAATGATTCGTGAGCTGAATGGAGCTGTCACTGCACATACCTGGTCTAGTTGTAAGTAACCTACTACTCGATCTACAATTGTAAGCTAACAATCATTTAGCCCAAGGCCAATGGATAAATGTAGGAACTGTTGTTGATGCTGTTGGAAGCAGTGGGAAGAAAGTTGAATACCTCGGAAAGGAGTATGATTTTGTTTTTGATGTTGATATTGAGGATGGCAAACCTTCTCTCAAGCTTCCTTATAACTTATCCCAGAATCCTTATGAAGCCGCCACAAAATTCATCGCAAATAATGAGCTTCCAGTAACCTACTTAGAGCAAGTAGCCAATTTTATCACAACTAATACCCAAGGGGCTACAATTGGCCAAACTCAAGAAAGTTCTGGACCGGATGCATGGGGTAGTGATCAAAGATATAGACCAGGAGAGGGGGAGAGCTCAGCGCCTGTAAATATCCCTCCACCGCCAAAGGTTCTCCCACAAAAAGAGTATCTTTCAATCATTGTGGCTTCAGTACCCAAGATGCAAAAGAAAATCGAAGAAGTCAATAAGGAGTTGATTGCGAACGGTCAAAAAGGTATATCATTAAATCCTGACGAGCTCGAAATTCTTCAAGAACTTCGAAAAAATCTCGAATCCGCCGGCGCTACAAAAACCTCTCAATCTGTTATTGGAGGCCTCGATCTAGCTATTAAACTCTCCACTCACTGGCCTTATAAAGATCGACTCGCTGGACTTGATCTTCTGCGTCTCCTAGCCATTGCCCCCGAGACTGCAAATTATCGTAGTTCTGGCGGCTGGAGTATAATCGACGTTTTTTCACAAGCCGCTTTAGAGAATTCACCTCCATCCGAAAATCACATCATGATGTCGGTTCGTGGTTTTGCCAACCTTTTTGATTCTCCTGAAGGTCGTCAATTAGCTCAAGACAATTTCGATAAAGTTAATGTCTTTATGAAGGACGCTATTAAGACATCTACCAATAGGAATTTGTTGGTAGCTGCTACAACTGTTTATATAAACTATGCAGTTTTGTTTACTGAAAAGGACCCGGATTTCGAACAAGTTCTCGCCGTGTTGGATACTCTTACAAATATCTTGAAGACACAGGTGGATAGTGAAGTGGTATATAGAGGATTGGTGGGATTAGGGACGGTGTTGAGTGTAGGAGAGGAGATTCGAGAGGCTGGAAAGGATGTTTATGGTGTTTTGGGGGTTGTAGATGCTTGTTTGAAGAAGGCTAGTGATCCTCGGGTAAAGAATGTGGTAAGAGAAATTCGAGAGTTACTTGCGTAGTTATATAGGAGGCTAGAACTGGCTGCTAAAACTGGCGAGCGGAAAGGAGATGTTGGGTGCAGGCAGGGAGGAGGGAGGACTTGACACAAAACACGAAGATTAATGATTATATGAACGAAATGAATTGAATTAAAGATATTTGAGGCGTGTATAGCTGGGCTTTTTTCTATTTGTAAATTCTTTTGCTTTTAGCTCGTTTACAATAGCGCATTTGTTAGATATTTTATTTTATTATTGTTATATATAAATATCATTTATTATCTTTTCCTCTTTAATTTAAGATTTGATATATAACATAACTTATGGTGAACCGGGTCATATGGGGAACCGGGTCACAAAATTCAATTCTCTCTATGTGATCTTGTTCTACGAGCTACACATTCATCCAATTCCAACTCTAAATCACTTGAACTACTCTCTGGCTCTTCTTCTTCAGTCTCCTCTTCTAATTCTTCAATTGGACGTTTACGTGGTCGCCCTCGTGGCTTTTTCTCCTTCGGTTTTTCCTCCGCCTCACGTACCATTTTCAGTACTTCCTCACTACTAAAGACAAATTGACCTTGTAATTTGACTCTTTTGCCTTTAGTTCTCTTCTTTCGAGTCTCAATTACTTCCTGAGCATCAGCGAGCTGTTTCCGAAGTAGGGCTATCTCAGCATTTTGAGATTCTACAAGCCTAGTCATTCTCTTGGCATATCGACGAGTTGGTGATGCAAGAGAATCATTATCTGCTAGAGCTTTATTAAAGGTTTGATTTGCTTGCCTTAGCTCTGTCCCATCTGGAGGAGAGCTCCTGAGTATAGATAAGTCTAGATCTTGATTGGACATTCTCATTTGTGGAATAGAAGGTTGCTGGGAGGAGTTAAATGGTAATGAATCGAGTACTTTTCGTGGGGCAAAAGGTACTAAACCAGCTCCTCTCCAACCAGCTTTAATATTAGAAGAATTCAGTGCTTTTTTTCTAATATTTTGAAAGAGTTCTACCTATTCAGCTCTTTGAATTCGCTTTACACCAGCTCGAGAATATCGATCGACCTCTAAAGCATGATATCGTTTCATTGGCCCATACACCGTAATATCAAGTGGTTGAAGCAAGTGGGAGCAATGAGGAGATAATATAAGTAAATCGATTTCCTTCTCTATACAGAAAGCAATAAAGCTGCCTGTAATATGACTTGAATGGCCATCCATGATCAAAAGTCGAGGTCGGTCACCTGACACTTTCTTGGATTCTGGTTCGAAAACCCTTTTTAGCCATTCTAATCCATGACTATTTGAGGTCCATCCATTCGTACTCGTAGAAAACTGCCAGCTTTGAGGCGTGTCCTTTGGAATCCATGCAGAATTCGTATTCTGAGCCTTGAAAATGATCATAGGTGATAGAGCCTTTCCAGCTGCATTGACACATTCAAATGCAGTTATCCATTCTTGCTTGCCAGCTGTAACTTTCCAATTCGATTTCTGAGTAGAATCGACTATAATACACGTACTTTGAGTACTTCCAACTCCAAATCCGGTTTCGTCCATATTATATATATCATCTAATTCATACTTTCGTTCAATGAGACGCGTACGAAACGTATCAAACCAAGCCTGAATATTCTCCGGAGTTGCCTCTTTAGTCCGATTAGACTCTAATTGATGTGAATAGCATGTTTTAAGTTCTGGATGTCGTTTTTGGAATCTATAGATCCATTCGTGGCCTATAGGTGGAATTTCTATCGAGGTAGGAATTCGAGATGATGCGACCTGAATACGTCGAAGACGAATTTCGTCGGCCATTTCCTTCACCAACATAGGTGTAGCAGGGAATCCAGTGATGGTAAGTCGTGAAATCCATCGTACAAGAGTATTTTCTTCTGCGTTTGAAAGAATTTGAGCCATTTCGTGGGATTGAGTACGTGATTTCCTTCCAGCGACCCTAGCTATAAGAGTTGACTTAGGAACTTCAAAATACTCTGCAGCCTTTCTAATTGATTTAAAGTCCTTCAATTGAAGTGCAATAATAGCATTCTGTATCTTCTCTTCAATTTGAGAAGGCGTAAGAGGTGATTCGGTATGCATAGCAAAATTTGTTGGGGTTTGAAGTCAGTGATGGGCTAAATGTGACCCGGTTCCCCATATGACCCGGTTCACCATAAGTTACGTTAATTCTGTTTATTTTTTATTTTTTATTTTTTTTTGTTTTTTGTGTAAACAATTTATTTATAAATATATTAATCTTTTTGTTTTTAAAATTATAATTAAATTAAAAAATGTAAGAGATATAAGATAAAAAATCATTTATTTTATTTTATTATTTTACTTTCTTAATACCTGGCTGTTATTTATTAATTAATTTGTAAAATAAAATAAAATAAAATAAATAATAGTTTAATTCCCTAAATTCCGTAAAGAAAAAATATCAAACTCGTAAGTTTGTGGTATACATATTCCTCCTATTAACTCTTCACTTACTTGATTGAAGTTTTAAAAATCTCGCTGATCCTATCCAATTTTGATCCCTTTCGATCTGATCTGATCTGATCTGTAAATTATCCCACCCATTTCGTATATTTCATCCACATCGTAAGACTTATCATATCATATCACAACATATCAGCACAGTATAGTATATCTACATTCTCCCCGTCCCCCCTTTCCTCCACCTTCTTCCCCAATATCCTAATATCCCAACATCCCCCATCCAAAATACCCCCCTCACAACAAAACCCACATAGCAGTCCCCAACACCGCGGCCAAACTTCCCACCCACATAGAACGACTAGGCGGCGCAGCAGACGTACCAGACGTACCCGATGTGGCAGATGAGCGAGAGGTACCTGGTGCTGAGGCGTCGTTGATGGTGTACACGTTTGCGAAGGAGATGTCGGAGGAATTGAAACAGTTGGAACTGTTTACTTCGGCTACGTCTTTGGGGTCTGCAAAGGTTATGTCTACGCACTTTGGGGTTTGTTAGATATTTTTTTTGGTTTTGGTTTTGTGGTTTTTCTTGGGGATGATTTGGGGAAGGAAGGGGGAAATGAGAGAAGAAGAGGTAAGGAAAAATTTCATACCGAATAAAGAGCCGCTCCGTGAATTGCCGTCTCAACTACTTGAATCGTTGCATTATCTCCCACGTTAACCGTCGTATTAGCTGGTAATGGTACCTGCGGCAAACAAAATGTTCCTGGGTAAGGATTCTTGCTAGGGCCGATAATTTGCATGACGGATATCATTGGGAATGACATGTTTTGGGGACCATTGTCGGGACCATCAGTACCGAATCCGAGGTTCATGTAGAAGAAGGCTGTGGCGTGGCCTTGGAACCAGCCGGGTTGGACGGCGATGGCGCCTCCTTTGATGGGCCAGAGGGTTCGGTTGGTGGTGGTTGGCATGCCGCCGCCTGGGTGGGTTAGTGAAAGGGTGAAGGTTGAAGGGGATGGGGAGAGAGAGGGAGGAGGCGGAGAGGAAGAAGGGGAAGGGAAGGTAGGAGATGTGGATGGATGGATGAAAGAATTGGATATGTGGATAGCTTCGAAAACGAACCATCCATCTATGCAAATACAATACACCAAATCCGTCACAAACCAACATCCAAACTCAAGCAGAAAGCTTCAAAGATAGAAAAGGAAATTCTACTCACAAGGATACATCCATTGCATTCCATAAGGAAAAGTCTCATTCGTAATCAAATTATCTCCTCTCCATCCTGGATATGTAATAACCGTATGTGCCTGCACCAACGCACTCGTCGCTATCGCAAGGAGGGATAATATTCTCGTCGTAAACATATTGATTGTGTATGTATGTATGTATGTGATATCGTTAAAATATGTGTGTAACCGAGTCGAAGGAAGGAATTTGAGATTTTCAAGAACTGGGTATTCGTCGTATATATGTTTTCGGATATTGCAATCAAGATTCAGCTTGTGAGGAAGAAGTATACAGGTATTCGATTTCAAGCGTTTAAGTCTCTCGTTTTCTTGCTCTTTTCGTAAAGAATAAGTTACAAATAAACAATTATTAGAACATCACTAGATGGAAGAGTTCCTTTAACGTTGAGGAAGAAATGGCACAAAGATCAGGAATACGTCAATGTAAGGCAAAGCAAAAAGTCTCATTTCTCGGCCGGGCCACAGTTGGACTCGTAGAGTATTTGAATAATGGAAGAAAGCATTGATAATTCGCGCTGACAATGCCTGACCAGATGTGTTGATGCAGGTTGCATATGCTGATTTTCCAGGGGGCGTTTAAAGTGCATGACCAATTAAATATGAGAGGAGCTGATTGATATGGACAATGTATGCATGGGAGACGGAAGAGTTATACTTTGTTTGGAATAGTAGGAAGTGAACTTTCAATATTGCGAGTGATGAGCTGCATTCATTTGTCGATTGAGTCGATGCAGATGTGGGAATATGGGTGTGGTGCATTGGTCATTGATTGGTTGTGGGGTGATGGCTTGATGTGCAGTGGAAGTGAAAAACAGGGGTTCCGGCTAATGGTAGATTTGATGTAAGCGCCCGGATGAACTGGGGATTGAAAAATGCGGATTGGTTGAGGTTTGTGAGACTCTCGATGATCTCTTGATTTTAGATAGATTTGTATGGACTATTTGAATGCGAATAGGAATAAAGGGAAAATGGATTTTGGAAGAATATTGTGCATATGGGAAGCAGGTACAAAAGACATTAATATGGGAGTTTTACCGGTATGTGCGTTGGAAAATAACGGGAAAAGATGCCGACAGATAATGCAATAATCCAGATATTAAATTGAATGGATGTTTGTTTGTCTGCTTATCTGCTTGCTTGCTCAAAAAAGAGGTGATCAGCCCGTCCGTCTCCCATGTCATTTTTACCCAACTCAACCCCCATACAATTTGAAACGGAACACCCCTCTGGCACAGCATTACATCAATCCAACCCAATGTAAATGAAGAAGAACCGAGCTGAATATAGAACCAACTTGTAAAAACAATTCAAGTAATTTTCAAAAGAACAACTCCCCGTCCTCGTTCTCTACACCAGTTTCCCTTCCCATGCCAATGCACTTGCATCTACTCCATACATAGCCAAGACAAGGCTGCATCTTTACATGTTATTTTTGAAATAGTTTGCTCATCGATTTCCAGATTTCGAGATACACCAATTCTACAATCTGCAAGGTTTAGTCCATCCACGGCTTGCGAATCGGATGTTGTACGACCTCTCTTTGCGCCTCTGTTGCGTGGAATAAGGAAGGTAGTAATGTAGTGATACTATACCACGACTGTGTCAAAAAAATATCCTTTAATTCTAGACTTTTTGTATCACATCGATGAGTGCAAGCGCTGAAAGATGTGTACTTTGTACGTGACATGATTGAGCCTTGAGGTCGGTTTGATGATCATTTCATTTCACTCGGCTTTGTGGTCCGGCTTCTCACGTCACTTTTCGGGCCCCAAGAACTCAAATGGACCCCAACAGGAATTGAATGACAATCAATCATGGGGCTCGAAGTTTGAACAGCTCCGGATTGAACACCAAAAGGCGGTGCAACTTTCTGCCATATCGATTGATCTGCCCCTCCATTCATTATCTAAAAATAAACCCTGCAACACATATTTTTGCCCTCCAAATAAATAAATAAATAAATTAAATCCGAACCAAACAAAAAAAGACTTCCACGTTTCGTAGTCGTGGAGGCTGAAGAATCACGCATACTTTCTGCAGTGATCTCGATCTGACTAATTTCTTAGCACGAACTACCAATCTTCGAACATATAGAAAGCCAGAGGTTTGGAGACGAAGGGTTTTTTTCGTTCCCGTGGCTTAGGTGTTCTATTGTTACATACCTAGGCATCTGTGAGGCGTTTGCATTTCTTCAAACACTTGCGCAAGTGGTCTTACTTACATATACATATACACATACACATACTCTCCGAGGGGCTGAATCTTGCTCTGCGGGCCGTAACCTACGACATACCTGCTTACGTTGAATTTTGCCTCCCTCGGGTCAAGGACAAGGACGATAAGATTTGCACAGGAAGAAACAGCAATGCCGCATACGAATCGCAAAAAGAAGAGTGGAGCGGGGGATACCGGAGATGTAGTGATGAACGGAGCGGAGAAAACAAAAAAGATTGTGCAACCTATGAAGAGGAAACAAGTAGAGGATGGAGAGGGCTGGACACATGTTATAGGAGGAGGAAAGAAAGCCAGTAGTGGAGAAGCATGGACGCACGCGGGAGATTTTGTGAAGGATGGAGTTGCGTATATTGAGAGGACGGTGGAGGAAATGAGGGACGATTTGGTGTATTATGGGAAACAATGGGAGAGTAGTGAAGCGGCGAAACAATTGAAGGGGGTATTGAAGGGAAAGGGTGCGGTGAAGAATGTGGTTTGTTTGGGGCTGGGAAGTTTACAAAGTGCGAGGAGAGAAGGGAGGAGGAGTAGTTTTACGCAATTGGCGGCCTTGATGATGATTTTGGAAGAGTTGGGTGAGTTTGGTTGGGAGTCGTGGATGGACATTACTGATAGAGTTTTAGGTGGTATTGGTGCGGATAAAATACAATGCGTATTTCAAGATCCTCAATATACAGAAACTGACAAGGAGTTCTTGATTTCTTTGGCTGGAATAGTGGTAGATGACCCGTTAGCATTTGATCATATTAAAGAGGATACTCTAGTATATGCGATACATTGTTATGGACCAGTTTACAAGACGATTAGTTCAGGACCTCAACCAGCTGTTCTTATAGGAACAGATATGGATAATTTTTCTAGATTATACTTGTAAGTTTCATAGCGCATCTTTGTTGGCAGACATTAACATTTCACAGATCAACGAGTACAGAAACTTTGGGGCAACATCTAGATGATATGGTTAAAGATTGCGAAGTGATAAATTTTCCACAACTTCGACATGATTTCTCGGACACGAAAATATACTGGCGGAATAAACCGAAGATTTGAATAAGAGATATAGCCGAAGCTGGGCTTCACAAGCAATAAACCTCATATCTACCAGAATACCCGAGGCATGCTCTCAACTCGGAGCGACGAGATCTTAATTGATCTCGCTGGACTGTACTACAGTACCAAAAGCATCCGCCAACTCCGCCAAAACCGTCTTGACCAACTCCTCCGCCTTTACTCCAGGAATATCTCGGTCCCCAATAGCATCCTCGACAAGCAAAACCTCATATCCTTTCTCAGCCGCCTGTCTAGCGGTAGTACTCACACACACATGTGCCATATATCCCGTCAACACAACCTTTGATTTACCGGTCTCTTTTATAAAAGATTCTAAATCTGTTCCTGTGAAAGAGCCCGGGTGTTGCTTGACAATTACTTTCTCACTACCTTTAGGAGTAAGTTCCTCGAATTCCTCGGCAAGCTCGGTATCGGGTGTGAAGACCGGAGCACCGGCTGGTACTTGATGGACAACATGTGCGAGAGCTCCATTTGCTGCGCGATATTTCTCGAGAAGACTCGAGATGGCTTTGCGGGATGAGGAAACTTGGGAGACTTTTAGGTGGCCTTTTGCATATCTGGTAAAGTGGATATTAGTATATATTTATTTATAGATAGATTAAAGTATCTACAGCTAGGTACCTAGCTAGCTAGCAAGATAAGATAAAATAAAATATCGCAAACATACTCATTTTGCGCATCAATTATAATCAATACACTATCCTGCACGGAAGCAGTAGATGCTGGTACACCAATCAATTCTCTGAATGCTTTTGCCTGGCTGCTCATGGTTTCGGTGTTTTTGCGGTGGTCTGATGATTGGATGTTTGTTTGGATGTTTGGATGTTTGGATGTTTGGATGAGCGGGAGTGGGAGTGGGAGTGGGAGTGGGAGTTTGAGTTTCACCTGAGGGAAGGCTTATTTTATGGGGATGAGAAGATGGGGTAGATGGGGTTCTGGTTGTTGGTTTGGTAGGTATGGAATAGAGATTGCTTTGGATGGGGTTGGAGGGGAGTGGAAGGGATTGGGATGGTGGGTGAGTGAGGGGTTCTTTTACGTAGTTGTAGGTATGTAATGTTATGTAGTAGGTATGGTAATTTTTACTATATTGCGGGGTATGTATGTAGGTAGTAGGTACTCGAGGAGGCTGAGTTGAGCTGTTAAGAGAAGGTTTGTCATATATACCTATGGATGAATGGACGGATGAATGGATGAATGAATGAATGAACTGTTTATTTTCTTTCTTACGTTTCTTTCTTTATATCTTTTATCACCGTTTACGTATCTTGGTAGGTATCTATATAACTAGTAAAGAAATATATAAGTATACAAAATACAACAATATCGCATCATAACTTCACGACGAGTATATCTATCTACAAGCTCTTCATATATCAAAATATACTATTTATAAACCAAACCAACCCAAACCTAAAAAAAAAAAAAAGAAGATATACTCCGTACACCGAGCATAGATATATCGATAAACTTCATCATCTGAAACAAATGTCATCATTATTGTTTAATATACGGAGTAAGGAGTAGTTAGTTTTGTTTGTTGGAGACAGGGGTAAAAGGGTAGGGGTATTAATCAAGGTTTCTTGGGCTTTTTGGTTTTTTTCATGGAGTACCTTTGTATTTATGAGATGGGATGGGATGAGATGAGATGGGATGAGATGAGAGGGTCTTTTGAGGATGAGGATAGATGGATGGATCTCTCCACTTTGTTTGTGCGAGTGTTTGGAGTTTCGGTATAATGTTTGTTTGTGTGCAGTGTGCACTGAGTACCTAGGTATTGAGTATGGATGGAGTAGGTGTGATATGATATGATATGATATGATATCTTTGTCTCCTGATGAAGGGAAACTTTGAAAAGAGGCTGGGTTGATGCTGCGGCGAGTTTTGGGTGGGGAATTTGGGTGGGTGGAATCATGAATGGTATGGTACGGAGGACTACTGCATGGTACTGGTAGAGGAGAGGGGCGATTGGGGATGCTGAACTTTGAAGATACTTGTATAGAGTAGGAACTTTTTTATTTGGAGTAGGAAGGTACAGAGTAATAGGTAGGTAGGTATTGCAGGTATCTGAAATGGATTTACAAAATGGGATTGGATGGATTGTTTCACAAGTCCATGCAGGTCTGTCTGATACATACCCAGGTACTGAGTGGTTGGATCTCTCATCTCTAAGCCAACCAAGGCAAAATTCAACCAAGCAGATATAAAGATTAGCAGGAGCTAATGGATTTAGAGAATAAGTTCCCTGTTACAGTCTCATCATTAGATTCATTACTCCACTCTCGTCTTTTCCCTCACCAACTGCACCAGCCTCATGCACGCGGCTTTTTACCAATCATTTCACGAGAGTGTGGATAAAGTCGGTGTTAGGTAAAGCTCGTGTTTGGTTTTGGCTGGAGATGCATGGGAGGATGATGCTAGAGGATGGATGGGTGGAGAGTCGAGAATCGAGAATCGAGATGGTTTTGGTTATGATGGTAAAGTTACAACGGTATAACGTTTCGAGCATTCATTGTTCTTTTACTTGGCTTTTTATTTGAGGTTGGAAAATACTGTATTCTTCATTGAAGATTACCTGCATACAGTATTATTGAAGTTTGATTGAGGTTCTACTCTAGAGGTAGTCAAACTTCATTCAATCAATTTGTCCTCGACATAAAATAAAGTATTTTGTAAGTAAAGGACAATTCACAAGTTCTCGTATTACCCTCAAGTTGATAAATAACCTTTTTTCTATCCTTGCTTGCTTGCGCTTTCACATTTCATCGATAAGAAGAATTACAATACACCGTACCTCCGTACACCAAAATGCCTCGAGGACAAGAAACCAACTGTCCCACATAAATCCAAACTTCAAAGTACCACCACCAGCACAAACCCAGATCCCATTTGACCATCGCCAAAAAAAAAACAAGTGGGATTCTCATCAACCTTACCTACTTTTACTTGGAAAAAGAGGGAAAAGATCATCCGAAACGAAAGGCTACAATTCCGTTTCAAACTTCCTATCTTCCCAGTTTCTTCCCTTTTCTTCCCTCTTTCTTTTTCCCATAATGTCACGATATTCTTTAGAAGATACTCATAATTATCACGATCCTTCCTCACCTGTATCTCCACAAACAACTCCATCGAGATCTCTTTCACCACAACCACCACCGCACAATCCTTCAAACTTCGCCTCAAATTCAAACTCAAACCCAAACTCCAATCATTTAATCTCACAAACTCAAGGATCACCTGCCCAAGAGATTGGAATGTCAAATTCTTCTGCTTCAATTTTACATTCACGGCAGAACTATGGGGAAGTGGAACCTGTGAGCCCGATAATAGATAGTCCACCAATTCCTCCACCACATCAATCATCACAATCTAGTCAGGAATCTAGGATACGAAATCAAAACAATAACACCATACCCGAATTTTCAAACGTGACACCGGGAGTCGATAATTTCGGGAATCAAGCCGCAGGTGGTATCAACGGCGTTGCCATGAGTGTCGCAAATTCAAATGCCAGGGAAAGTGGTGTGGAAACCGTGAGAGGTTATGATCCAACACAACCTTCATACCAAGAGCCTCCATTCCAACGGTCGTTCCCACGACAAGATGCATCAACATCATCTCTCACTCCTTTAAATGCTGCTGCTTTCCCCACCGGAATTTCAACTCCTTCTTCACGTTCTACTATTTCTGGTCGAAATCCTTCAGATCCATATTCGGATTCTCCTTACCCATATAATCGATACTCAAGGGCAATTGACCCAGAACTTGTTGAATTCGACCCTAATACAATTGCAGACGACGGAGACGACGGCTTGGGATATAGACGAGCTAATAGATCTTCTGTGTTAAGTCTAACTAGAATGTCAGATAGTGGAACACGAACACCTCCAGGAGGGAAAGCTGTGGCAGGTGGTGGAGTGATAGTGACATTAGGTGGACTTGTTGGAAAGAAGAATGGGGAAAATATACAATATAATAATGTTACAAATGCACAGAACGGATTTAATGGGCCGGAAAATTACGACCTCAGTCTGGAAAAGAACGAATGGTTAAGGAAACCACCGGGTGGTAATAAGAAGATGAGGTTATGGATTGCTCTACTGGTTGGATTTCTGATAGTAGCGGCAATCATTGGAGGAGCTGTTGGTGGTACCCTTTCGGGAAATGCAAAATCAGGTTCAAATTCAGATACAACTGAAGCTTCGACCGCGAACGGACAATCCGCATCAACCGATGCTTCAAAAAATGGCGATCTTAATAAGGATTCGGCGGAGATCAAAAAATTATTGAATAACCCTGACTTGCACAAGGTATTCCCTGGAATCGATTATACTCCTATGTATACACAATATCCCGCTTGCTTGAGTTATCCAGCAAGTCAAAACAATGTTACAAGAGATGTTGCTGTCCTCTCACAACTCAGTAATACCATTCGTCTTTATGGTACCGATTGTAACCAAACGCAGATGGTTTTACATGCTATTGATCGATTAGGTTTAAATGGTACCGTTAAAGTTTGGTTAGGTGTTTGGCAGGATTCAAACACCACTACTAATACTCGTCAACTTGAGCAACTTTACAATATCTTTGATGAACATGGATCATCTTCATTTGTTGGTGTTATTGTTGGCAATGAGGTTCTCTATAGAGAAGATATGACTGCCACTGAGCTTATCTCCATCATCGGAGATGTTAAAGCTAACATGACATCTCGTGGTATTGACCTTCCTATTGCCTCTTCAGATTTAGGGGACAATTGGACGGCGGAGCTCGCTAACGCTGTTGACTTTGTAATGGCTAATATTCATCCATTTTTCGCTGGTGTTACTGCCGAAGAAGGTGCTAGTTGGACATGGGACTTTTGGCAAAATCATGATGTGGCATTTAAAACCAATGCATCTCAAAATATTATCTCGGAAACTGGATGGCCCTCACAAGGTGGTACCGATTGTGGTGGTGCTACTACATGTGCTGTGGGTAGTGTAGCGGGAATAACAGAACTGAATACCTTTATGGAAAATTGGGTCTGTGATGCCATTACAAATGGAACGAATTATTTTTGGTTCGAAGCATTTGATGAACCATGGAAGATTCAATATAATTCAGGAGATGAAAATTGGGAAGATCATTGGGGTATCATGGATGTCAATAGAGTATTGAAGGATGGAGTGAAGATTCCTGATTGTGGAGGAACGACGGTTTCGTGATGAACGCGTTCAAAAATCAATTTGTGATTAATGATTGGAGAGGTATGATGAGTTAAGAGAAGTTCAAATGGAATTATATCATATGGCATGGTATTGAATGATGAACATTTTGGTGGAGTAATTTCTTTACTTTTTTTGGTACGGCGAAATTTCTATAGGCGTTTTTATGGGAGAGCGATATGTTTTTCACATGAGATAAGATGAGATGGACTTATCCAGATATCTTATGGAATGGGATGGAATGGGATGGATATGTTAGGACTTGTACATAATGAGTTATTATTTATATGAGGGATGGGTTGATTGGTTTTGCATCGGCTCGAAGGGAATGGAATGGATAGCATGAGAATGATGATGGGGAGGGTGTGAAAGAAATGGAAATTGAAATGGGATGGGAAGGGAAGAAGGGAAGGGAAGGGAAATAGAAGTGATGTGATGTGATGTGTGAGAGAAAATTATAATAAGATACCTACCTACTTCTTGTCTTTTGGGTTGAGTGGATGAGTGTATGATATTTGATGTTTGATGTTTGAAGTTGTGGTGTGTGAGTGCGAGTGCGAGTGCGAGTGTATGAGTGGAGTTTATAATTTTTGCTTATTTGCCCTTTTTTCTTCTTTTTGAGTAGATTGATTAGATTAAATTTGGTCATTTTTATTAGTTGTATTCTCTACCTACTTACCTATCTATAACTAATTACTTCTTTTCTTCTTTATATATCTAGGTATGTATATGTATATATACTTGATGGATGGAGTAAGGAGTAAGGAGTAAATATTGTGTAATTAGTGGATTAGTAGATAGTGGATAATTTAGGATTTAGGGAAAGGGAGGAAGGGAGGAGAGGGAGGAGAGGGGCGCAGCTAAGGAGGAACGAGGACGCGG